CAAAAGCCCCGCACCCGGATGTCCGCTCGCGCATCGGGCTCAACATTGGCAGTACGATAGCGAAAGGCTTCACCGGTGATGGGTTGGAGTGTCGGCTCAACTTACTTCCACATCGTTGTGGATCTCTTTCATGCATGAGGCTAGGAAATTGGTGACCTCATCATGGCGCATGTGAATGAAGCCCGACAGCTTACATATCTGGGCATATTTCGCTCCTGTTCTTGTAGCAGTTGAGCACTCTTGCGTGGGGTAGTGCCTTTGCTGTTTGCGTTATGCAGAGCTCACTGACTTGTCAGTTTGAGCACTCTGGCAAGGTACGTTCGGGCCTGATTGGAAATTTTTATTTCCATTGCTATCAGGGTCGGCCTCATTTCCTCTGTGCTGCGCTGACGAGTCCACAAAGGACGAAACAGTTCTGTCCGCAGATTGAGTATTTCGCTCCTGTTCTTGTAGCAGTTGAGCACTCTTGCGTGGGGTAGTGCCTTTGCTGTTTGCGTTATGCAGAGCTCACTGACTTGTCAGTTTGAGCACTCTGGCAAGGTACGTTCGGGCCTGATTGGAAATTTTTATTTCCATTGCTATCAGGTTCGGCCTCATTTCCTCTGTGCTGCGCTGACGAGTCCACAAAGGACGAAACAGTTCTGTCCGCAGATTGAGTATTTCGCTCCTGTTCTTGTAGCCGTTGAGCACTCTTGCGTGGGGTAGTGCCTTTGCTGTTTGCGTTATGCAGAGCTCACTGACTTGTCAGTTTGAGCACTCTGGCAAGGTACGTTCGGGCCTGATTGGAAATTTTTATTTCCATTGCTATCAGGTTCGGCCTCATTTCCTCTGTGCTGCGCTGACGAGTCCACAAAGGACGAAACAGTTCTGTCCGCAGATTGAGTATTTCGCTCCTGTTCTTGTAGCAGTTGAGCACTCTTGCGTGGGGTAGTGCCTTTGCTGTTTGCGTTATGCAGAGCTCACTGACTTGTCAGTTTGAGCACTCTGGCAAGGTACGTTCGGGCCTGATTGGAAATTTTTATTTCCATTGCTATCAGGTTCGGCCTCATTTCCTCTGTGCTGCGCTGACGAGTCCACAAAGGACGAAACAGTTCTGTCCGCAGATTGAGTATTTCGCTCCTGTTCTTGTAGCAGTTGAGCACTCTTGCGTGGGGTAGTGCCTTTGCTGTTTGCGTTATGCAGAGCTCACTGACTTGTCAGTTTGAGCACTCTGGCAAGGTACGTTCGGGCCTGATTGGAAATTTTTATTTCCATTGCTATCAGGTTCGGCCTCATTTCCTCTGTGCTGCGCTGACGAGTCCACAAAGGACGAAACAGTTCTGTCCGCAGATTGAGTATTTCGCTCCTGTTCTTGTAGCAGTTGAGCACTCTTGCGTGGGGTAGTGCCTTTGCTGTTTGCGTTATGCAGAGCTCACTGACTTGTCAGTTTGAGCACTCTGGCAAGGTACGTTCGGGCCTGATTGGAAATTTTTATTTCCATTGCTATCAGGTTCGGCCTCATTTCCTCTGTGCTGCGCTGACGAGTCCACAAAGGACGAAACAGTTCTGTCCGCAGATTGGGCATGGTATAGATAGATAGCAATACAAGTCGGATGTAATCTACTACGCGTATACGGTACTAGTACGTATACCGGTAGTACTCGTACTATAACATCCGATCTTGCTCCAGGCAGTACTCTTAGGCACTTCAGCCGGTTTTTTCAAGTCGGGTTTCTCCCAGGTTTAGCATCGTAAATCGACAGTGGTGGGTATCACGAGGTCACACACAAAATTTCATTGAAATCCACAAAGACACAAGTGAGATATGAAGGGTTGAAGAGAGGCAATTGCATGAGGCGAAAGCAATACAATTTGTGGTATCAACAGCATCCCCAAAGTGTTATCAGTGGATATAGTTACAAAACATCAGAGTGGCATTTTCAAACACACGGCTCTCACAAACACCAACAACCGTTTATGGATCAACAAAATACTTATCAAAGTTCACAATAGTCCAGAATACGGCAATTGTTACCACAATCACCATAGCAACCCCATAGCAACCCATAGTAACCCATGGCAACTCCATAGTAACAGCTTCGGTTTGCTGTGAAATAAGCTAGTATCGACATTAGAGTTCACCAGCAGGCAACTGCCGCTGCTAAATGCTATAAAAGACATTCTTCTGGCACTCAGAAGGTAAGCACACAGAGATAGCATCCGCTAAATGAATTGAAAGCGGAATTTCTGCATACACAACGCACGTGCACACGTTAACGCCACTTCAAACAGAGGTTCGATGTTGGAAACCAGTTTCTCTATTGGCAGCTCCTTTGTACCAGTAGAAAGTGCAAACTAAATTACTTCGGACCTTCTGCAGCAGAACAAACTTGCAGAAGTGAAACTGCGAATTGAGAGCAAGGCGTTCGCCAGTGACACAGAACATTTTTGAGAGCTGCTCCTGTGCTGCCTCCTTCGAGATCCAGAGTCCACCTACAGCCGTGATCTTCGTCAAAGTCTCCATTTCCTTTTGATGTTGTTCTCTCTTGCGTGTGCTACCTGATCCTTCTCCTTCACTTGCTCCACACAGCAGTCATGAATTGTCTGCTGGCGAGCCTCGAAATTCGAACAGAATTTTGGTGCAGCGCGCCTGGATGCGTCGATCAAAGTGTCCCTCTCATCGGAGGATTTCTCCTGTAGCCACTGTGCCGTTTGATTGTTCGTAAACATCAGTAGCCGTTCAAGCACAACAGGGTCAAACATTGGCTTTCAGCACGCTTTGAAACTGGCTCAGGTAGGACGACGACGCATCTTTCTCCTCCGCCTCAAGCCCTTCTCCTCACTATCTACGTCCATATTTCCTCCTTGCGCAGCTATGCGCAAACCCTGGTGAACAAGAACTCAACTGTTTCTGAATGGAAACACGACGCTGAAGACGATAGGCAACGTTTCCAACGCGTACTAACAACATTTCCTTGTGAAAAAACTCTTTGCTGGAAGTGTACATGACCTGCAAGTCGTAAAAATGTACGCACTATGACGTATGTAGGCTCTACTGAAAGCTGAACGTCAGAGCAGCACGATGCACTGAACTACATGCCCGTACAATTACAACGAAGCATGGTGCGTACCTGTACAGTTTTGCGCATGCACTTGGCTGATACCACGCAAGTATGCACTCAGACCTCAGCAAAATTTGACAGGTCTTGTCACGTGACTGAAGTGCCTAGACTACTCTACACTACAGACCCAGATCCCGAAAACTGACCACGACGGCCCACGCGTGATATGACGTAGATCTAGAACTGTACAAGTACAATCATGTACATAGTCATTGTAGTATTTGTACCATGCCAACTACCATTGCAAGGTTGGCAAGAGGGGGTAATCATGGTTATGGACTCTTGTCTTGATTGTACTTTATTGACTAGTATTGTTAGATTGACAGCATGAAACAAGGTGATATAATAATTATTGGTTTATCTAGTAATAGTAATACTGTACTAGTTTTGAACTAGTATTAGGTATTATAATACATTGTGCTTGTACCTACTTTAGTACTTATTATAATAATACCCAATACTATACCAATATAATGTACTACAGTACAAGTAGTTCAAAACTAGTGCCAACCGTGTGGCCGCGTGGATGGTTGTACATGTAGTAAGGTCACTGTTTCCGAACACAGTGTCCTCCACCTGTCCTTGTTTCATGCTGTCAAACTAACAACAGTTACTAACTATTACTTACTTGTACCTACTTGTATGGACCTTTTTTGAACTCCTTGAGCCTCTTGTGAGTGAGTACGGGTTTATTATATTCACAAAGCACGAAGAAGTGTAAAAACAACAGAAAAATGATATTAAAGGCACCCATTTTGATAATTCAGGGGATGGCCCACGCCTGGTATTGCCACTGCATTATAACTCATACAAATGACTGATAAGTGATATTAAAAGGTGTGAAGCAAACTAATAACAAAAGTTGTACGGGCAAAATAACACCTTAATTTTGTGAAGAATCAACACAATTACATAAAACGAATCATCAGTACAGTAATGATTATACACACTCTCAGTCTGTCACTCAGTAGGATCACTGTAGGTTCACTGGACGCGTGCCTCCGCCACCAGCATGCATGCAGGGGACCTAATATTCTAAGCTTGCATAGACTGTGCAATTGTGATCAACATCGGTTAGTGAATTCAATTATCGCCATTATTTGGCCATTACCAGGGCCAAAACACCGACATTACATTCCTCCTTCCCAGGCATATTATAGCTATCGCATGCTTTCTCCTCAGCTAATTGTGCTGTCACTTGAGGTTGAAACCAGCGGCTACGAATTTGATACTCTATTTTACCGTAAACACTGCGCACATGCAGACTGAAAGCTCGTATACGGTAAGTTATAATCTCAATTCCTGAAGGAACATTATAAGCCTCAATTTTTTGAGGAGAACTTGACAGCACATTGACAATGTCAAATAGCAAAAGGAAATATCACGTGACGTTTTGCAGGCGCTGGCAATGAGATAGTTTACCGTTGTTTAAGGGGAAGTTAAGCCTAAATCAAATTCACCAGCAGTTGCAGTCTTCGGGGTGCTGAGTCGAATGGTCTTGGTCCGACGAAGCTGAGATGCTCTCTTCCTCCTTTAACTTAATCCCAATCGAACTCGCGCACTTCCCCATCTAGTAGGGTGCAGTCACCCAGTTTCGGTGGAAGTGCGCAAGTTCGATTGGGATTAAAGGAGGAAGGGAGCGTCTCAGCTTCCTCGGACCAAGACCATTCGACTCAGCACCCCGAAGACTACAACTTTAAGAAATGACGAATCACCTCGAGTAAATTTTCCTTGCTTGGCTCCCCATCCAGGTCTAAACAAATCACCCTGGTTACCGAGTGTTGTTTAAGAGAAGGAATAAACATGTATGCGGCAGTTTGTGGCTGGAATTACATGACATGTTTTACCAAGCAAGAGTACCCCCCACCCGCATGCACAGAAACACAAGGCAAGGAAATGTGCATCAGTACTTCAAAGTACATTAGATACTCTCGGCCTCTTATCATTGTGGCAAATGGTAAGGACATTGACTAAATACAATAGCTACGAAAAAGAAAAGATGCAGGTGAAAAGAAAAGTATTATGGGTAAAAAAAGAAGAAGAACAATAACAGCAAAAGCAACAAAAGCATGTACAGGTCATGTACAGGTACAGGCCAGGACAAAGGATGGATAGTTATAAAATATCAGTTGTATCAATATCACATCGTTGTGATGGCAAGGGTAAATGAGAGAGAGAGAGAGAGAGAGAGAGAGAGAGAGAGAGAGAGAGAGAGAGAGAGAGAGAGAGAGAGGGAGGAAAATATCAGCAGCACACAAAGATATGTGCTATATCACTCACAACAGAGACGATGGACAAGCAGCGGGCGATAATTCCCCAGCCAATAATTAAATTCAGCAAATAGAGCCTACGTTGTTCGCAGCTGGTAATCTGCATGAAGGCAACACAAAAATCAAACAGCTCTCATGAAGTACTTACAAGTTAAAACATTAGGTTCCGTCTTCTCCTACCAAAGCCCCACGTTTTGTTGTCTGGGAAAGGATGACAACTGCACCACCAGACTTATGATTACAGTGAAACCTCGTTAGGAAGAACACTGATATGACAAATGTTTGCCTAAGAAGAACTAGTATCCGTAACTGTATTGTATTCACTGGGTAAAACACATGGATAAGAAGAACTCCCGTTATTGCGAACAAATATCATCGGTCCCTTGATGTTCGTCCTAAAGAGGTTTGACTGTATAAGAAAACATGCACTGCAGGAACTGTTTGCAAGAGCTCCACACAAGTAGTAGACCCAGGTGCTCGAAGTCCGGACACTTTTACAGTGTGTGTTTGTCGAGCTGAAACTCACACTAGCAATGATCACTTGCCAGAATCCTGCTCGTGGATGGAAGGTATCTTGTCCAAGTTTGTTCTGAGGCCAGGCTCGATTGAACCAGGCCATCTTTCGACCCGATCTGTTTCTCTGGAGTTTGCTGATTTTTCATATCAAATTTTGGTGTCGCAGAGGGTGCGCTAAGTCCGTACTGATCAGAGGTGACTACAAATACGCACATATTTCTGCTAATTGCTAACTTGCAACCCCTCGGTTACGACGAAAGCACCGAAGCGATATGTTTGGCATGTGCCTCCACCAGTATTTCTTGCATAAGCGTAGTTTGTTGCCGAAATGCAAGCTGTTTTTAGTCGGCTCAGAGAAGAAGCAGCTGCGCTGTGAAAACCGCGGGAAAACAGGGGTGGAGATGCCAGGAGTGTCAACCTTTCTGCAATGATTGGTGGTTCTCTGTAAATTCTTCTCCTCTGGCCATTCTCAGCTCTAAGCTGGCTCTTGATGATTGAGTGAAGGTCTGTTTGACGCTGTGTCTGTTCGAAATCGGTCTTGGCAAAGTTGATTTGTGCATGAAATGTAACCCAATTTGTATTTCGTATGGACACTCGAAAACCCACTCGCGTGGTATGGGACTTCTGCTTATCGTAGATCCCTGAAAATTGCTACGCGACGAGAACATACCTCACTGTCCCCTCCATAAAATATTTGAGTCGAATACAATAACAGAACATGAAATTATGGGTGTACGAACTTAGGATAGCATGTACGGACTTCGAGCACCTGGGTCTACCCCACACACTTTGACCTTTTGTCAGAGAGCATGAATATTCCTCGTTGGAGCACACAGTAGTTCTGGACTGTGAACCGCACTGAAAACGCATAAAAAGCTCAAAAATGACCCCTGCAAAAATGACCAGGGCTGAACGCTCCATGCATATACAGGTGGAATCCTGACACTTGTAATTTGAACCCCAAAATGCCAGTGAAAAACTTCTAATTACTATCCGGACATTCATATGTCACCCATAGTTGCATTATGTATTCTAGACACGTATTTCGCAGACACTGAACTGGCCAGTACAGTCTGCTCATGCATACTGAACTGACTTGTATCATGTACCGTGAACTTCGAATTACGCTTTGCTAACTTCCAATTATCCTTCACCGGACATGCCCAGTGCGAGGTTCAAATTATCAGACATTAGAGAGGTTCCGGGGTACGATTTTCCGTGCCAAAATCCGTATGGGCTATACGGATTTTTTTCGAGGCGTGCTCCATACGATTTTTCGGCACGGACAATCCGTGTGGACTGACTTTCATACGAACCATGTTTCGTATGGAGATTTTGCGTCATCGGGTGCAGAAAGATTTTTTGCGTACAAATTTGGTACGAGAAACATCAATTTTCCGCGGGATTGTGACGTGTTTGCGATCGTAACCTAGGCAATGACGGCAAACAAATAAGTTCCGTACTCCGGAACATTTCACTGCTCGGAAACGACGTATAAAAAATCCGTAGCGCCTCTACGGATTTTGACACGAAAAATCGTACTCCGGAACCTCTCTATTGTTCAATTGACTATTTTTCATAAACTGCAATCAATCATTGCACTGGCACGAAGCTTCTACATATTGTCAAGAGTACATAACCCCCAAGAGTGTGCAACTCCAGCTATGTGGTCTGCGATGGCAGAACTTCACAGCACGCGATGAACCCGTACACATTATTTGCACTCTGTGCATGATTGATACAGGGTTGTACGCAACCCAGCTTCGGGTACAACTCTCTTGTGGTCACTTTGCACTGTTTGCCAGTGTAACCTTTTGAACCATGTCACGTGATGTGAAGTTCTGCCGTCGCAGCACTACGTATGGGTTATTAGCCGAGTATCAGGGCAATACCGGCAGATATCGTAGCCGGTATTGCCCGTACTACGAGGCTAATAACACATTTATTACATGCATACTTCCCTAATTTGATGTACTCATCAACGTACACTGCCTTCACACGTGGAATTCGGGATCATGGTACGAAAAACTACGAGGCACATGTATCCAACTGGTATTACATGCGCACCTACTTGTATGTGTACAGTGTGTATGGGGTCAAATGCCGGGCATTAGAGAGGTTCTGCTACACGGAACTACGTACCAAACTCCGTGTCAACTGCAGTGCAGTTTGACACGGATTTTTCGTACGTTGCACCGGTTCTGCTGTACGTAGCACGCTCGAAGCATGCACGAACACCCCGCCACATGGACTCTGTACGCTCACTTTTCACACGGAGTCCAGTCCGTGTGAAGCGCGCCTCACACGGAAAACGGTATGAAAAAATCCGTATCAAACTAAATCCCGTACCGCGGCGAAGTTTCCATACGTACTTTGGCACGTTTTACCGTGTGGCAGAACCTCACTAATATCGTGTAATATTGGACCGCCTGAGCGGGCTTGTATGGAGAAATATTGCCCGCTCTATCTGGTCGCTGATTGGCTGTAGACCTGGAAACGGTCACCTGACATGTAATAAATAGCTACTGTAAATATACAAATTTTCGGCAGCTATTTAATTTCGGCTATATTCGGCACCGACCCAAAACGCCTAAATTAAAACGCCGATGAAATTTTTCACAGCATCTGTCGCACTATACCATGCCCTCTACGTTCGTACCACACGCCGAAAATAAATCGCTGTCGAAATGTCAAAAATCGTGAAGTGCCGAAATTTTGTATATTTACAGTATATAGAGGTTGTGCAGGCAGTTGCACACTCTTGGGGGTTATGTACTCTTGATATTGTCAATATTGAGTGAAGGACAAACTAGGAAACTTCAGTCATGCCCTCAACCTACTTCAGGGTTCTAGCCAAAGGGGGAGCTCCCAGCTACTCTGAATGAGCTCCCTCCTGTGAAAAAGTAACGCCCCCTACTCATTTCAAGTGTCACTAGTCGATGGCCATTCAACGAAAATACAGTCGATGGTCACTAGCAGAGGCTTCAAAAGGCACACTTGTCTGGGATAAAGTCGGGGTACGTTGCATAAAAAAGACAATAAAGTGTAGGAAGGGCCAGGAAATTGGAGCGGACGACTTCACTAGTCGACAAGGAAATAACGATTGGTGTTCCTGCCAGAAATGTGGGGTGATGCAGAGGGTAGTCGATTACCTTTGCTGTCGAGAGAGCGCTGCAGCTGTTAGCATTGGCAGCCCTTTGACATGCGTTACACATCACCCCGACTTCGCGTCAGCTTGTCTAAACAAAACTGTTCTGACCATATGCCTCACGGCGTATAGAGAATTTCGGGATCCTCGTACTCGGACCAGTGAAGTCGTCCGCTCCAATCTCCTGACCCTCATCAGGCTGCGCTTCTACCAGGGGCACCTCAGGAGGTGCTTCAGGTTCCTTAGAGTATGGCCGCAGTTGTGAAGCTTGGGAATGTCGACTAAACATCGTTCTTCATCACCAGAAAATTCAAAAAACTAAGATCTTCAAATGCAGAGAATTTGAATACTAAGCACACGTGACGTCATCAAAACCATCAAAAGAGGAGACAAACTTGGTCCTCCCTGGCTTCATATATCGACTTTTTGGGTCTAGTTTTCGCGATTCCCCATTCCTTGGGGGCCATATAAGGCCCCCATGAAGAGAACACACCACCGAAAAAATTCCCGAAGTGCCCCTTTAAGCCTCCTGTTAGTCTTGAACAATACAACCATTGTAGAGGCCATATCCCCCGACAACTCCATGTTTATGCACACAGCTCAATTTGCAATGCAAGGCACAAATGATATTCACAAGGATTTTCACTGTTCAGAACTGGCATCAATCTGCAGGCAGGATCCAGCATAAACTCATTGCAAATAATGGCATGTATGTGTAAACATCAAACACAAACTAAACAAAGAGTACTTACCTCCATTCTGGGTGATGTAGCGGACCCAAGGCAATGCCTGATAACCGCTCTTCTCAATAATCTTTAGATACCGGACCTGTAGAAAGGATATAGGGCAGAGTGCGACAATCCATAAACGAAAATTCTACAACCTGCTAGAAGTGGATCACGGTTCCAAAATTTCCATAAAAGTTCTTTACAGTGGTAACCAAGTGCACATCAAAGCTAGGACAATTTCGTGATACAGGCATGCACACAAACACGTTGAAAGTTCAGACACCTGTATATACTGAAGTACTAGTACATGAAATGCAACAATATTCCTTCAAATTACTTCGATGGTGTGATCGGTGTAGTGCACCAGTGCACATGTATTAATAGGAATTCATTTGGCCATGGCCACGAGAAACTGCTCTGAGCAGAATGGCCGAGGCTAGCACTGACACTTCCATTATCACCATCTTAATCTCCAACACAAATGCTAGAGTCAAGCTCAACAGGCAGCTCCGTCAACCTTTCAGCACCAACATCGGAGTTGTGCAGGGAGACCCCCTCTCCCCCCTCATGTACATAATGTATGCTGAAGGGGCCATGAGGAAGATCGATGAACAGTGCCCGCGGAACTCGGCGCTTCCTTGTCCATTCTCGCAATACGCTGATGACACCACGGTACACGCTGCCAATGCCAACTCCACAACTTGCCAACTATCATCAACTCGTGCGAATCCATTTTCGTTGAAGATAACCTCCGCTTCAATGTCGATAAAACTGAGTATTTCAGAACGTCAAAAGATAACAACAACTGGAAATGCATCAAACTCCTTGGGCCAAGACTTGAAACAGCAGAAACAGAGAATTAGCGCAGCCAACCGTGCCTTCTCATCCATCGCTTGGAAGAGACATTCTCCTGTGTCCCGTTTCTGCATGTTTAGTTGTCTAATCACGCCCATTCTGTTTAATTGTGCCCTTTGGACATTGTCCAAAGCCCTTCCCTCCAAATTAGATATATGGCATAGGAAAAAGCTGAACTTTCTCATGAATATCCACCATCCTCATCAAATCAGCAATAATCACCTGTACTCCCAAACCAATAGCATCCCTATTACCTCTATTTGCAGAGAACGTCGACTTCTATGGTTTGGCCACGTTGTCCGACACCGCCCAAACTCTCCATCATACCAGACACTGATGTTAGCCACTGACCCCCTGACATCAAGAAGCCAAGCGGACCCCCCCCCCCCCCCCCCCAATGCGTTGGATATCAACACTGTCCGAAAAGATCTCAAGAGTGTCGAACTTACCATCAGCAACGCCCAGACCCAAGCTCATGACCGTATACAATGGCGAGAAACTGTCAACAGATGCGTTAGTTCATGCTTTGAGTGACATGCGAAACTGTAATACAGTCGACCTACCCTTATAACGATAACCCCTATAATGATATTACCCTTATAACGATATTTTTCTGTCAAACCAAATCACTCCATTGACTTTTGTATACAATGCCTTACCTCTATAACAATATCGCTATAACGATATTACCCCTATAACAATATAAAATAGGCTGACCGATTGACATTTTCCAGTATAACAATATCCAGTAGGGAATATGTAGAGTCCACTGTCAAGGTAGGGCAAGCTTCACTTGATGAGTCGCTGGGACATGACGAAATGCGATGGGGGCACCAGTGGGCACCTTGCTGTGTACATAATGTGCATGTACATAAGTTTTTGACGCTATGAAGAGTGTAAAAAATGAACTAAATTCATGCATTATGACGTATGTGTATGAATGAACCAGTTACCCCAATAACAATATTTCTTGGTCGGACGCAAATATCGTTTTAAGGGTAGGTCGACTGTATTATTATTATTATTATTTGGCCATGAAGCCAATTTCACTTATACGTGTTCTCGCCCATTGCCTATAGTAAAAATGTGAAGAGGCCACACGCTAACACGCATCCTCCTGAACATCACTTCAAGGTCACCAACCAGTACTAGAAAACACCTCTATATCACACACCCTGGGGTGTTCATGGTATGAAGCGAAAACCGTGATATAAGCTGCAGCGTAGACTGGGATGTAGACTTGAAATGCACTAAGTGCAAGCAATGAGTTTTGAAGGTAGATGTGAAGCAAACTCTGAGTGATTTCCAACATTATGCTCCAATGACAACTGATTGAATAGCTTACACCACAAAGTTGGATTTTACCAAGCTAGGATTTCATATCGTCAGCTTTATTTAGGGACAGCATAGGACTGTGTCAGACGAACTGATATGTACCGTATTTCCCCGAATATAAGACGCACATTTTTACACTAAAATTCAAGGGTAAAAATGGGGGTGTGACTTACAATCGAGTGTGACTTACTAGTACTACTGAAGTCAATATATCAAGTCACTATTTCTCAAACCTGAAAATGGGGGTGCGACTTACAATCGGGGAAATACGGTATTTTTTTCCTGTGGCCAGTACTAGAATGACAAAAAGGTTTGCAGAATTTTTCGGGTCTTCATGACACGTTGGCAGTGTGAGCATGATTCCACTTCATTCGCAAAAAAAATAGTACAAAAGTAGCCGTGAAAAGAAAGAAATCAGTGCTGCAATTCAGCCTGTCCCGGGCCGTGTTTTACGCCTCACGTCCATCAACAGTGCTCATCGCAATATTGACTGCTGAATGTCGTGTCGTACCAAGCATACACGATTTTTATAGCTCGTCCCAGCCTTCTTGCCAGGCTCATACGCCCCATGCCGTCAGCATTACGTCAAATGTGAACTAACCTTAGGTGTGAAGGACAGTACCCATGTCAGTACTGGGAATGAATTGATAATATGCTTCCCAGCCAAATCACAGTCCTCGATATTGCACAGATTTACTACGGTACTTTACGGCATAGGCTACAGATATAGAAATGAAACTGTCCTTTCTTTGGGAGAAATTCAAGCCTGCCAACAATACTGTTTCTTTACCTGAATGCCTGATGTTGTGAAGTAAGGGATCTCGAACTTCACTGAAATCGGTGGCTTTCCCTCGCTGTCCTCTGCAGAAGAGAACACGGAAGAAAAATGCACACGCACACACAGAGACCATCGAACAAATTGCAAACAAGAAGTCATACAGACTGATGCAGAGACAACAATGGGAGCAAGGACCATCAAGCAACCAGGCGTGAAATTCATGGTGTACATGTGAATGCAGACCTGGCATGACGATGGCCAAGTGCCAAAATATTGTACTGGTTCAAATTTGAAATGCCGTAGGAGTGGGTATGTCCACCCAAGTTCTTTTATCTACAGATGAAGCTGCAAGAAGCCTCAAGATTTCTACATACATGGCAAAACCAGTCCTGAATACGGAATAGTATACAAAAGCAGCAGGCACAGAAATTGATCAAGACACCGTACTAACCGGAATCAACACTGGGCAATCCAAAATGAGCTCTCAGCAGGTACTCCTTGCCACCCTGAATTTATTCACAGAAGCATATCATTCATCAGTTTCCTTCAGAAAAAGTGGAAGTCGTCATCTAATTCCTTTTCAGCCTTCAAAATGCATACTAACTTAAAGTAACTTTCCCCATTGTATCCGTATAACACCAATGCAACAGTTTTCTGCAGGCTCCCCCAGGTAGCATTACCGTACAATGCCTTGAACGATACGAGCACAAACCGGATAGACAGCAAAGCGATTGAAACACCATTTTTCAGCAAACAGATCAGTACTGCTACTTACAGGGAATGACTTGATAGACCAGACGATCGCGGACAAGTTCGGCGCATACTTGACTGTACCGACGGACGACTAACCACAGGCACAACACAAATATACACACACACACACGCACTGGTACACATGACTATACTGGTATTCATGTACACACTACAAGCTATGCAATGTAGGTGCAAGCAAGATTCCGTAGTGTGGCTGTCTCACATAGAAGCCTATTTTGAACAGAAGCCTGATTTCCAAGATACACTGTCAGCACATAAGCCTGGTTTTAGTGTTGACAGACATAGAAATACCTGTCTTGTATAGAAGCCTGCAAAATTTCCACAAAAAAGTCATATATTAAAGCCGCGGCTTTTATACACGACTTTACGAGTACATGAAATCTGTGCGTGCCACAGTGCCATAGCAGTCATAGAAGTAAGGAGCCAAACTAAAGGAAGAACACATGTACACTTGACTGAAGTGGAATGAAGTAGATATATGTGATACACTTTTTTCAAGCGCTTTTGTAGCCCGCACCTTAAACTTGGGCGAGTCAGCATCTGGGGGGACGGGAATGATCACCTCAACGTTGTTGGCAGTTGAGCGGCGTTTGAATTGACTTTTGGCCTTTCGCAGTAAGCACAGAAAGACAGATTGGACAGAGAGGCACACAAAGAGTGCACAACACAGTCGTAGTTAGAACACCCTAGGCAGACATGGGTCAATGCGTACGCGTGAAGAATCCAGCTCTACGTTCTGACCATCTCCTAGTCTGTAATAAAACAGATGGGGTACGGCTTTTTAACAGCAATATACGGAAAGGGAGGAGAGATTGTTGCAAATACGAAAAGCATCGAGCTTTCACAACGACACATCCAGACGGGAAGAACATGGCTGTCTGACATTCATAACTCTGAAGCTTCAACAACCAAACTTACAGTGAAATGGAACTTGTTAAGAACTTGTGCCAACACACATGCGCTCAAAACAGCTCAAAGGAGCAATGCAAGATCTTAGCAGCTGGTATAACAGGAATAACAGGACCCCCCCCAACACACACACACAATATACGTCCAGTACCTTGATCATGTACTCTACGCGACTGTGAGAGTGGCGCTCGATAACTGACTCAATCCAGATCAAAGGCTTCACCTGTCGACACAGAATGTGTACCAAAGAACGATTTTAGAAAAAAGACAGTTGAAGTTACCAGCGAAACTGCAGCACAGACTCACACGGACAAAGTAATTCTTGGGAGAAAATCAAGAAAGCATACCTCTGTGTTCAGACGGTAGGACATCAGCTCAAATTCACCATCTGGCGGGATGAAGGAGATTGTGCGATCATTCTCGAATCGTGACAGTCTCACACACTGATGAAACTTGACATCTTCGAGTTCCACTGCTTTAGACTTACTCCCTAAATAATGGTAGAGCACAATGCAAAAAAAGCAAACACATATGCCCTGAGCCCAATGCCATTCACATTAGCACATTTTCACGGACCGGAAACAGGAATGGAAAGATGAAAGATCACAGCGCTATACTGGAGGGTGTAGATATAAACCATACAGTGTACCTCATCACCCATTCAAAGAGCAACAGTACCCATAGCCAACAGGCATGGCATAAACGCAAATGTAAATGTCAATCAAACGACCGGGCAAAGAAGTAGAAACTGTATAACAAAGTGAGCACTCACTTCCAGTGTTCTCAAAGAGCACTTTGTCGTTCAACCCAAGTCGCAGCTCCGGCATTCCAGACAAGAATACGCGCATTTTCACTGAGCCGATGATTTCACTGCGGAGTACATTGCCCGATGCACTGACCTAAAACATAGCAACCAATATGCGAAATATTATCGAAGAGAACTTCACATGGATTAAACAACAGAGAAAAGAAAACATACTGAAATGAAGTTGTCCTTACAATGGTTCCCTCTACAAACACGTGCGCGTGCACACACACACACACTGGACTGCACATACCTACAACAGGCACAACAAAGCTTGTGGGGCACTGGAACTTACAAGCAGATTGAGAGACTCAATAACATCAAGGAAGACCTCATTCTTGCGATACTTGATTCCCTCATTACGCCATGAAACGGCATTAGTGATGGCAGCAGGTGGTCGTGGAGCACTCTCCAACTTTTGACCTTCCTGCGTAATGAACTCCTGCAATATTCTCGTTTCTGTGGTCTGCGGATATCCAAAGTCCATCAGCTCGTCCAGCAACTCGTAGATAATGACAAAGTTGTCACGGATTGATTCCTCCTCCATGGTTCGGAAATACTCGGTGAAAACCTGTTAGCCAGGTTATGGGAATAGAGACAGGTAAACATGTTGTGCTGTCAGTTCCGAGTGAAATCTGTAAACTAAACTAATGAGAAGAGGCATTATAGCTATGAACAAAAATATATTATTATCTCCACGTCAACAAAGAGGTATTATGTTCACAAATAACTTTTTGTCGCAAGACGCCCACTGCCCACCACCTATTTACGTTTTTTAAATACATATTGTAAACCGCCTAATGTTCGGGGTTTCTCAAACCAGCAAGTTCACGATGTTCACAGACTGTGGCCACACAGAGACACCCATTGTTTTAGTTCGATTTCACGCTGGTTAATACTTGCATTACACTCTTTTAGGCAGTTCACAGCACTTCTTTTAACTATAAATGGCAGCGGGCATGAAACCAGAATAGTGGACCACGTGTGACTCTAGTGCATGTGCATAGGATTCTCTTTTCCCTGGCGGCTGTAAAATCAAGTTGGGATACGAGAGAGAGAGAGAGAGAGAGAGAGAGAGAGAGAGAGAGAGAGAGAGAGAGAGAGAGAAAGGAGAGAGAGAGAGAGAAAGGAGAGAGAGAGAGAAGGGGCGCTCTGGCAATACTTTACGCTACCAGCAAACCAAGGGACTTGTGTGCTACCCACGGATGGAATCAGTCGTGCTGAGACGATATGGACTAGCAACTCACAAGCAAAAGGCCTCCATGGAATAATACACACTGTGCAGCCTTGTGTCATATTTATACCATGACAAGGCCAGTACAGTGGTGGAAAAAGAGACTCGGCCTCAAGAATACAATAGATACTGCAGCCCTAGCATTACGAAGACTAGGCTATGCAGTGGGCACGGTTCTGCTTTATTCATGAGGGTGGATTTTATTCGCCACCACTGCAGTGTTTCACACAGGCAGAATGCACAAACACGACTCACCTCAACAAGCTTGTGCAAGAAGACGAAAATGAGTGCAACATTGGCATTCTTGCGCGTTGTGGCGACAACTGAGGAATAGTCAAGGAAGATTGCCTAACAACAGCAAAATCTGCATTGCGAATGGCATGGGATCCCTCACTACTGGTGAATCCGTAGATTAGAGGGAGGTCAAATGGGAAATCCTCAGTGATTTCTAGTGATTTCTCTATTTAGAAAGAGATGCGTCCTATACAGACACTGCATGGGTAATACGCATCGGAATGGTACCAGGATCAACGCCACGTGGCCGTCCCCGTCACAACTGGTTCACGAAATTAAAGGAAGGGTTCAATATGTCATGCAGTTCTCTCTGTCTCTCTTGCTGCTGATGGGCGCGTCGAATATAGACAGCTTGTTTATGAGTGTACGTAGCTTCTCTATTGCCAATGACAAATCAATGCCCCTACGACCAATACGGCTATGGGCGATACATACCGGTACATACATACATACTATGCATCATATCAATACGAAGCAGAGCGCAATTCACCCAGGTGCATACATCATGTAAACAAGGGAGTCTTTTAGCGATATCAAGAACACACGCGATAGTGCAACCCTGCTTGGTTTGGCCCACGAGTTTGTTGCTCAGGGTACTTGGAACGGGTTTCAGAGTACATTGCTGCCCAGCACATGCTTTGTGCGACATGTGTCATGGGTTCTGAAAAAGTGACGTCAACAAAAACAGCTGCGGAGTTGCAGACTTTAGTTTATGTATTTTTGGTGGTGTTGATCTGCCCATCTCCAATGGCAATGGAATATGAAAGGAGAGAAAATAGAGAGGTTCCGCACAACGTAATTACGCTAGTAAAAAGCGCAGTTGATCTACGGAAAGTCTTACGTACACTGCATGCTGATCCGTGTTCCGCCATACAGAGTTTTCAAACCACGTTGTTGCCCTTGGCAACTCCGAAGGCGGCAGTGTACGATCTAAGTTATGGAGAGTCATAAATTTGTACCCCGATCCACTTGCAGAGCATCTACGTCAGTAGAGCCCCACTTACGTACTCAAAGTAAACAACTTCCCGTAAGTGGAGTGCAAACTCTCGAATTCACGGGTTTTTCCCGCCACACTCAACTTTACGTAGCGCGGAACCTCCTTATTACTTTCAAACTTCCTATGTTTGGCAAGGGGTTCAGAATATTTTTGATGTCCATGTGCATATACCTCATATACCCCAAAAAAGCTGCTGCAAACATAAGTCATTACGAGGAACAGTATAAATATTTGACAGCCATAATTTTATGGCACAAAAGATGCCTCCTTCACAGTGATTCCTGTCTCATCATCCCTCAAAATTAGCGAGCAGCATCACTGCCCTGAAATTGGATGTCATTCTTCTTAACTACCATCCATGAATAGAGATGCAGCAATGGCAGGCTATGGTTTGCGAGGATACTGTACAAGTTGTTATGTTTGATGTAGACGAATGTGACATTCTCCATCACAATAATTGGTGCAGAAGAGCCTTCATCCTCGGACTCCAACACTAGAGGTAAAAACTTGTCTATGACTGTCATATCCACATCTCCACGATAATTCCTGGAGATCAGGACCTATTCGTGAACGAATGATACAAATTCAAGCTCAGTGCAAAAGAAACGCGTCTTTCTTACCCCTTCAATTTTCACACATACCTTTCCTTTGAGGTCCAGAACGAAGATTGCCGAGGTTGACATCCTCAAGAGTTATTCCTGCCTAAAAGCAGGTCTTAGACTATACGAGGAAGAACTACAGGAACCAGCTCCAACAAGAAGCAGGTCGACCTCAAAACCTCGACATTAGCTCGGCAAACAGCCAAACCTAAGCTTCGCACTTGCAGCTTTGTAAACCAAAAAAACTTCACAGAAACCAATCCAGGCTACTCTGTACACGATCGCAGTGGCTGCAGCCGAAACTACACCACCGTGCCGGATATGCGCGATATGCCGTCAATGGAACATCGCGTACCGCGCCGTCGACGCGCTGTATGTACGAACTTACTTCTAGTTCTGTCCTTGTGCCCCGCGGTCCGCACGGGTGCGCCGCCGCTAACGAGAACTGTAGTGTTGTGCAGTGTACATGGTGTAGCTCTAGCTAGCGCTACGCCTCCGGAACGGAACTAGCACAGTGCATGCAGTACAACTACAAGCTAGGCTAGGCTTTGCTTTCGTGATCGGGAACGAGGGAAGAGAAGAAGCGCTCCGCTTTTCTAGATTTGATGCTGTTTCTGCGCTTGAACAGCAGCGCATAATATTTTCAGTCATTCTCCTGTTCCAAAATTGGGGGGATTGGCAGTCACAATGGCGTTGCACGTACCGAAATCTGGATTTTCTTCCATGCTGAAGGATGGAGCGAAGGTATCGTTGGTCTCTTGTCCCTTGGTCTCTCATCCTGGTATAGTTTGGACTGCATCTGCAACTTGAATTTATTTGTATATTTTTCATTGGGATAGCACATGTCTGGTTTGAATGAGGCTACGTTCAGAAACATTTCAGCATGCAACGAGCTAACTACCGTAATACGTAGCTCTTATGGACCAACTGGTAAGAGAGATTTTAACATCAATCTATTTATTCAATACTGCTCGATTGAACTTATTCTTACTTGAAGTGCAATTTCTCAGTACTGAATTTACTCAGCAACCAATAGTTAATTAGTAAGACTATCATTAACTACCTGTCTACGCATGTATTCTGTCGATTTCACAATTTTCATCTGAATGTATATGAAAAGAAGAAAGAATATTGGTGGGGACATAATCACACGTTTAAGTACTCCCCACAACAGTCATAATATTTGTTTATACATGTATATGACAAACACTGGTGCTGGTATCCTGTGGGGATATTATCTATTATCCTCTGTCCACAGCCCTCCCTAGAGCATGTAGTTCCAGTTCACTTTTACACTTGACACGTGTGTCGACTGAATCAAACTTATATAATTATATCAGTGGTGCTGTTTTAACCGTTTAGTAATGTACAGTGGTCCCTCTATAATCCGGCACCATTTGTGCCACGAAAATCTGCTGGATTAGGGAGGGTGCTGGATTAACAAATCTGATTTACTGCTGCAATGTGCATGAAGAGGACATTTTGGCTACTGAAAATTGTGCTGGTTTATCGAGGGTGCTGGATTATAAAGTGCCGGATTAGAGAGGGACGACTGTATAAGCTTGTCAGAGAAATACGCTACGCAAGGGTCGTCATCTGATGTGACCTACCCTTGTTACTGTACAGGAACGGTCAAATCCATGAGGTTATGTTTGATGGATTTAGTTGCAACCCAAGATCTGCTGTGGGAAGTTTAAAAAAGAGATTCTTGGTGTTTAGCTAGATTCTGCTCTTCATGACAGATACTACAGTTCAAGGATTTGGTGTACAGTCAGACCTCGCATAACCGCACACATCCGTTTTCCACAAAAATGCCCGGATAGGCGAGGGAACCGGATAATCGAACACACAAACTGAATGTATGCTTGCCATATGCTGTAAATCGGTAACCACCGTTTTTCTTCCGGATGGTCAGGTATCCGGATAAAAGAGGACCGGACAAGCGAGGTCTGACTGTACTTGCTTCACATGTGGAAAGGAAGATGTTCTGCTCTACATTTCCGCCAGTAAATCGCATCGATTTTATTGGGAATCTCCTGTTCCAAATGTGGCAGTTTCTGAAGTTCTCCTGGCTGATCAGGACGTGTGCACATTTTCTTTGCGGATGCCACGATATAAAGAACATCTATCTCTGTGTAGAATTCTGGACCCAAAACACATGAAGCCACAGACTCGAGCTCAGACACTTGTTCTTTCCATTATCTCTCTGTTTCACGAGCAGAATCTCCCTGTTGTCATTTGCTAACGTAGAGTGTTTGCTCTTCCATTCTCTGTACATAGGCATGAACAAGATGGTAGTCAACCACCTTGGCAAGGTGTTTGTCTCCAGTGATGCACAAACAATTGTGCGAGAGCTTGAGGTGAGTACGATTACTAGAGAACCTGTAAATGGCTGCTGACCTTCAGAAGAATGCTTGTACAGTAAAATCGGTAATGGCGACCACTCGGATATGGCGACCACTTTTCCTTGTCACAGCCGCAGTCACATTCAAAACAGCTCGGATAAGGCGACCACTCGCTCAACGCGACCGACGACCACCCACCCGGGACCGCGTTGCACACTGCTACGTGTACAGCATTGCACTCACTATGCACCACACATGGTAGATTTTTTCAGAGAGAAAAGCTTCTTGTATGTGCAAAATTCAAAACCGATGTTGCACAATCATGTACACATGGATGTCAAAGCTAAAAAAACACTTGGTACATGTAGACCACATAAGCGCAAAAAGTATAGATGTACGTGTACATGTACGTGGTGCATGCACAACACTTGACAGGTCTAAGACTAAGGCCCCTAGGGACCCAGGCACATGACTCGTGCATAGGTGTGTCCAGTGTGGTACACTGATCGAAATATATATCACATGTATGTTGTGAATATCGTCATGTGGCCCACTGAACCTGGATAAGAAGACCACCTGGCCAAGGTGACCACATGTTCTCGTCCCTTGAGTGGTACGTTAGACAGGTCTCGCTGTATATGCCATTGCATGCCATTTAATGCTGATAATGAACTGATGGATGTCATGCCATACACGCATCCTATTTGTCTGCGTGGTTGCGTTGTGCAGCATTCTCATTCTTTGTTTGGGGTGCAGGAAGGGTCTGTAGTATCCAACATTGCATTGTTGGTGCACTTGGCCTTAGGGACTCTAGGACTGTGTCTCATACATTCAGACCGCGGATAATGCATTATGTGACCTGCATTGACAAATGTGGTTGTCGTTGCAATTAAATCATACGGTAATGGAATATCGGTGTCTAACTGTTGTCTCCGTCCAGGTTCAACATCCAGCTGCTAAGATGCTCGTTATGGCATCTGACATGATGGAGCAGGAGGTGGGATGATCTTTCACCTGTTTTCTTTGAATTTTAGCTCTGGTCAATATCATCTGCTTGTGTTAGTTCTGACATTATACAACAGTGAATAGATGGATGATCCATGTGACTGATTGACTGTGCACTTGCTGATCTTTTTTTTTAGTTCATGCGCTGTGTGTTTCCGTTCAGCATAGCAAATTCTGTGTTGTGTTGTTATTTCTGTTTTTTCTTTCAGTGCGGTGATGGTACCAACTTTGTCCTGATCCTTGCTGGCATGCTGTTGGGTGGTGCAGAGGACCTGTTGAGAATGGTATGATGTTACTTACATTCGGTCATAGTCATCACCAGTTATGTATTTGTCATGTGTACCTTGTGTAACCTGTGACTGATTCCTATGTTGATATAGATAAGGCTTAACGCTTAGATCACTAAAGGTAACAGCTTGCCAATAGTTCTCTCCTGATATTCTTTTCTTCTCGATGTGCGGTATGGATTCTAGATATGAATAATATTTTATTTTGTCCCTTCACAAACGTGCTAATTCGCTATGTTCTTCTTTTAAGTGCGGTGGTGTTAGTCTACATACATGTATATTAAGTATTTTGTTCCATCGCAATGATCAAGAACTTCAGATATAGCACATGGGGATTTAGACCTGTTCTTGTTTTTTATGTGTAGGGTCTCTCTGTTCCTGAAGTTGCTGAGGGCTATGAAATGGCTGCTGCCAAGGTGCAGGAGATTCTTCCAGGTATGTGTCAATTGTTATATTACGCTGTATCCATGTGATGGCTCTTGCAGGTGGAATACGATTTGTGTGTGTGTGTGTGTTCTGGAGACAGTATTGTATGTTGTCTGAAGTGAGTTTTTAATGGGGGGGGGGGGGGGTTGTGCGCACTTAGCCTGCAAACCAAGAGTACATAACCCCCCAGAGTGTGCAACTCCACTATGGGTGCTGTCCTGACAGAAGTTGACGTCATTTTTATGATGCAATGCACACTGTACACGGATTATCAGACGTATCCGGAACCTGTGGTTGACCGAAGCCGATCGATCCTGTACAAATTATTGCAAAGAAAAACGTGTGATGCGTTGACACCCGTACACATATTGTAAATCACTGGTGCAAGGAGCATTGCGTCATAAATAATGACGTCAACTTGAAATTCTGTCGGGACAGCAGGGTATGTGGGAGTTGCACACTCTGGGGGGTTATGTACTCTTGCTGCAAACTTATCGACTTCTAATTCTATTATTTTGTTGCTATTGTTGAAATTAACTACACGTGTAGCTTCTTTTCATTTGACTCTACCTCCCTTCAACGCTGTATCCTGTTTTGAAAAGAAGCGTGTTGTGCCTTTGATACGAGGAGGACTAGGGCTCTGTGTTGTCTTTCTTTTCTTTTGCTAAGGTCTTGTGTGCTCAAAACTTGAGAGCCTAACTGATGTTGAGCAAGTTGCCAAGGCAATCAAGACATCTGTTGCCAGCATGCAGGTAAGAACTGAGTGATTTGTTTGGTGGATTGATTGTCTGTACATGTACTCTTGGCGGTGTATGTATTTTTGAAATTTGAGGATTGTATCCAAGGAGAATATATTACGTTTTGCCTTTGTTGTTTAAGATTTACACTTCTTTGTACTGTGCCTTGCTTCTACAGTATGGCTATGAGGGTTTCTTGAGCAAGCTTATTGGCGAGGCATGTGGTGAGTACTCCATACAACTATCAGCAGCATAGTTCCTTTTCCCTGTTTAGCTATTTTTCTTGCATCTGCACTAGGGGTGAAAGTTGGCATTGAGATCCCGAGTTCGAGTACTCTGATTTTCTCCGATCGAATATTCGAGTATTCGAGTATTCTTCATCTCCTAAAAATTGCACACCGAGGGCCTTAAAATCACATGATACAACCCTGATTGAACCGAGTGGCAGTCATTTTTCTCTGGTATATTGGTTGCTGGGTCATTTGGGCTCTCTCTACTCGTGAGCAAATGTTCACCACACAGTCTGCACAATGTGCACATCAATATCTGCCGACTGCTGCTCTGAAACTGCAGATTTCTGTGGTAAATGCATGTACCACGTATGAACGAGTACTCTGATTTATTCCGAGTACGATTATTTCTGAAAAAACCTAGCGAGTACTCGAGTATTCGGTATAATTGTTTCACCCCTAATCTGCACCAATGCACGCGTTAAACTAATGCGAGGGAAACTTCTATTCTTCTAGGCTAGACACCTCTCGACTTCTGCTGTTAGAGTAATATGGAAGATTCCGCTGCAGTATAGTGCCAGGTTTGTCCTTGCCGCCTGTAGTCTGCTTCTGCTATTGGTTGATTAACGCACTCTCCACATACAGGCATGCACCCGGCTCAGAACACATTGTTTTCTGGTTGGCATATCAGGGATATTGGGCGGAGCAGCTGGCGTGCATGAGAAAGACAGGTCGGCCTGCTCTGCGCAGGAGCTGTGACCCGGTGCACACATAGTGTGTGTGTGAGAGAGAGACAGACAGGTCGGCCTGCTCTGCGCAGGAGCTGTGACCTGGAGCACACAGAGTGTGAACGAGAGACGGTCGGCCTGCCGTGGGCAGGAGCTGCGACCGGTAGTGATTGAAATGAGCCAGCTGCGGAGATAGACTGCCCTCACCCGATATAAGTATATTGACAAGAGTTGTACTGACACTGTTATTGAGGAAATTATGGTGACAGTGACGGAGAGATAGTGATCCCCAGTCGAATGGGGTTGGGAGGGAAGGGGAAATTGACACTGACGGACAAACCAGTGAACAGTCAAGTCGTCAGAAAGCAAAAGTGACAAAGGAGTCTCTCTTTTCTCCTTCTCTCTCTCTAAAGCAAGATTTGGAATGCATGCGTGGGAGAGTGGCGCGCGCTGCGCATGCGCATGTATAGCAATGACATCATAATCAGATGCATGATCATCAGACTAAGTATGAGTGGTAGATGTTCCACGTTCGTTAACAGGGCTTAGCGCACACGCTAAACCACCATTAACGCACTCTCCACATACAGGCATGCACCCGGCTCAGAACACATTGTTTTCTGGTTGGCATATCAGGGATATTGGGCGGAGCAGCTGGCGTGCATGAGAAAGACAGGTCGGCCTGCTCTGCGCAGGAGCTGTGACCCGGTGCACACATAGTGTGTGTGAGAGAGAGACAGACAGGTCGGCCTGCTCTGCGCAGGAGCTGTGCCCTGGAGCACACAGAGTGTGAACGAGAGACGGTCGGCCTGCCGTGGGCAGGAGCTGCGACCGGTAGTGATTGAAATGAGCCAGCTGCGGAGATAGACTGCCCGTTCCCAATATCCCCAATATGGCATGAGAGTAATAATGAAATACGACTGGTGTATTGTGCTGTACTGACAGCAGCAGCAATGTAAAGCTAAAGCTAAGCAGTTCAGGCATGATGTGGTCACTGACCCGCAGCTACCATTGATGACTTTGAACTGCAGCTAATTGACGTGACACTCGCAGGGTGTCAGCTGTAGCAGCCCGGATGTAGCGGTGGACCGCATCACTGCGCCATCTACCCATGATACGGATGATGTGTTCGGGGACACCTGCCATGGCCGCTGATGTTGCGGCGCCAATCCGGAAAGAGTGACTGGCATATGCACTCGGGTCCGTGACCCCACAGAGTGGCAGCAGGTTGCGCAGTTCAGAGGACACTGCATTTCTTGTAAGCGGCTGGCCATTAGCATAAGTGAACAGATGGTCGCCGCCGGGGCGAAACGCCAGGTAGTTTGCCATGGCCTGCACTGGGCAGATCAGTGCGTCCGTGCTGGCTCCAACCAATACTGTGTGGCCCGTGCTGTCGGGGTCCGTCTTAGATGAGCGCACGTTTACCGATAACGACCGCTGGTCAGTACTGATCGTCACATCGCCTCAGGCCAGCAGTCAGTTCTCCACAACGGAAGAACCCATGAAACGCCAAGGAAAAAGCTGCCCTCAGCATGGCCTTGTCGTGAGGGTGCCGCATGCGTGGAACGGCAACATGCCGGCAGATCTCCCTGAGAAGTGGAGTGGTTATCGGCAGACGATGACGCTGTGTCGATGACGACCTGTCGATGCCCCGCAGGACCCTAGCGAGGAGAGTTGTTGGGCCCGACGGGTAAGCAAAGCCAAGTTCCACATGAAGGTTGCGGATTGCCGACATGTAGACACGGACAGATCGAGGCTGAAGAGTCCTGAACAACTCGGCAGCAAAATAGCACAAAGTAAAGTCGTCGCCCGGCAATGGGTTGCAGGCATGCACTTGGCAAAACTGGAAGTAGCGGGTCTCGGCGGTAGAATACGTCCGGCGGGAGGATGGTGCTATTGCCAGTGCTGCTAGCTGTAGCACGGAGTCTGTCAACGGAGAGTTGGCAAGACTGGCTGATCTGGCTCGGCTGCTGCTTCCGGGGCCTGGTGCCTGAATACCTGCAGCAAATTGCGAGACAATGCATCGGCGACAGTGTTAGTGACACCAGGAATGTGGACAGCTGACACCAAGAAGTCATGCTCAATACACAGCAGATACAATGCCCGGATAAGTGTCATGACTGGCGGTGAACGGCAGGTACCGGAGCGTATACAGTCCACCACGGCCTTGTTGTCACACTGAAACTGAATGCGTCGCCTGCTCCACTCCGAACCCCAGGTCGCGCAGGCAACTATGATAGCATACATTTCTTTGAACTCAATGTTCTCGTTCTCGTTCTGGGCTGTCCACTCTCCTCTCAGCCACCGGCCGTTGTAGAAGGCACCATAACCGTGAGTGCCGCTGGCATCAGTCTGTAGTTGCATGTCGGGGGCTGGCGTCCACTCATCCACCAGGAAGAATGACTTCCCATTCCATATGGTCAGGGCCTCTGCCCACCACAACAGGTCTGCCATTGCCGATGCCGAAATGCGTAGCCATTGGTGCAATGGTGTTGATCGAGTTGCTCTGTCCAGGTCGTACAGGCGTCTCAGGAATGTGCGACCAGCTGGTACAGCTCTGGACGCGAACGAGAGTTTGCCCAATACGGAGGCGAGGTCGCGTTTCTGAACCCGGCCGGATTGGACGAGGGCCGACACGGTGGTAGATAGCTTAGTCAGCTTTGAGGGTGGAAGGCGGATCTCCAGAGCCATTGTGTCCAGCTCTAAGCCCAGGAAGGTGAGAACCGTAGAGGGGCCGTCAACCTTCTCAGGTGCAACTGGGACCTGTAAATATGCAAACAGGTCGAGCAGTAGTGACTTCTGGTGCTGGGCAAGAGGAAGACTGGGAGGCGATACATTCAGGAAGTCATCCAGATAATGAATGAGATGGGGAAGGCGGCATGTGTCCTCCAGAACCCAATGAAGGGCAGATGCAAACTTGTCAAATATGTACGGAGCTGACCGAAGGCCGAACGGGAGGACTTTTTCGAAATAGTAACGACCATCCCAAGAGATACCCAACAAGTGCCAGTCAGAGGGGGCAACAGGTCATAATCGGAAGGCGTTTCGAATGTCCACTTTGGTCAGGTAGCAACCACGGCCGAACTTCATGATATAGGAGATAGCCGAATCGACAGTGTCATACTCCAAGCTGAATGACTCCCGGGAAATACCATCATTGACACTGCGGCCAGTGGGGGAGGATAGGTCATGGATGAGGCGAAATTTGCCATTGGATTTTGGGATCAGGCCCAAACCCGAGGTTTGAAACAGCTGATATGGCGGCTCAGCAAACGGACCAGCTGTTTCCCCAGCATCGCAACAAGACTGTAGGTACAGGGTGACAAATTGTTTATTGCAGAGACTAGACGGATGATTGACAGATTGAATGCATGATGCCAGAGGAGTGGTGTGACCAATCGAGAAGCCGTTAAACATGCCAGCACATACATAATCACGAAACAGGGCATCAGGGTGAGCAGCTAGCAGTGCAGTTAGCCGAGGCACGTTGACTGGAGTGACGACGTCACTGGGAAGACTGAGAGGCCGCTCGGGTGCAAGTCTTCTTTGGGTGTTTGCCGCGGCATGACAGACAGACATGGGCCCGTATGCAGGACGGGTATGTGCAGGCGCCGTTGTTGTAATTCCGGCAGATCTGGCGGCCATCGTGACGAGGAGCTGGGCTGGTGGCTGACTGGCTCCCGCCTGCGTGCTGCGCAAGAGGGAGCCCTCCACGAAAGGGGCAATGCGGGGCTGGAGATGGGTGCACGAGAGAACAACGCGAGCAGATAGGGCGCCCGCGGCTCGTGAAGCAGGACTGCCAGAGGTTAGGGTCCAGTTGCCGCCAGGAATACAGGTGCGGCATGGCAGCAAGACCAGCACGGAAACGACGGTCATAGGTCAGCCACGCGTCGGTCAGATAATTGTTGTTGGCCTCGATGATGTTGGCTTGGTACGCCAGCAAATCTGGAGCTTGGTCCGGCGACGCATCGACCAGGACTCTGGTGAACAAGGTGAAGGCCTCTAACCACGTCGCCAAGTCATGGACTCGGCGCTTGGAGGGCTGGGGAGTGGACGAGCTCTGCACCAGCTCAACGGACCTGCCGTTCACCAACGACAACTGCAGGACATCACTACTGCCGGACATGGCTTCAGGCAACAAGTCCCCAAATTCGACAAACTCACCTCGTGTGATACGTTCCCGTAGCCGTGGAGGGATGACGGGGAGTCCTGGAGAGCCGGCTGCGCAAGCCAAGTGCATCGGGGAAGGCTGCCCCAGCGGGAGAGGAGCTGATGCTGGTGCTGGTGCTGGTGCGGCAATGGGCGAGGTGGTAGGGGCGACGACGTTGGATTCCAAGCGCTCCACGCGCTCCAGGAGGGGCTGGATAACACCAGTCAGGTCGCTCAAGGTGAGAGGAGCTGGTTGTGACGGCGCAGGAGAAGTCACCTGGTCCGCATTGGCTGAAATGTGCCCATGAGCGTGGATCACACGGGACCTCGCTCTCCGATGGTCTTGAGAATTCGCAGAATTCACAGCCCGCTGCGGATACGGGTATAGAGCTGGGGGACCGTCAGCGTCAGTGCCAGCAGCGCTTGCACCCCGTGAGGTGCTCCGTGTTCTTGGCATGTCCGTTGAAAATGTAGGAAATTGACACTGACGGACAAACCAGTGAACAGTCAAGTCGTCAGAAAGCAAAAGTGACAAAGGAGTCTCTCTTTTCTCCTTCTCTCTCTCTAAAGCAAGATTTGGAATGCATGCGTGGGAGAGTGGCGCGCGCTGCGCATGCGCATGTATAGCAATGACATCATAATCAGATGCATGATCATCAGACTAAGTATGAGTGGTAGATGTTCCACGTTCGTTAACAGGGCTTAGCGCACACGCTAAACCACCAATAATCAGACCTAGTAGCTGTTTGACTGCACGAATGACTGTATATTGTTGTCTTTTGGTGCGTGTGAGACCGGATCATAGCTTGTTGTCTGTCATTGGTCGTAGTAGATAGACATATTAGGGAGGTTCTGCTCTACTTTTTGGAAACGCGACGCAAAGAATCACGCGAACTTTCTTCACGTTCCCGTAACGTAAAGAAATGCTGTTCTGCTCTACGTTTCACCTAGAGAAGTCACGTGGAATGTGTACTGGGAATTTCCCCTTCCATATTTGGCAGTTTTCTGCATGCAGTTGATCGATATCCAGCAAGTCCGTACGCATTTTCTCTGCGTGTGCCACAACGTGGAGAACCTCATCTCAGCGTAGAAATCTGGAACCAAAACACGCGAAGCCGTAGACTCTAACCCAGACACCTGCTCTCTACGTGATTTCTCTACGTTTCACGTATAGCAGAACCTCTCTAATTATAGTTGCCCTATTCTTTTCAAATTCTGGGGACTTGTAATGTTGTCTCTAGAAGTCGTTCTATGAATTAATGTTGCTATTTTGCCCAGACTTCTAATGTTTGAACCTCATTGTGAAGAAGTGGTTGGTGCGACTTCAGCGATAGTAGGGGAAGAGTATGTTGCTCCCTACATGGGAGCTCGCGGTTTTCCTGCCGACTTGAATTCTCTCTTGACTGACTCACGACTGCCATCCAGAGCACACGAGAAGTCCATCGAACCGTCCACTCGGCAAACCTGCAAGAAAACACCACACCCTGCTCAATACACAGTGTTTCGGGGAATTCACCCCTCATCAGTTGAGCTTGAGTAGGCTGAGGAAGATTGTGCCTGAAGAGCACCACTTATATAGTGCTCTTCAGGCACAAACATCACCAGGGATACAAACTTACAGAGACGCTCAGTTTCCAGCGCGACAAGCACATTATCATTACTACGTACCTACGGATATGGGGACCCCCTAGAATTACTGCAGGCCCGGACGCTTGATTTTCTTTTCTTTCTTTTTTTCTTTTCAGTGTCAGTGTTGTCAGAGAAGAGAGGATTCAGTGTGGACAACATCCGTGTCTGCAAGATCCCGGTATGTTGCTTATAGGGTGTTAGTGATGTGTTGCTTCTCCTTTTCTCATCTTTCCTGTGTCAGAGAATGGTGTTTTGGTGTCGAAATAAGGTTTTCCATGCAGAGGTCATGTGACTGAACATGTTGGAAGTTGGAACTATTGCAAAGTGGGAAACTATTGTGAGAGATTGTTTTTTTTTCGCTAGATTCACGACCAACGCACATTTGCAAATTCAAACGAAAACTGGTATTTGCATTGATTGTGAACACTGCGTTATCCAAGTAGAAAACGGTTCAGATGGTTACTGCAAATCTAAACCAGCTTTGTTCACCGGCTTCGACTTCGATGAAACTGTAGCAAGCCTCAAAACGTTTCCTGGCTACATGATCCAACTGTAGATATAAAATCGCGAAAGTTTCTCGTGGAACACCCGTGCCATTCTTGAAAACGCCAAAAAAGTACATAGAGCTTTACACTAGACATACCTTGATCGTTGTGGTTTCGAGGTCGTATTTTGTCGTTGTGGGCTCTGAAGTTAGCGATTTTTTCCTCGGTACTGCAAGTTTCCAGCCAGGTTCACAGACTCCTCCTGTGTTACCTGTCCTTTATACTTATACTTGCTACAGTGATCAAGCAACTTGTTTGACTTGCAGTGTGTGATGATGTCATGCTGTGAGATAGGTGTTGCTTACAATTTACAGTCACAGTGGTCTGGGTTATGCCAGTTTTATACTTGGAAGCAAATGACAGATGCATTTTCGTTGTGTTTTCATTTGATATCTGCTTGAAATAACAATCTTATTGTTTGGGGATGAATCAATGTTGTTTTGTTATAAATTCCGGATTCGTTGTTTGCAGGGAAGTGGTGTGCTTCAGTCCAAGGTCATCCGCGGTATGGTCTTCAAGCGCGAAGTAGAAGGTATGGTTTGCAGTGTGAGGCCTGCAGCTCTTGTCTGCCTTGTAGCACAGTGATTCTTTGGAAATCTGTGTCCTGCACGTGAACAACTAGGCCAGGATCTTCTGTAGAATTCTCTGCTAGATTGTGGCTGTTACGGTGGCTGTGTGTGTGTGCATGTACGTGCATGTACGTGCATGCTTCCTGTTGTTACAAGATGGTATAACTATGCTCCCAACATGAAGGCTGATGATGTATGCATGTTGGTTTGCAAATTGGTGCACATGTACACATTGTACAGGTGATGTCACTCGGGTGGAAAATGCCAGAATTGTGTGCTTCAACTGTGCATTCGACTTCATGCAGACAGAGACCAAGGTCAGTGTTTTGCCACCCTGCATATGATTGATGGATTTCACTGACAGATGCGTTAAGCCCATGGATCCTTCCATGAGTGACATGCGAACTGTAACTATTGTTGTTATTATATGATGAGGACTTGAATGACATATTTTCAATATCTATTTTGTAGTCTTTCATGAGGTCAAGTGTGGTTTTGTCTTTATTTCTCCTTATTCTGGTTTTGCTACCTTTGTTGTCTGTTTTTCATTTGTAACAATCAATCCCTTTCCTTAGTTTGTTTTCTGCTTAGTGAAGTAATGTCGTTGACGGGAGATATGCATAGTGTAGGGTGTCATGATTTGTTGGTAACTTTCTGCTTTGATGTATTTGACTTACTAGGGCACTGTGCTCATCAAGACAGCCAAGGAATTGCTCAGCTTCAGCCAGGGAGAAGAAGATCTGCTTGAAGCAGTAAGTTGTCGTGCCCGTTATAGGATGTTCTGATTTGTTTTCGTTCGGGTGTGGTTGTGTGTGTGTGTGGCTGGCTGGCTGGCTGGCTGCTGTGACTGCTTTGCAGATGTGTTTGTTGTCATTGCAAGTTTCCAGCCAGGTTCACAGATACCTCCTGTGTTACCTGTCCTTTATACTTACACTTGCTACAGTGATCAAGCAACTTGTTTGACTTGCAGTGTGTGATGATGTCATGCTGTGAGATAGGTGTTGCTTACATTTCTTGACAAGAATGCTTATACGTTTGGTTTTTAATACCGGCTGCTGCACAAGTTTAGTGAGGATTGAGTAGTCGGTGATGGACAAGAACCTTTGGAAAATGCATGTCTTGCTTTTCTGATATCTCTGCCCACTCTGGGCAGAACTACATCCAGCTGCAATTATGAGATCTATAGTAGTCTGATGGTGGTGTCAAACCTACTTGTTTCTCACTGTGTTCTCTTCTATAGCAAATTAAGGCACTGGTTGATCTCGGAGTCAATGTTGTTGTGTCACAAGGCAAGCCAGGTGACATGGCCATGCATTTCGCTAACAAGCACGGTCTGATGGTTGCCAGGTAAGCAGGTGCTGACATGTGCAAGGAATGGTCTTTCCACCCTCGGTGTTTCTTTCACTTTTTTTCGTTTTTGTTTACCTCTGCTCACACATAGATAGCTTTTCAATTTCTGTGCTGCTGGTGCCACCACACTGTGTTGCTCTTCTTGTTCTGTTGCTGTGCTTACAGAGTCATGTCAAAGTTCGATTTGCGCCGCCTTTGCAGCAGTATCAATGCAACTGCCCTCCCAACAATGGTGAGTTTGATGTTATGCTGAGTTCACTAAGGATGAAACGGAACTGATTAAGAATGGATTGATTTGGTCGCTGTTCTAATTGTGTCTTTGGTGTTTAGTAAGTGGTGCCAACTGGGTGGTCATTCTGCAAGTTTCCAGCCAGGTTCACAGATACCTCCTGTGTTACCTGTCCTTTATCCTTACACTTGCTACAGTGATCGAGCAACTTGTTTGACTTGCAGGGTGTGATCATGTCAGGCTGTGAGATAGGTGTTGCCTACATTTCTGTACCGCATCTTTGTTAAAATCTGATGAATAGGACTGGTCGATGTCTTTTCTGTTTCTTGTCTTTGATATGGCTTTCTTATTTGGTGTCTTTGTCTTCAGACTGTCCCAACCAAGGAGGAACTAGGATCTTGCGATCTTGTACATGTCACAGAAATTGGCGACACCTCCCTTACTGTCTTCCAGCAGAGTAAGTGGTCAACACCCTAGAATCTTGTTTAGTGGTATGACTCGTCTAGAGGCATGACTCATCTCGTCTTGCCGCGGGAACATCTCTGTCTGAAGTGTCATTATCTTCTTTTAGACTGTGGGTCTTCACAGTCGTGACTATCGTACATTATTTTGGGTGTCAAGAGTAAACAAGACTGATTTGGCTCCCCTTTGCTTTTGCTTTTGAATCCCTCTATCGGCTGTGTGCTCGTTCAGACCGCCAGGAGAACGCCATTGCAACCGTCGTTGTGCGTGGGTCTACCAGCAACCTGATGGACGACATGGAGCGCGCTATTGATGACGGTGTCAACACATTCAAGACTCTGACAAGGGTGCGTAGTGTTAGTGTTTTCTCTTCAGGTTTCGCAACTGTCGCTTCTTTGACCTGCCTTACCACCGTTGTTGCTGGCCTTTATGTCAACTTGATCTGACACCGTGTCGGTGTGTCTTTGTGTTGGCTGCATTGCTGCTTTTTCTGTGGCAGGACCCTCGTTTCGTTCCCGGAGCAGGTGCCACCGAAGTTGAGCTCGCATTGCAGCTTGCATCATACTCGAGGGTGAGACCTGCATGTGTGTGTCTTATATTACATGAGCTCTCCACTGTGGAGCTGTTGAAACTACATGTACTAAAAGTGTTCGGATCTTGTACAGGGTCCTCAAGTGAACCAACCATAATGTATCAGGTGAACTGTCCTCCTCTAGTAGGATTGAGTTCATGTAGACGTCTGAATAGCATATACCCCACATACATGTACATATGTGTCCATGTTCTTGAATTTCGGGTCTAACTCCAACATCAGCGCCAGTAGCTCCGAATGATTGATCTTATTCCTTTTCCTGTGTTTCCTCGGCTTGTATGTTTCTTGTTTTCAGACTATTCCTGGAGTGCAACAGTACGCCATCAAGAAGTTCGCTGATGTGTTGGAGACTTTCCCGCGTACTTTGGCAGACAATGCTGGTGTCAAGGTATACTAGCTTGTTGCTATGCATTGGTGTGTGTGTGTGGCTGGCTGGCTGGCTGCTGCTGCGGCTGAGACTGGCTCCTTTGCATATGTGTTTGTTGTCGTTGCAAGTTTCCAGCCAGGTTCACAGACTCCTCCTGTGTTACCTGTCCTTTATACTTACACTTGCTACAGTGATCAAGCAACTTGTTTGACTTGCAGTGTGTGATGATGTCATGCTGTGAGATAGGTGTTGCTTACATTTCTTGACAAGAATGCTTGTACGTTTGGTTGTTAATCTCGGCTTCTGCACAAGTTTGGTGAGGATTGAGTAGTCGGTGATGGGCAAGCACCTTAGTTGGAAAATGCATGTCTTTCTTTTCTCATGTCTCTGCACAATCTGGGCAGACCTACATCCAGCTGCAGTTATGAGATCTTTAATGGTCTGATGGTGGTGTCAAACCTACTTGTTTCTCACTGTGTTCTGTTCTTTAGCAAATTCTATAGAAAGAACCCAGCTGAAACAGGTGGCATATATCTCTGAAAACGTAGTTAATGCCAATGTACATGTACTTGACAATTGCTCTGACGAAAACATTCTTTTGAGCGTGTAGCATGATTTTTTTGATGTATTGCTCGGGTCATGTGAATGTGATGTCAACTTTGTGTAACTTTTGTAACAGGCAAATGCCGCTATCTCCAAGTTGTATGCTGCACATCAAGAGGGTAACAAAAACGCCGGAATTGATATTGAGGTAAGGTCGTTGCCACACCAACTGTTCCGTGTTGCTGAAAGTGCCTGTGCTGAATGGAGAGATCGGTCACGCAATGAGGAAACGGATCATGAGATCTTCTCCAGAAATACGTGACTTTTATACGAGTTCACCTTGAACTACAAACTGTCTATATCATACCGAAATGTGGGAAATACGTTATTTGCAGCCTTTGAAAACATCTGAATGCACTCAGCGCTTTCAAAACGGTTGGCAGGTGAAAATGCCTTAGAGCCTATAACTCAGTCATTTCCTGTGAACACACTGGGTTTTTTTCAGAATATCTGAATCGCCTCGGTTTATCTATTTGTACCAGTAATATGCCACACTCATATCAAATGCATAGTTTTTCTTACGGACTACAGAGCGTCGCTGGTTTGCTCCCTTCCATCCCTCCTTAGTCCTAGTCACGTTGTATCACTCTGTATTGTGTGCTTGTTTGATGTGTGTGTGTGTGTGTGTGTTTCTTCTGGGGTTTTTTTCACTGTCTCACAATTTGTGTGTATGTATGTGTGCTGTTGTCTTCCTACTCTCCCAGAGTGAAACCGCTGCACATGTTGACGCTTTCGAGGCTGGAATTCTCGACCTCCTAACAAACAGATCATGGGCCGTGAAGCTGGCTACTAATGCTGCTGCGACTGTTCTCCGCGTTGATCAGGTCAGTGGCAAGGACTGATGCACATAATATTATAAATTTACAATGACCTTCGTTGCTTATCTCTGTGAAACGCGACAACTCACCTGATGCTGGACAATCACCAGAAATTGTCGTATGTACTGTATAAGAATATATTTTTGTTTGTTCGTTCAACGGCGCGGGTTCTGACCATAGCGGCTGTGCATACTGTGCATACTGCATGTAGTACAGTCGGTGCCGAACAGAGATAAATGCTAAAGAAAAGGCGAATTTGAGGCTTTGAACGGAAGTTTCTTTTACAGTTTGTTCCTAGGAACATCCTTCTGAATTATGTAACTATTGCAAAGTGGGAAACTATGTTGCTTGATGGGTGTCAAGAGTATGCAACATCAGGCAATGACCAGTATCCAGAATGTGCAGCTAGACAGTGTTGAGGAAAGTGTGATTTAATGTTTGTGTCATTTTCGACGTCATGGCACGATAAAAGATTGTATTGATGCATTGCTACAGTAATGGCAGCATCAGTAACTCATCAAAATGACGTAAACGGCAAATTCCGCTGTCCAAGACTCGTATACAAAGTACTATTTGGACACTCTTCATGTACTCTCGCCAGTGTGGACCTACAATGGCAGAGCTCCACATCACGTCACACACAAAAAAAATCCGCACACATCGCTACAGTGTGTGCTTTGCATGGTAGCTGCAGCCCGTACACAACCTTGCTTAGGGTACAACTCTGGTGGTTACTTTGCACTGTTATCCAGTAGAACCAAGAGTGTGCAACAAGCTAATGTAGTGTTATTTTTATGATAGCTGTCTTTTGCAGTCATGTGGCTCACTGATGCCATCATGTGTAGCCAGAGCTCAAACGTGCAAAGGCCATGTATAGCAGCTACTGTTGTCAAAGCAGAACAGCGGAATGTAGATCCATGCAGCCATTCATCCCGAACTTGATCAACATGACAAGCGCAAATGTTGTCTTGTTTTTTTCTGAGTTTTCTCTGCATTTGCATGTGTTTTCGTCTTGCAGATCATCATGGCGAAGAAGGCTGGTGGCCCCAAGCCTCCCAAGCAAGGTCCAATGGATGCGGATGACTGATCAAATTTTTTATCTTCTAGTTGTGCAACAAAAAAATCTAACATACTGTACATATGTTTCATACATTTCATATTCCTATAAAACACATAGAATTCAATGTCAAATTCTCCCTCCCAACTTTTCTTGCAGTTTGAAGTGTACGTGATCTCCTGGCTAACAGCTGGTTGTAGTGAATTATGCATGTCCGGAGAGGGATGGCCTTCCTTATGCAGTATTTTCAACCGTTTGTTGGGTCTTATGTTGTTTTTGTGGAAAATGGGTTCGTTATTTCACATCATAGTAACCCTGTGAAGAAACGGTTGTTGCGACTTTGGCGATACTGTGATCATGGTAACCCTGTTGAAAGTTGAAACACTAGTTGGGAACAAACTTTCATTAGATCCTCTTGCCTGATGAAAGTTTATGTTGGTATACAGTAGAGTTGCGCAGCACGCCCAAGAACGCGGTTTCCAAGAGGTCAGCCTGGGGCGTTCTTATTTTTGAGCAACTGTTTCTTGGCTGCATTCATATCACGTCCTTAGAAACAATTCGCACTACAGATCGTTCTTCGGCATGCGACTCCACTGGTTGTGTACTCTTGGTTACATCAAGAGTCCACAGCCGCCCCCCCCCCCCCCCCCCCCGTGTGTGCAACTCCACTATGGGTGACGACAAGAGTACATAACCCCTCAGGGGTTATGAACTCTTGGTGCCGAGCAGGGAGTCGTAAAATACCGTATTTTACGACTCCCTGGTGCCGAGTTCTGTCCCGACAGAATTTTCTACATGTAGTGAAGTTGACATCATTTTTATGATGCAACACGCACTGTACACGCATTATCAAACGTATCCGGAACCTGTAAATGTTGTGGACAAAGTCCCATTTGATACTGGTGCAAGGAGTATTGCTGATTTTTAAAATGACGTCAACTCTACTTGAAATTCGGGGGACAGCAGGGTATGCGGGTGTTGTGTCAGTCTTGGCGGGGGTATGCACTTTTGGTTACATCAACCGCACACATCTGTTTTCCACAAAAACATCCGGATAGGCGAGGTAACCGGATAACTGAACACACATACTGTATATGCATGTGGCATGTCAAAAGCAGTGACATCATACATTACATACATGCAGACAGGCCTGCAGGTCCTATGCAGTACAACTAGCATGCCCAGTATGTAAAACAAGCGAGAAAAATGACAAGTGCATGCAACTGAGTGCTGTCCGCACACATCCAACAGGTCAAGGACCTCATTTGCTTGTACAACTCCTTGATACTAGCTTCTGCAAGCGCTAGCCAGCCACATGCAACCGGATACGACGAAGCATTTTGTACACATTTTAACCAGTTTGTACACAAAATCATGCACCGGTATGCGGATCGCGAGGTCCGGTTATGTTGTATGCATAACATATGCTGCACATCGGTAACCAGCGATTTTCTTCCGGATGGCGAGGGATACGGATAAACGAGGTCTGACTGTAATACTGCAATGCTGCACGGCAAATATTAACTCAATTACTTACAGTAGAGTCGCGCGCTGAAGAACGTAGAGCCCAAGAATGTCCAGCCTGAAATTCTAAGAACGCCACAGCCTAAAGCTAAGAACGGCGGTGTTGGTTTTCTGGCAGCTTGAGGGATACATTATGATCTGTCCCTTTGGGAAAACGCGGCCAAGAATTCAAAATTCCGTGGGGAAGAGGGGGGTTTTCTGCGGCAGTTTCTGCGGTAAAATCAAAAATCTGCGGCACTTTCTGCAAGTTTTTCACCCTCCTCGTAGAAGATATGACAACTAGTCGCATGAATGAGCACTTTTCATACTATCCTTTGCAGTCACAAACCGAATGAGAGTGAAGAATCTTGGAGAGACCTACACTGGCAAGAGAAATGTCACATGTTAATGATGTTATATGTGCTCAAACAGATCGCAAAGTAGTTTTTCTGCTGCTTTCTGAGTAGTAATTTTAGTAATTTACCCAAAAAATTCAGATTCCGCGGGCAAAAGTGTGGATTCCGTGATTTCCGCGGATGATGGCAACTTCTGCGAAATTTGCCACAGCCGCGGAATCGCGTTTTTCCAAGAGGACAGTATGATCCAGTGCGGATTGTTTCTAAGAACGTGCTATAAGAACACAGCCAGCTTGCTGAGAAATAAGAACGTCCCAACCCCTATAAAAAAAAAAGGCTAACCCCTTGGAAACAACGTTCTTGGGCGCGCGACTCTACTGTATTAGACTGACTTTTCAGCATTCGTAGGAACACCACTACCCTGAAAATATACTACAGTAGTATATTTGCCATGCACCATCACAGTCTCATAGCAAAATGACTTGCATACATGTAGTCAGATTCCTTTGAGCAGTGCTCTACCTGTACATACTATGCACCTATAGTACATGTACATGCTTCTCAAGTTAATCTACTCTTTAGCAAAATACCGGGTATTCTATCACTCTCTGATTCACACCCTTTGACTTTTACCAGTGTTGACGAACTTGAGGTCTTGAGGATCTCCCTACAGCGTGGACACAGTATCCATGTGAGTATGAAGTGAGGGGCCTGAATTCGTGTCATACAGCACCTTGGAGAGATCTCTCATCGAATTCACACCATGGAAGGGGTTTGTGCTTTGGCGCTACAAAACTTATAGTAACAGTATTCTCAAACACACAAGGCCAACTACAGGCCAATAGCACATACGGAGCTAAATGATGCTCATAGTTTATCAGCGGCAAGACGTGCATCCAACTTTCCACAGCATGGCAATAGCAGCCAGCCAAAAATGGCGAACTACTGACCGAGACTTTCAACTTGCTCCGTGTCATTGATGTCGATCTTCTCAATCTTACGGCCAAAATGCTTCTCAATTTCCATTAGGGTATTGAAGGAACGACGACCATCCACCAGGTTGATAGCCAGGCCAGACTTGCCAAATCGGCCTGTTCGACCAATCCGATGTAAGTATGTCTCGAAGTCAGGCTTGTGTTGGTTGGCGACGTCGACAGGCACATCATAGTTGACAACCACCGTCACCTGGTCCACGTCGATACCACGAGCGCATACATTTGTCGTGACGAGTAGCTTCTCTTTGCCAGAGCGGAACCTGTCCAGGATTGCCATGCGCTGCTCCACAGCAAGTTCACCAGTAAGGACGGCAACGGCATGGCCATCTTCCGACATCTTCTTTGCAAGCCAGGATGCTGACTTGCGAGTCTGGCAAAAGATCATAGCTTGACCGACACTAACTAGACCGTAGATGCTACTGAGTGACTCATACTTCTCTTGCTCGTTGCGACACATTACGTAGACTTGCCGGATGTTGTCCAAACTCTCTTCTTGTCGTTTCAGTTTGATGATAACAGGATTCTTAACCATGTGCTCTGCAAACTGCATCACTGGCTGGTCATATGTGGCGGAGAAGAGCAGCATTTGAGCGTGTGGACTGAGCTTCTTTCGTATTCTCATCGACTGGTCTTGGTGTCCCTGCATGGAAATCATCACGTCGGCCTCGTCAAGGACAAAGATATTGAGTTTTGTGGCATCAAACGCACGCTTCTTGAATATCCAGTCGAGAACCGTACCCGGGGTGCCGATGACGATCTGCTCTGTTACTGGCGGCTGCGGATGACGACCTCTGATCGCATAAGTGACACCAATGTTGGTGCAGAATTTGGCCATCTGCGTACAGACTTCACCGATTTGAAGAGCCAACTCCAGTGTCGGGGCTAGTGCCAACGCCTGTGGGTGCCTCTTAGTCTCATCAACACGACTGATCATTGACAAGACAAATGCAGCAGTCTTCCCAGTTCCGGACTGAGACTGGGCAATCATATTCTGTGGAGGATCAGCCAACAGAAGAGGGAGGGCAGTCTCCTGAATCTTCGATGGTCGGTTAAAACCCATGCCGTAAACACCCTGCAAAACCTCCTTCCGTAAATGCAGATCTTCAAATGATCTCACAGAGTATAGTGGATTGGATGGGTCAGCACGTTGAACTTCGATGGGCTGTGTATTAGGAACAAGCTTTTCACGTAGTAGCTTGTTCAATAATGAGGTTTCAGCAGCAGATGGAGTTTCTTCTTTGCTTTTATCATCTTCTGTTGTTGACGCAGCAGCGCCTTCGGGTGCTGATGACTTATCCTGAGCGACCGCTGCTACGGTGGTGGCTCCAATAGCTGTTGCCACAGCATGACTCTGGTCTTGCGTGGAGGCTGGAGACGGGGCAGATAATCCAAGGCCAGCAACTTTAGCACTCAAGATTTTCTCTTGAGCATCTGCGGCATCACCCCAGTCGCCCATGGCATAAACCCTAAGCTTGAACAAGTTTCTTTTTGATCTTCTTCTTGCATCAACAGAGAAAGAGACAATCACACATTTACGGTGGAAATTCACCAAAGACAGTTTCAACAAACTGAAAGAAGAGATTTGAAAATGAAAAAAAGCAATGCATGCCTTTTGTCAGTTTTTGTTTTGCGTGTTCTTGTACGTAGATCTATGCAGAACGTACCGGTATAAACTGGTAGCACAAACCGTCGTTAGAACCAGGGAGTACGGTAGTACTACTCCCTGGTTAGAACGTCGAACATGGAGTAGGCTGCATGCACAGCTCTGTGCAGCATAGGTTCGACGTACAGTGCTGGCAACTGAAATCCGACCCCCTTGCCGGGGCGGCGCGCCGGCAAGGGGGTCGGATTTCAGTTGCCAGCACTGTAGATCAGATTCTACAGATCTGTAGACTACACATTCGAGCCGAGAGAGATAGCCGGCTGTGTACATGTTGAATATGTGTAATTATTTAAAGGAAGAATTTAATATTTTCGACTTCCTGTTTTTTTTTCACAGCAATTTTTGCATTGGGTTATTGTTGGATACATGATTGTTGCACCGTTGTAGTTTCGTAGCGCTGGTGTCCTATTGTTTCACGTAATTATGCAGTGATTTGGTCTTTGGAGTTGGTGGTAGAGAGTGGAAACATGGCGTTGCCATTCACCTCTACTCTAAGATGCACATCTGGGCTAAGAACGCCAACTGTGATTTTCTGTCGCACGGCGAGAAGTAAACACAAGCGTAACGCGAAACCATCCACAAGAGTAAAGAGGACCGACTTTGGTGGTGAAGATGGTGTTCAGTATCGGCCTCTTCGTACCACTGCTGCACGTCCAGAAGTAGATCCATCTGTATTTTACGATGGCGTTATATCGTAAGTTCTGGCGCTCTGTTTATCACTTGAATTACAGTAAACCTGTAGCTAACGACCACCCCTTGGGGCCAGAAAAAGCGATCTTTAGTGTCAGGTGGTCATTACTGTAGTTAGAGGTTTGCACTGAGCGACAATGCATGAAGATGGATCCCATTACTGTATATGATATGTATGTCAAAGTGCAGCAGCTGCTAAGGCCATCATTTTTTATAGGTATCTATGTTTCGTGTCAGTTCAACTTCCAGAACCATAATGCGAGAGGTGGAAAAAGTAAAAGTTGCAAAATAATAAAAAAAGGCTCATCAGATGCAGAGGTGTATGCACTGTACATAGCACAATAGCTCGTGCATGGTGTACATTCGAAAGAAAGATCGTACATTGTAGCACAACATCTGGTTAAAGGGGAACTCCACGAAAAAATGAAACTTTGATAGCCTGTAGAGTTTCGGGCGCTGAGTCGAATGGTCTTGGTCCGAAGTCTCTACGACGAAGCGTTCTTGAGATATTTCACTTTGAAATTGCAAAAACGGGGGCCGCGCCCTGACGTCATGCGGCCATTTGGTTACATCATCACGGGCTGCCTACGTCATTGTGGCAAAGTCGATTCTCTTCGCCAGTCTACAAGCACTAATTTTAGTTGGTATTTCAAGGGAAGATGGGCGATTCCGAACAATCCTCTGTCCCCAGCAATGAAGGCAGCGGTGCTGAGGCCAGTGAGGACGACCAACAGCCCACCGCCGCGTATGGTTGGGGCAGGGAGCCCAGATACTCTGCTGAGGAGCTGCAATCGCGTGTAACAAATGTGGAGGAAGAAGATGCGTCAGCAGCTGCGTCCGACAGAAGACGAGTAGCTTGGCCACCAGAATCTCGATTCGTTTGGGACTCCGACTGGTGCGAGCGTGGACAAAAGTGTATAGCCATGCCCAGCCCGCGGGAATGATTTTGCTGGTAGGATGCTGCCGTCGCTGTCGACAAGACGGCCCAAGGTTTCTTGCGTAGCGGACCTCGCAGATTACGAGATCGTATCCTTGCATTAGGCTGTGCTCATCACTGCTCTTCGAGGTTATCTCGACATGCAGAAGCCGCCAATGCCAGTGACAGAAGAGTCTGACATTAGGTAAGCCTCAATTAGTTTGCCTTGACTTGTCTTTTTATTATTATTATTATTATTATTATTATTATTACTTGTGAGGATCGCGTATCAGCATGATACACTTATTCTTATTTTTTGGGGGAAATTTATTGTTGTCAGGCGCACTACAGTAGGCGTCGCACAAGAAAGACATTGTACTGGTAGTTATCACAAGTTTCATGCATGACACAAACAAATTTCTCTTTGCTCCGAGTATGCCTTGACTTATCTTGTGAGGATCGATGCGCGTAATGTTTTGTGTGTAACTAATTATTGTTGTCAGGCATAGCACGAACAACGTTGTTCTGTACTATAGACCGTGCTATCACAAGTTTTCATGCATGACTCACATTTGTCTTTGTCATTTTCCCTTGGATTGGTACAAGATCTACAAAGTATGGTAGGTAGTGTTCTGTTGGTGAAGAGAGCACTGCATACAGTTTATGAGCACCATGGGTGCATTAATTTTGATCACACCCGAACCCATACTTTATCGTTTCAAGCGATAGACTTTGTCAATAAACTCGTTTTCTAGTATACCATGGCATGCAACGTACAAGCGTGGGGTCAAGAAAGCGTACACCAAAATAATGCACAAATTCTGGCAGGAGAGTAAGAAATCTGTACTTTCTGACCAAGACATCTCTGTACTAGTAGGTAATCGAACGCGTCCTAATCAGTATTCATCCCCCAGATCATTGGAATTCAATTTGAAATCAGCAATTATGGTAAATTCTACAAGACCCTCCATCTTTGTACCAGTGGACACTAAATTAGTATGGCGCGCGCACTGAAAGTGCAGGTAGGTACCGGTAGGTGCAATACAGCGCATATGTAGAGTAAATGAGTATTTGACTATAATAATTATTACGGTACAGCAATGTGGTATGTGTACAAGCACTCATCATACACATTCCATATGATATTCTGTGTTTGTGTAGATCTCTACGCTATGCGGCACACAGGCAGTACACACTATGTACACGGCAAATTGGGCAAGCACGTTCGTTGTCGTCTTCCAGCCTGCGTTGTGAATACCATCAGGCAAAGATATCCAAATCCTGCACCACCTCAGCCTTCTCAGGAGGCTTCCACCTGGAATTTGGCAGGGAAACACGCTTCTCCAAGGCAGGAACATGGAGGTTGCCATTTGCAACCGCTACCACCTCACACATGAGCTTGTCAACATACTCATAGCTCTTTCTGTCGTATAATTTTCTATTTGGCCACAGTCTTCTTTATGCTTTGAGAACTGGACTTTATACCTTCCTATCGCGGTCTTTTTGGTTGTGCTGTGGCGACGGTTGACATTGACGTCGTCAAGAGCTGCGAGATGTGCGTGTCCAATCATCCCCAGAATTGAGAAACGAATGCGTTTGAGAATGTAGTTTGGCATGACACTGTGATATACCTGCATGGCAAAAAGAATGTGGAGAAAACACACTTGCTTAGACAATATACTGCTGTATGAGAAAATGGAAACTTCACCGTACAGGACGACTCTTGTTCTCAATTGCATTGTTCGTTTCATTCCCTGTGTTGCCCATAAGAGACGGGAGCAAAAATGTTGCAGCAGATGTTTGTTGTCTTCTGGCGTGGAGTGGCGGCGTCATTAGATGTACACATAGTCATTTCACTTAGTATACCACTACTACAGCATATGTACTATCCTTAGGCTAGCGTGCGTGCGAGTGAGTTTGAGTATGTGGGTGCGTATGTGTGTGTGTTGCTGTGTTTGTGTGTGTGCACGCACACGCACGCGCGCGCATGTGGGTGATGGTGTGAGTGCATGTGTATGATATGTGTAGTTCCCACTGTATTCCTTGCACAATAGGTCTTCACTTACTTTTCTTTCGCATACAACCAGAACCCATTCCTTGTTCGAAATTAGATTTTTTGGCCTGGTGATCCCGCAAGCGTGGAACTCGGAGTGTAATATATTTTTGTTTCACTTTACTTGCACTATTCCAAGGCTGTCCAGACTTCTAACAACTGCTCTGAGTGATATGGTATTCATGCAACCATGCCTAGAAGTAGGGTAGCTGTTATAAATAGAGACATATCCACGCAATCAACTTACATTGGTTCAGTTTGGCAGGATTGGTGAGACAGTTCGTCGTGCATGCTGCCTGCACATCGCAAGCAAACAGTTCTGTAACCTTCGTACTTGCTGGGGGTCTGTCTGTTTGCGTCCCAGTTGATGACAGATGTGCACAGTTTGAGTACTGGTATGCGCAAAGTTACTGGGGTAATATCGTTCATCAGCTAGCTGCAGTCGGAGTTGATGGGGTGATGTACTCTTCTGATCCTGATGGGACGTATCTCGCCCTGCTTTCTCAGTTGCAGCTTGTTGAGTTCGCTTTGCTGGAGGGCTTTCCTGGACGGCGTACTCGTCAAAACTCAGCTCTCAAGTCCCTCTGGATCATAAATGCAGCGAGCAAACATAGCTCGTGCTGCGAAAATAGGCTTGAAATTTTCACGACGCATTGCAACATCTCGGCGCTTTGCCAGGTCTCCATCCTTTGGGAATTTGAGAAAACTAACCCCAGGAGGATGATGTGATACTGGCACAATCAACAACACAACAATTTGGCATTGCAGCGGCTCAGGCGACTTGGCAAACTACTTTCTGAAGTGACTTTCGTCCTGAAGAAAGTGAGATTCAAAATCCAAGTATTTTCGCACATTGCCACAATGACGTCACACATACATTGGTATGGGGCGTGGCTAAAATTGAAATATCTCAAGAAAGCTTCGTCGTAGAGACTTCGGACCAAGACCATTCGACTCAGCGCCCGAAACTCTACAGGCTATCAAAGTTTCATTTTTTCGTGGAGTTCCCCTTTAAATCCTGTGGTATTGCAACATTTACGCTATACCATCACACTTTGGCCACTAGTACTTGTCACATATATATAAACCCCTGTTCTGTCTACAGTAGACTTATTCCTGATGATGGGCCTTGCCCGAAAATTTGAGCTAATGTATATCAATTGCAGTGTAGCCTAGGGACCGTTAGAGAGAGTGTGTACAAGGTGTGTGTACAGGATGTGTGGATTCAAGTATTGGCTACAGTGGAGTCTCCAAACCTTGAGAAAAGTATATGTATTATGTATACAAAAAGTGAATATGTTCACTGAACGTGACCCACTGAACCTGGATAAGAAGACCACCTGGCCAAGGTGACCACTTCTTGTCCCTTGAGTGGTCGCCTTTAATAGACAGGTTTCACTGTATGTAACAGTAACATCTGGTGGGGAGATGTTTCGGATCACTTAGGGGAAGGATTTGTATCATTATGTGTGTTTTTGTGCGATTCCTGCATGCAGTAAATTTGTCAACCAGATGATGATTAGTGGAAAGAAAGCAATAGCACGGGAGATTGTCACAAAGGTGAGCTATGTGCTGGTGTCTATTAGTTTTCCTGTGTCGGTATGGCTGTGTCGTGTTCTCGGTGCCTCTGCTCTGCTTTTTTGCCTTCTCCTGGATACAATACACGAGGAAGACAACAGCTCCCCTCTCCTTTGGCCTAAGCTGTGTGTATATGTGTGTGTGTGTGTGCGCGCGTGCGTGCGTGTGTGTGTGTGTACCATCAACGATTGCCAGTTCGCTGACGACTCTGCACTGTTTGCCCGTACTGCTGCTGCTCTTGCTCTGGATATGTTCATCGATGTCTCGTCTGCATTTGGTCTGACCGTCAATCTGGACAAGACCGAATTTATGGCTGTTGGCTATGGTATCACGAATGATGACCGACTTCCTCTTCCTGTGAAGAATGGCACATTGGAATGTGTGCGTAAGTTCCGGTACCTGGGACTGGGTGCTGTTATCCTTGATTCTGGCCGACCTCACAAAGATGTATTGACCCGTGTTTCATCTGCCTCCCGTGCTTTTGGAGCGCTCCGTCATGCTGTCTTCAATGACCGCAATCTCTCTCTGCGCACCAAGCACCTGGTTTTCGAGGCCTGTGTTCTGTCCTTACTGCTCTACTGTGCGGAGACGTGGGTACCGCTGCAAAGTGATGTGCAACGGATCACATCCTTCTACTACCGGTCGCTTCTTTCTATCATGAGTGTTGCACAGCGGGATGTGTGGGACTTGAAGATAGCCAAGGACACCATCCTGAAAACATGGAATGCAGCAAACCCACTAGATATCCCCGACCACCTCATGCAGAGAAAACTGGAATGGCTTGGGCACGTGGTACGCATGCCTGAGGAGCGGATGCCGCGGATGTTGTTGTTTGGCACATTGCTGCCGCCACGTCCAGCTTGTGGCCCGCGGAAACGATGGAGAGACCTGCGACGAATAAACATCGCCGACGAGTCATGGTTTGACACAGCGCAGGAACGATCTGAGTTGCGGCAAGCTTATCGAGCAATACAACCGGCTCAGAAACCGGCCCGGGAGATAGTCTGCGAGGTGTGCCAGCGTTCATTTGCTCGGCAGCAAGATATCGCCCGCCACAAGTGCATCATGGAACGGCGTAAACCAGTCCAGCAGCAAGCCAACAGCCGTCAGTGCTCCCAGTGTCACCGATGGTTTCAGAGTGCGGGTGGCATTGCAGTCCATCGCTGTGCCCAGTCCAGTTCTGCCCCGAATGTTGCCAATGCCACGAGCTCTTCACCTGGACGCCTATGTGTTCGGAAACCGTGCTGTACCGCTCACTGTCCCATTTGTGAGCGTTGCTGCAAGTTGATCCGGGGCTTTGCTATCCACAACTGCAACCGATCCACCAGGCGCCCAACTGCTGATGAAAGGGACAAGTTCCGATTGCAATGTTAGAATTGCCAGAGGCATTGCAAAAAGCGAAACGACTTATCCTGTCACCAACGCTCATGTCTCCTCTCGTCTCCGTCTCGCTCAACGAGAAACACGTGACCTACATGGCAGTGTATACCAGGACCAGGCGTGTGTGTGCGTGCGTGCGTGTGTGTGCATGTGCATGTTTGTGTTTGTGTGTGTGTGTGTGTGTGTGTGTGTGCCCCAACCAAGAGTATTCGTCTGTGTCTGCGGCCGCGACTTTCGCCGTCCGAATGATTTGTCCCGACACAAGAACTACTGCCTCGCCTAATAGCTATCATCGCCTTCGGCGATGGGCTTTCCAAAGGTCCAAAGTTGTGTGTGTGCATGTGGCAGTTTTCACCCCAGCATGTGCACCGGTTGTCTATGCCTTGGCTGTGATGAGATATTCTCGACCCTGCATATTGAGGGAGGTTAAGATATTTATCCAGGTTTTAAATTGTCATGAGCATTCCTGGAAGTTTACTACGGCACTAATCATATGGCCACTATCCACCGCTCAAGTTGAATTAACTAATTAATGTGAACAACCCATTTGCTTGGTCCCGGGCTGACTTTTCAACCACCTGGGTTGAAAGTTCTCATGTGCACACAGCCTGGGTGGATTTTTGCCTGAAAGGTTTGGGGACAGTACATGTATGGATCAGTGTGCTGTACTTGTTCCTTCATTTCACATGGCAACCGCTAGATAAATGTGCGTTGTTTCTGTTTACCTACTGCAGTAAAACCTGTAACTAAAGACCACCGTGACTAACGACCAGCCTGGTACTACAGACCACTTCGCCAGGCACGGGCGGTCTCACATTCCATATAATTATGGTAGTGCGGTGCAAACTCTATCTAAGGACCACCTGCCACAAAAGACCGCTTTCTCTGGCCCCAAGGGGTGGTCGTTGGTCACAGGTTTTACTGTATTACATATGTGCCTTTGGTCATATTGATGTACATGTACATTTTTGTGATCATATCCAGACGCTGCTTATCATCAAGCGGAGGCAGTTACAAAAGTAAGTGGCTTCGGCAGCTATGTATTTGATTGAATTGTAAGGAAAATAAGCATGTAGTCGCACTGCAGTTATATTGGTACTCCTCCGGAAACGGAAACTTCATGACTTTTTACTCGCATTATAAGGAGTTTCTGTTGAACGAAAGCACTTCAAGACAGTGGGTGGATATACTTCCTAGAAGTGTGTACACTATTATCAAGAGTCCGTAAACAAGAGTGTGCAACTGTGATCTCTTTTCTATGGGCCAGATTTCGCGGCGCCCTGCCTTCATTATATCATTCTCGGAAAATCAAACATCGCACTTTCCCTCTGGTTTGAAATGAACTTTCGAACGGAACTGGAGTTCACGCGCCAGAATTTAGAGATTGCGTAGGTGCTGGAATGAATCGAGCAAAACCAGATGGGCTCATACAAAACAATTATGGGTTTGAGTACCTTCTTTCAGAGCGTGATGGAGGCAAGTTACGTAATGTTACGTAATGAAGGCAGCACTGACCCACAGTTGCATGCTCTTGTTTATGCACTCTTGATATACAAAAGAATCAGACGCCGCTTGAGTGGTAAGAAGAGTGTGAAAAATGAACAAAATCCATGCATTATGACGTATAAGGGTAGGTCGACTGTAGCTTTTTTGTCTAATTGGTGCAGTGTAGCATCCCAAATACTAGTCCACCTCTATGTTCCTGCTCAAGCATTTTGCCTTGATAATTGTATTTGTAAGCAAATAGTTTTCATGATTCTTTGATTGGACACAATATTAATATTATTAGGTATGTATTAGTATGTATGTATGTATGCCATCACATTTAATATTGTATTTTTGAGCTCTTGAGGTACCTCTTTTCATCCTTGTTCAAACCCGGAATACTGTTATGTCGCGTATTAAAGGCGGGCTTATTCTTGTAGAAGCCGATGTCAGGGCTGGGCTTCTATTCATATCAGGCTTATGTGCCGACAGTAGGGATGTTTAGCAACACGAAAGTTCGAAAGAAAATTCTCTGGGAATGAGTACAGAAACAAAACTTGGACGCGAAGTTGCAGTGATTTGTGAAAGTAACTTTCTCTTTCCTCGCTATGCATTTGACTACAGGGAGTAGTGCATTTACAGCCCCCTGCTTGAGACTGAGCTGCATATACGGTACGGTACTATAAGATTCAAATAACTTCGAGAAAAAGTCATTTCGCATTGTTAATCCTCACAAGTTTTCTTTTTCGAAATAGATTTTCGCGAAATACCCCCGCCACCGAAAGTTCGAATTTTCGCAATGCTAAACGTCCCTAGTGTATCTTGGAAAACAGGCTTGTATTTAAAACAATCTTCTAGACTTTAATGCTAGACACTACGGTATTCTTTTGTTTGAAGTCAGTTGTTGTTGGGTGATAGGTTTGGGGAGTGTTGCAAGTTGTCACCTTTTCTATCCCTTTATGAAGGCTCATCTTCAATGCTCTATGACTGCCACCGTTCACAGGCAAATTTAACGTCATAGTACTAGTGGTGAAACGAATATACCGAATGTTCGAATATTCGTTCGGTTTGACACATTCGAACGAATATTTCTCATGGCGAATATTCGTTAACCCGGTATGCAGAATCAACCGGGCGACTTCAAACTTTTGTAACTTCGTGAATACTTGACCGAATCGCTTCATTGAAAGATCTATCGGCATTAGCAAACTCTCAGCTGTTGTTTAGAGGCCACCCGAACGCAGTCTGAGGTCCTGGAGGGGAGGTATGGCGCTCGAACGAAAATCATGTCTCAAGCGCTGTTTTTGAGCCTGTGAAAGGCACTTCAGCTGGGGATTTTTGTGAAAAATTACCTAGAAATGATGGAGAAATATAATGCCTTCGTTCGTCATGCCTAATGATAGTGACAATATCCGAAAAAAATGACTGAGAGGAGGGCATGTGATGTCATCCGTGTTAAAGAAAGAATATTCGTTCGTTCGTTAAGCCGAAGAATATTCGGCTACTGGGTTTTGATATTCGTTTCACCACTACATAGTACCATTGAGCATGATATTTGTTCTGATTTTTCTATAAAAGATACATCTGTTTCCCTGTCTACTGGAAACCATGCGTGTAGGTATGATAAAGCCAAGCCAGAGGCCAAAGAGAATATCGAGCTTGATCCCCGCGTCATTTTTCGGCAAGCCGTCGAGAACTGCAAGCCACTGATGGGTTTTAACACATTGAAGCGTGGTGGAAAGGTCTTCTTGGTAAGAATGCTCTCTCTCACCAATTTTACTGTGCTTCTGCATTGGTTCAACTCAGTATTGTTGTATTGCATGAACATGGTTATGGCTTTGTTCCAGACATTCTGGAGAGAACACCAGAGTATGAGAGGAGGTAATGCTGCTCGAGTTTGCGGAGTTTGTTGTAATGGGTGGTGTAGCTGTTCTTTGTGTTAGTTTTGCTTGGCTCTTGTACTGTTGCTGCTTATGCAGGTTCCTGTTCCTTTCCCTGATGCACGCCGGCGTTACTTTGCCTTTGATTGGATGATTGATGTGGCCCGCAACAAGCCACACCAGAAAAATCCCATGCAGGCTCGCTTGTCAGAGGAAATACTCCTGGCATATGATAACCAGGTGAGTGGCTACAGGCCACACTAAGAGTACATGAAATTAAAATTGTGCGGCTCGAATGGGTTGCTGTCGTGGAAAATTTCCCGTTATTAAATGATGCAGTGTGTACACGCAATATTGACGCAGGTCTCCTGCTGCCAACTGCAGCTCGGTTGTATCAGGAGACAAGCGTACATAAACAAGAATAGGCGACGCGGAGACTATAACTTTATTGTAGCAATTAGCAGAATCAGCGAAGCGGACATTGGACGTAGTAATCAACAAGAATAAAAAAATATGAAAAATATGACGTTTCGGGCCAGTCTCCCATCGTCAGAATGATGGGTGACAGGCCAGAAACGTCATAATTTTTCGACATCACTAGTAAAATAATTTTTCATCCAGCGCATGCGCCAAGAGTGAATAGCAACTGAATAGAACGGTGGTCAGTTGACAAACCCCCTTTTATTTACAATGCAGTTGCGTGATGTCCACCACTTTCTGAGTGAATAAAAATGTGGATAATAAACTTTATACAAAAGAGAAAGAACCAAGGAAATGCAAGTTACGCTATACTGTCCACTTATTATTATTTATTATTATACGCATTCCCGCGGCAGCGTCAACCAAGCAGTTATGCTTGACCCACACGTTCGCTTATGCTGGACATTGAAACAAAGCAGATGTAGACAGCTCCTAGAGAATGGGGCTCTACAAAACCAATGATCGAAGTTAGTCCTTCAGTAACATGGAGCGTCATAAAATTGGTCTCATTGGAAAAATGTCATCACTATTGTCTCCTCATGTAGCATCATGGTCAATGGGTGGCCAGATAATTATACGTATGAGGTTGAGTTGCCAGATAATTATTAAAAGATTCAAATAGTAATATTATTATAGAATGGTTGTTATGAGTTTATAAGGGTGCCATGGCTGTTTCTACTCGTGACGAGGGTGTGCACAAACACTCTTCACCAGCGCGTTCCATGCTGGACGGTCCACAGCAATCCGCTCCAGACGGCGCAAGTCCTCAACACTCCGCAGGTGCCCATTGTTCAACTGGGACAGATCGGTGTGGAGCTTTATTGGTAGTGTCACCCTCGGCCTCCCACGGTACCTCCCCTCGGGTGCCTGAAAGTATTGCTCCATGCTCAATCGTGCTGGCGTGTCCTTACCCAGGCGAAGCACATGCCCGAATAGACTCCAGCGTGAATTTCGGATCAAGTCTGACACCGGCTCCACTCCACATCGGGCATACAACGCCAAATTACTAATCTTTTGTGGCCATGTGATGCCGAGAAGTGACCTGAGTTGCCTTCTATGGAAAGCGTCCAGGGAGCGTTCGCTAGCAACCGTCAGGCCCCAGGTGCCTGAATTATAGAGAAGTATCGGCATGATAAAGGCGCAGTACAACCTCATACGCAGAGGCTCTCGGATCAGTCCTCGGCGCTTCCAAAGAGACCACATGGATCGGAAGGCAGCCTCGGCCAATTGCCTGCGACGTGTCACATCCTCAATGTCGCCCAGGAGTGAGCCCAGCTTTCGGGATGTCCTCCAGCGCTCGTCAATTCTGTCTACAGATCGACCCAGCTCTGTCCACTCAGTTTTGGTGTTGTTGACTCTCAGGGCCCACTGCCCAAGAGTGTGGTCTATGACCGGTTCGAGCTCTGTGAGCCATTGACGACTAAGGCTTATGAAATCAGTGTCATCTGCGTAGACAAGCTCAAATGGAATGTTGATGCTTTGATCCATTGGCGGTCTGTTTCGTGCCACCTGGGTGCTCCTCAGATCTCTCAGTGCTGCCTCTAAGTATATAACAAACAACACCGGGGAGAGAGAATCACCCTGCGGGGTGCCAATTGTAGTTTCAAGGGACTCTGATACTGCCCTGCCGATGCGTACCTGCAGAGTTGTGTTGGTCAACAGCACTCTAACCAGCCGAACATCATCCTCCGTCAGGAAAGACTCGAGAACTGTCAACAGTTTGTCACGATGTATACAGTCGAATGCTTTGGACATGTCGATTCCAAGAATGGTCATTTCCCGCCGATAATGCTGACATGTTGCTGCAAACCATCTGTGGCTCCAAACAAGGTCCGCTGTAGATCGGCCTGCTCTGAAACCACTCTGCGTCGGAGACAAGTACTCACCGACTTTCGACGATATTCTTCGCAATGTAATAATGGAGAGCGTTTTGCGTAATGATGTAAGGAGGACAATAGGGCGCAGATTTCCAGGTGGTCCAACCGTCTTTCCTGGTTTCTGCAACAGTACCAGTGTGCCACATCCCAGGTCAAGGTGCTGGTGAGTTGTAAACATGCTGTTGAACAGACAGGCAATGTGAGGTGCTAGGTTTTCTCTTCCATATTTCAAGAGTTCGCCTGGGACTCCATCTGGGCCAGGGGACCTTCCATTATTCAGTTTTTTCAGTGCGTTGGAGACCTCAGCAGATGAGATTTGTCTTTGGAGGCTTCTTGGGCGACCGGTGAATGGCTCGACGCCTGCATCCACATTCCCACGAAACTGGTCATGGAAGTGGCTCCGGACCGCAGATGCCGCCTCCTGGTCATCGGCTATGAAGCGACCATTCTGGTCATGTACAATGGGCTTTCGGCTTGGCTTTCTGGTCATCAGCTGGACTGCTTTGAACATCCGTGCTCCATTCTTCAACCTCTCGACTTCCGCTGCTCTCTCTTGCATAATTTTCTCTGCATTGTCTCGGCATTTTGTTCTTATAGCGTGAAGGATTCTGTTTCGTTTCGTCTTGAGAGATGCTTTGGTGTCAGGGTTGTTAGTGCTACCAATGCTGATCCGCAGTGATCTCTGTTCCAGGGACAGCAGCTCAATTTCATGACCTGGTGCTTTGCGACGAGTTTTCTGCTGGACTGTGCCAAGGACATCACCTGCTGCACTCCTGACCACTTCCATAAGCCTCCGGGATCTTTCCTGCAGGCCGGTATTGCCTTGGACCTGATCGGCAGCTAGCAGCTCACTGGCCAACTTCTCAGCATATTCCTCTTGGACTTGTCCTTCGGCTAGTTTGAATGTGTTGAACTTAGGCGCCTGCAGATCATCTTTCTTCCTCTGTCCAAATATTCCATATAGCCTCTGGAGGTCCAACCGCGCAACAACGAGCCTGTGGTCAGACGAGAGGGTGCATCCACCATAGCTACGACTGTCAAGGAGAAGCCGCCTCTGGGTAGATTTACACAGCACGTAATCTATTTGGTTATACACAGGAACAGTAGCTCCACTGGCTCCATCCCTGCGATGTCCTGTCCAAGTAGTCACATGCCGTGCATTATGCTGAAAGGCAGTGTTACAGATGAACAAGTCACTAGCATGGCAAAAGTCTATCAGGCTTTGGCCACTCAGGTTCCTTTTCCCTCTACCATGCCTCCCACAACATGTTTCTCTTGCATCCGACTTTTTCCCAACCTTAGCATTGAAGTCTCCAGCGAAGAGGACGATAGCTGACGATTTTATTTGATTATATGCACTATTCAAGTCGGAATAGAATTTGTCCAATTCATCAGCGTCGCGGGCAACTAACGAAGACGTTGGTGTCCACTAACACAGATAATACAATTTCCTAACCGATTTTCTAGAGACAATCATCAGGGAAATACGTCTCAATAATGAAATCTAGCTATGATCAACAATAGTAGAGAGGTTCTGCACTACGTAAAGTTTAGGGTTCACGGATTGGCATGCTAGTGTCGCCAGCTACATCATGCACGTGACAGGCGCGTGCATATACTGTCCCACACAATCGGTCAGTGCTCAAATCGCATTTTCCCATCAATATCACTCACTTTCAACTCTACGGGATTCATTACGGTTGGCTCAAACTGCCTGAATTTTTGAATCCACACGCACGAAAGACGTTCCAAGACTTCCACCGTTCGTATTTTTTCAAACGAGTTCCGGATTTTCCAGTAACTTTGGCCAAAGTTCGGCTAAAAAAACAGGGGGAGCCGTTGCGTTTCCGTAAAATACTGAACGGTAGAAGGATAGCCAAGGTCGAGAGCAAAACAACAAGCCATTATTTGTCAAAATCGAACAAGAAACGGCTCAGCGCATCTATTTTCCGTGCACGCGCGCGTACTTTGGCCGACAAGGTGTGGAGAATTTCTGAAGAAGAAGAATAACAAGAGCAGCAGCGCTCGGAACAGCCGTGCTGGATACTTCCAATCCCGACGATGGAGCGTGTTGGCTGTCGTGAGCTGCTGAAACGACCATGACATTTCTTTTTCTTTGTATACCCTACATATCTTGACGTGCCCTAGCTCAGTTTCGGCCTCTTTACAGGAAGAATATTTTCTTCCATGGCATCAGCGGCCAAACAGCAAGAAGAGCAACAGATCGAGATTTGCAGGGCAAACAAAGGATGCGTGCAGCTACATCTAGTCGGGTTTCAATGCAGCTGCGCTTTGCCAGAACCTCAGCAGATAAGAAAAGACGACAGAGTGTCTCAGATGGAACTGGATCTTTCGCCAAGACCGCCACCGCCGCCATCATCAAGTCCAGGTCAGTCAGAAAAATGCAAAGCCCGAGTGAAGTGAAGCCACTGAAGCCAAGGAAAAATTCAAAAAGTACGCTCTCCGGCTAGACTTCGAGTCGATATTTTTTTACTTCGATAGGCGCTGTCGCGGCCTGTAGCGCGCGTCCATAATCCAAAATGGAGGCGCACGTGACGGGTGCTTTTAGTGGCAAGCCGTGAACCCTAAAGTTGAGCAACTTTACGTTAGTGGGCGGGGGAAAAACCCGTGAATTCGCGAGTTTACACTCCACTTACGGAAAGTTGTCTACGTAGAGTACGTAGATAGGGCTCTGATAACGTAGCTGGTCCGTAAGTGGATTGGGGTACAAATTTATGACTCTCCCCAGGTCGATCTGGTCGTACACTGCCGCGTTTGGAGTTGCCAAGGGCAGCTACGTGATTTGAAAACTCCGTATGGCGGAACACAGATGCGCATGCAGTTTACGTAAGACTTTCCTTAGATCGACTACGTTTTTTACTAACGTAATTACGTTATGCGGAACCTCTCTAATAATTGTATGAGCCAGAGCGCTCTAAAACCTGACCACAGCTTTTATGAAAAAATTCGAGAAAATCGCCATTTAAATTCCGCTGCAAAAAATACGGTTAGCAAATTTTATTGTCCATATTTTATTCTTGTTGATTACTACGTCCAATGTCCGCTTTGCTTATTGCTACATAAACAAGAGTGTCCAACTCATACAAATACTGTTTAAGAGTAACTCTCCACCACTATACATGTAACTAGATACTATATACAGTCAGAAAGTGCAACAACTTCAGCCCTCACCAACGCTGTACAAAACGTCACTCGCCCGTTTGTCAACGGTCGCGCTAATCGACCAATCAGCGTACAGCTAACGTACCAAAATTCTCAAACTTACCGTAATTCCTTGGTTCATACGGTGTAGTTTCCAAAGATTTTTTTATGGACTAACGTCTTCTTTCGATAGATACCAACAGATCGTCCGCTTCGAATTTTTCGATTTGATTGCCGTTTGGCCGAAAATTACCTCCGAAACCGGCCTCCACTCGTTTCACTTCAAGGCTTTCCAGGTGGACGGCATCGCAATTCGGAAGCGGGAAAAGGATAGCCAGTGAAAAAAGAAAAACAACGACGTATTGGTTGTCAAAATCGACCAAGAAATGAATTCAATAGACCCGTTTCCGTGCTGCGCCCTCGCGGCCCGCGCGAGTGCGAACGGGATCAAAGGGACTCTTTCTCGACGAAACAAACAACAACTACGCGCAGTGCATGCAGGTGCTTTTTGCAGTGCAGTACACTGGCATCACTGCACTGGCTGTACATTGTACATACCTTAGTAATATCCTGTTCTTTTCCAACACATGATTGTCGCTAGTGGGAGAACTCAGCCACCTGAAGCTTTCATAAAGGAAGAAGTAGTAGATGAGTGAGTTCGCCAGAAAATGGAACGACAAGAAAATAGATACTGTTGCTTTCGGGCGCTCATGAGACGACGGCAAGATACATGTAGGACTGAAACGATCGAAAGTCTGTCTCGACGCAAAAGAAACTCTTCTAGGAGAAGCTCGATGCGCTGTAGAGTTTGCAGTATTCTGCTGGAAGAAGACAAGAGAACTAAACTCAGACTACAGCGTGGAGCTGAAGCACGAGCGAAGCAAAAAGCTGAGCGTGTTCGAAGAAATGGGGAAACACAGGAAAATGAGTGGGCGACATGATCTTTAGCTCGAAGCTCGCGCTAAGACACGCGGGGGGCACGTGCGCCTACAGGTAGCGCCGCCAGCCACCATGTTTTCAAAATGGAGGTCGACGCTTTTGAAATCCGTGTAGACGATGGTGAGGGCTGAACTTTTCCTTTCTACTTTTATTATTGGCTCAATACCCGAGTTTCAAATAAAATATAAAACAAGTTTTTCTCATATTTTCTATTTCTTGTTTTTCATTAGCTTTAGCATGTTCATTCACATTCTTCATCATTTGTGAGAACTAGACCTGGTCTAGTGAGAAGGCATTCTACTACCTGTAATTCTGGTGAAGTAAAATAAAGTAACGACAACAACAACTCCATTTGGTTTAGCCCACGGTGGAACCTTCCTGTTGACGTCAACTTTTCTGGAGATCAGGAGTCCCACTGTGCGAGGCATGCATTGCCAGCCTGTGGCCGTGTGAACTCGGCAGGTTTTCACTAAGCTTGCACTATGAGTACAGTAAAAACTTACTGCTACTAAAAAGCTTCAGAGGCAGGAGAGTAAGTTACGAAAGCGACAAACACAAACTCACGATGAAGGTCGTCTCTCAGCGCATGCTTTGTACTATATGCATCACAAGTTCTGAAAAAGGTGACATCAACAAAAAAAATCTGCTGTGTACCATACCAGCTGCGGAGTTGCACATTCTTGTTTATGTACTCTTGGATGCATGCACTACGCCACTTCCTGTCGCATATCTACACAAACTAGAATGTAATCGAGGAATTTCGCCATGAGAAACACATGCTGAAAAAGTCAGAAGCTGCACGCTCTTACTGGTGGTGTGCTTGACGGCACTGATTTCTTGCATCAACATTGAACGCACTCACTTATTATTGGGATCAGTGCTACGAAGATGCATGAAATGTCAGAAGAGTTCCGACTTCCGAGTAACCTACATGTTATTATCATTATTATTGCCTGTTGGCATTACCGGAATAGGAGTGGGGGCAGATCAACGGTTCTTCACCCTTTCTATCGTTTGCGTGCTGTAGCTGCTGCCGGTGTTTGCTTTGGGGTTCAACCGCTTAAAAAAAATGTACTGTGTTTTCCTCCTCTCAATTTTCTTTCCAGGGAGCTGCCATCAAGAAAAAGGAAGACTTCCACAAAATAGCCTACAACAACCGTGCCTTTGCACATTATCGCTGGTGGTAATACACACACAGTATCGCTGGTGGTAATACTTCACGCTGCTGCTGGTGCTTGACTCACAACAAGCATTCTGCCATTGCTTTTAGCTAATCCTCGTGATAATAGCTACTTATTGCTGGTGTTCACGAAACACTTGATTTGCTTTCCAATTGTAAATACTGTACAGCTTTAGTTCTAAGTCCTGTCCCAGCGTCTGTGTGTGTGTGTGTGTGAGTGTGAGTATGTGTAAGTGTGTGTGTGTGCACGCGTGCTGTATTGATTATGGCCGAGAGTTTTCAACCTGCTATGAATACAGATTGACTGGAGCATTTACATGATGCATTGTGCTGGACCCGGGGTTGAAATTGTACTCCTGTACTTGTGTGTAGTTCATGCCAGGATTGAACAACAATGCACAAGCAAATTTGAAATTATGCACCGATGTAGTCCAGTGACCACAGGCTATGTTGCTGAATCCTTGCAAGAAGATCGATACCACAAGGGCAGAGCCAAGAGACACAAGTTCCATTGCTAACTTGTCTAGTCCAGTGAACATACAGAACTCTAGAAGCAGACTTTTGTCGGCATATCGGTATTATCATGTACTCTTGGTATTACCTTCAGGCCATCCCTATTCATGTACTAGTAGCTGTACAGAGTTCCAACACGGGTTGAACATTCACGTGTAACCCCAGTGTACTGTATGACCCGTTAACCGTTACCAGTATTTGAGGTGAATTTTGAAAGTTTGTTGGACCCGCTACAAGTACTCTCAAGAGTATTATATAGACTCTTGGTACTCTTTGTTGAAGCCCATTTGACCATTGGCACCGAAATCTTAGTCTGTGTGTACATACATGCGCAGGCAATGTAGCTACATACATGTAGGTGTGTGTTGTTGGCAGAGGGTTATCCACCGGCACAGGCTGCATTTTTCGGCTCACTGGGCAGGGGGAGATGTGAACGTCTACAATTATGTAGTGTGGCCCATCAGGTGTACATCGCCTCATAGGGTTATAGTTACATTGCAGAGCGCAGACCAGTGCAAGGACTCAATTTTGGGTTTACAAGCAGCAATGTTGCATTGTCGATCATGGCAGTAGCGGTAGTACAGTTGTAGATCTACTCCGCAAAGTGGTTATCAGTATACATGCACACACAGTAGCTCGTGTTTATTGTGGAAGCGGATACATTGCATGTATGAAAGCAGGCTAGCAGTAGCATTGTATACTACTATTACTAGAACACAATTATGCTCAATCCCAGCAGACATACATCATGTCAGGGAGTCGTATAAATGCAACAGAGCACATTTTTGTGGAAAAATGTGCCAAACTTGGTGCATCCTTCAAAATGTGAATGGGTCACCATGGTCACTTAGTACGGTATGACGAGTCCAACCCAAAAGCGTATGCACGTGATCATTTGGGAACAAAATCGATGTTCCCGCCAGGTTTCACTGTGAAAAAGTGAAACTGCTCGGTCTGCTCCGGCCTCGAGGCCGGAGCAAGCAGAACATGTTCTGGCCGACCCAGAACAGGTGCAGTCCCAACCAAACGCGCTGTTCTGGTGAATCCTGTTCTAGTTCGTACCAACCAAACGCGCCCTAGCACTGGGCTGGATCATGATTCGTGAAAAGCAACAGTAACTACATACCAGGCTGTCCAATCGTCCTGCTTTGACCAAAACATTTGTGTACATTTACATGGAAGACAATTGCCTTTGTATAATTATAATATTATGTGGGTGTTCTGCTTTGGAATGGTCGCAAGGTTGGACAGACTGACATACGTGTGACTGTACTGTTAAAATAGAGAGGTTAAGTTTCACGTAAAAGTCTTACATCCGTGACCTTTAACGTCAAAAAGTGAAAAAACTCACGTAACATTTGACGTGTTTTACGTGAGTTGACTGTCCCGCACGTAAGTTCATGACGTGAGTTTTTGGAAGTTTCGCTTGGTTATTCCGACCGAATTTGTGTGAGTTTCCGGAATTTCATCGAGTTTTATCGAGTTTGTTGGAAGATTTGATATTTGTGCGAACTAAACCCGAATCCTGCCAGGCAAAATTTCACGTCACGTCGCACGTGTAACTTAGGGTGCGTTCTTAAATCCTCTCGGAAAAGTTGGAGACTCTCCGAAAAATTCGAGAACTGTTCTTATATCCTCTCCGACTTTTAGGAGGCTCTCCAAAGCTCTCCAAGCTTCAGAGGTGGTTGAAACTTGGAGATTCCCGCGGTTTGGGATCAGCGCATGCGTACTACAACTAAAAGCCACGTGTACAGCATGAGTGTACGCATTTCCTTTTTCGCATACGCACATCCATTCATCACCCAAGATCGCGGCCCCTTTGACGCTTCATTTTGCTTGACATGTGGAAAATATCTCGGAATTCTTCGAGACCCGTTCTTGAGTAATCCCAGTTTCTTCGACTTCTCTTTTCTTCTTCTTCTAGAAGCCAGAGAATATAAGAACGCACCCTAATAGCTTGCATACCGTCCTACCGGTAGGACCCAAGAAATCGAGCTGCAAAAGTGCTTTTGGTTGAGAAATATTTTGAAACAATGGTTGAGATGAGGTCTTTGTCAGGCAAAGAAATGGCGCAAAATGCAAGGCTATGTCCAGTGCATTGCGTATGCGCAATTTTATCGATTGTCAAAATGGCCGCACATAATCCTGTCGGTGCGCTAGCAACTCTGTCCAAGGTGAATTTTGACCATGGCACATCAATTGTGGTGAGGTCCTAATGTTTTTATTAGCTTGCCAAGGTCGTGAAATGCATAATATCATACTCCGTTTCCATGGTTACCATGGAATTTCGTAGTATGCCTTGTGCGATCACATCTAAAATTTGTAGACTCCTTCATTAGCCCCTTAGCAACAGTTTAGGGTCAAGTTTTAGGTCAATGTTAGAACAGAGGCCATGCAGCATGTCTGTGTATGATGGTCCTACCGGTAGGACCGAGGTCTATGCAAGCTATCACTAAACCTCTAAAAGTTACACGTTATGTGAGATTTGCACCACGTTTTGAAAAAGGGCAAAAAACGTGTAACTAAGGCCGTGATCGTTTGGTCGGATCCAGATCCAGATCCATCGGATCCACTGGATCTGCAATGATCGATTGGTCGAATCCGGATCCAGATCCTTCGGATTTGGATCCGAGCAACCCTGCCCCGGGAGCAGGGTTGACTGGATCCATCGGATCCAAATGTGACCTTTGTGCGTATATGGTGGGTAAAAATCATTTTTATACTCATTGTCGTACGTCTAGTGGACTTTTGTTGACTTTTCGTACGACGCGGGCGATCAATACGACTTGTGCCTTTTTTGGGTGACCTGTCAGCGCCATTTTTTACTTCGTCAACATGGCAACAGCCAAGGTCCGCAAAAAAAGTGTTCGGTTGATTCTGAAGGATCCGACGGATCTGAGATTTGGATCTGGATCTGGATCCGACCAAACGATCATAGCCTCAAAGGGGAAGTTAAGGCAAAAATTAAAATTTCACCAGTTGTAGTCTTCGGGGTGCTGAGTCGAATGGTCTTGGTCCGAGAAAGCTGAGACGCTCCCTTCCTACTTGAATCCCAATCGAACTCGCGCACTTCCACCGAAACTGGGTGACTGCGCCCTACTAGATGGGGATTTGTATGCAAAATGTCACTAAAAGGGCCATTTCGTTCTTATAAAAGCACGGATCACCGCGATTGGCCCATATGTTATAGTCTTTTGGTCGCTGAGTCGACTGGTTTTGGTCCGAAAAGGCTGCGATGCAGCGTTCGCCCCTAATTCCCAATCGAACATGGTAGAACAAGCGGTCACGTGCTCCTGCGTACACCAGTCACCTGGTCACCGTGCCTGCAGGGTACAACTTACAGCCTGTTTTGACCTTTTTTGGATGCAGTCCTGTCACTCGAGTTGAACCTTTGTGTGAAAGTTGTCGCCTGCTGGCGTGGTGACCAGGTGATTTTGGCACCCAGGAGCACGTGACCGCTTCTTCAACCATGTTCGATTGGGAATAAAGGAGGAACGCTGCATCGCAGCCTTTTCGGACCAAAACCAGTCGACTCAGCGTCCAAAAGACTACAACATATGGGCCAATCGCGGTCATCCGTGCTTTTATAAGAACGAAATGGCCCTTTTAGTGACATTTTGCATACAAATCCCCATCTCGTATGGCGCAGTCACCCAGTTTCGGTGGAAGTGCGCGAGTTCGATTGGGATTCAAGTAGGAAGGGAGCGTCTCAGCTTTCTCGGACCAAGACCATTCGACTCAGCACCCCGAAGACTACAACTGGTGAAATTTTAATTTTTGCCTTAACCCTTTACCGGCAGCCCCATACTTGAATGCGTCGTAAACGACGCATTCGACATGCATACTAAAACCATGCCTGGTATGACAGGAAGCATCAGCCCACGGGGATTTCCCGTGGCCCTCACACAGCCTAGGTATGATCCTATCCGTAGCTGAAGAGATCTACGCGTGTCCCATTTGATTTCATTGAGAACTGCGCGATCGAAAATTTACGGAAATACACGCGCGCCGACAATGCCGTCTGCCTCCGTCAAAACGTCGTCAGGTGCATTTCCTCTTGCGCAGTGAGTTCTTTTCGTCCTCAGATGACTTCTCCGACGAGGACCTAGCAGACCTTCGCTCTGGGACCCACGACAGATAGATAAATACTTCGTTCCAGCCGCCGATGCAAGCGAATTTCAAATTGCGGAGCGGAGCGCACGCCAAGTAAATTCTCACGCAAATATCGGGAGCTCCAGCCGCTGAAGACGATGTCGTCGTAATGTACCTGGAAGAATCTGATGGTGCTTATGGTGTGGAAGCCATGGAGAGTGATCCCCGTGTCGACAGTCTTCCAGAGACGGAATTTTAGGCCATCGACTTTCTACGTACCTGAGTGACGGCAGCGCTGCGCGACTTGCGCACGACCTTACGGAGCCATCGGACAGCGATTTTGGGGCGATGCTGCTCTCAATTGCGAGCGAGGCACGGCCACTGAAGTCTGTGATGGCTATGGCGTTCGTTTCCACTCTGAAGTCGACTTGTTTTGGAGTTTCATGTCAATGTCGGAATCTGACGATTTGCATTGTGTACAATTTCCGTGTTTAGACGTATAGGTGCCAATTTAGTAGCGTATGTGTGTGGTATGTGAAAATAATTTTTTCCATCGTCAAGAAGAAGTACCAGACTTCCAAGAAAACATAACTTGCACATACAAAATGTGCCCTCGTTGTGAGTTATTGGCATCCTTCTCAATGTTATGGATTTCATATACAAAATGCACTTGCCGGTAAAGGGTTAACTTCCCCTTTAACCTCTCTAATGTAGATAAGATCTGCCAGCTAACTCAACTGTCCGGAGTAGATCTGCCAATTATGTGTCACACAGCATGCAGGCTGCAGTAACCAATGGTAACGGACTTCTTTACATACCTGCTAGCTGCTGGCTTCCAGACATCACCAGACTACAATGTAGCCTTGGCTTGGTCCGCCGCGACACTGGCACCAGCACGAGTGACTCGCAGCAGTATTATAATATCGGGAATCAAGAGTCGAGCCATCTCAGCATGCCAGGGAGTTGAAGAAGATGTTTTTTTCTGGTCTGCCTGTAGTGCTGTGTCGTCCTCCTGTCCTGATCCTCTCTCTCTCTCTCTCTCTCTCTCTCTCTCTCTCTCTGGGGGCTTTCACACGACTCCCGTAGTCTATTGTCTATAAATCAGCATTATACGGGACCAGTGCAGTATGCATCTTTGCTACATTTTCAAATCTGTCTGAAAAGCAGGGAGCATGATGTGAACTGGTTGCATGCTTGACTTGTTGCATGAATCATTGATTCAAGCGCCAAGCTGCAAACCAGTTCATGAAAAGTCCTGTCAGTGTCAGTTTCCCAGCAAGCTTTCCGAATATTGCGAATGTTGTCTTCATGATCAAGAAGTTTTGTGCTCTCCAAATATTTGATGCATCCGTCAGTGGATCGACTTGCCGACTGTCATTGACGTGTTCTTTGCTTCCGCTTGAGAAAGAAGGAGGGAGCCTAAAAAGAGCTTTTACCGTAGCTTTCCGAGCGAATGTGTAAGCGTTCACTTGTCAGAAGGCTTCACCACGCTTCATGACACTGGCCTTGGGTTGACATCGACCACTCAGTCACTCTTCCTGTCAATCGCATTCCTCGTTGACGTGCCTCAACCTTATGGATTTGTCGAGATTGTGAGACGTCTGTTTTACCTGTGAAGTCTCTTGTAGTAGTAACCGGAAGGCCCGGGATAATTACAGATTCGGACGTTCTCAAAATTTTGCGAAATGCGCCATTAGCATGTCCTCCTCACAACCACAATGACGGACGAAAGCACGAAGCCCGATGTCTCCAGCCAAGATGACGATCTTGCCTTGTTGCCAAACTTGGACGAGAAAATCCTGCTGGAGAAGCTGCAGAAGAGATATGGCGAGGATGTCATTTACGTAATGCACTTGATTATCTTTTGATTTAGTTTCCACAGTTTGGACTTGACTTAGGTGTTGGTGTTTGCTTCTGATCACTGCAGACATACGTGGGTGACATTCTTATCGCTGTCAACCCGTTCAAATCTATGACGATTTATGGTAACGAGGTAGGTAATATTCTGTGCTGATGTCTTCAATGGAGTATTTCCTTGCTTACTGCTCGTGTGTAGTGAGCTTTTTATGGGTACTTGGATATTCTAGGTGCCAGGTGATAATTGAAACACAAGAATTAAGTCATGGTCATCACTCTAGTGAGATTTGGCCTAGACAGGCTCAGCAACAGCATATTCTTTGTAAACATGCAGACTTTTCCACTGACGGGTATTTCATACCGAAGGGCTGAGCTACTCCGTTACAAGAAGTAATATCGCACATGATTTACTGAAGGTTTGAATGAGATGGCTTAGTGAACGCTACTCCAAGGCTCTTTGCATTGAACGCCGTCGCGCGCGCGCGTGCCCGCACACACACATTCATCTGCGCACATACATACACTCACACATACACACACATTCATCTGCCCACATACACACACACATACACACACACATACACACCCACACACATACACACACACCCACACACATACACACACACACACACACACACCTCAGACCTCAGACATGCCCATCACGGAAGTGATGATCGCGGACAGCTATGTTAGACATAGCAACTTGTGCTGGGATTACACCATTCAACAGCTTGCAAGGCTGATGAATTGACCGCCACTATTTTTAGCACACACACACACACACACACACACACACACACACACACACACACACACATGCACACACCTTGGACCTTGGACGCGCTGCCATATTCTGGCTATGCGGACCCCATGGGGGGTTGAGCAGGTTCGGAACAGTAGGGGCGATGACGGGATAGGTCCTGTGGTCTACTGAAACGCCGACCGCAATTGCAAACGATGCAGAAGGAGCTACGGTCTGTGTTGGTTGCTCTGGCCGAGCCACGGCTGCACTTGTGACGTTTCATGCCTTGGCGCGATAGCACACAGCGGTTGCAGCGGGCGCAGTGGAAGCTGCAGCGTTCGCAGGACATATTGTTTTGTAAAAAAAATGCACACACACACACACACACACACACACACACACACACACACATCAGTGTTCAGTGTTCTGTGTTCCTCAGGGTTTGGGTATACACTGTATTGATCCTATATCAATGCTAGTGCTGAGGCACACAGAAGATCACTGCATCCAGTCCATTGAGTACTACATGTAGTAGCTGAGACTGAAATGATGGAAATGGTGATTTGCATCTAGAGTTGCAGACGGTGTGTGCCGGCATGCATGTCAAGAACACAACAATATTGCTATGAATTTTGTTCGCGTCGGTCTGCGGGAGTGAGGACTGTAACATGGAATTCAGATCTACATGTCGGAGAGGTCATTCTTATTGCTTTTTGTTGTTAACCTCTCTCTTTGTGAAGGTTTGTGAGAAGTATCAGAATGTCAAACAGCGCTCCAAGCTTCCCCCGCATGTGTACGCCATTGGCGACCACATGTATCGGTCAATGCGCACATCTCTTGTTGATCAGGTATGTGGCTTGCTTGAGAGTGGTGGCAATCTTTAGTGGGCAGTGGCACTATCACACATGTATAACACCTGACTTTTGCCATGGGAATCCAGAATTTTTCTCAGGCAAGGTTTCATAGCAGCAGTAGTAATTTTCATTATGTATGCATGTGGAGCCTTGTGCAAGGAGAGTAACAAACCGTGTGTCCTGTACATGTACGTTGAAGTACTGCTTTAGCTTTCATCACACCTGTTGGCAAGCAGCTAACTTCTTTTTGTTGATAGATAAGGCCATTGAATTTGTGTCACGGACCCAAGGCACACACATGCTCCATGCATGCACGGTGGGCCAAACTTGCCACACTTGTTATATATGCGTGAATTTGTGTGTGCGTGCGCGTGCGTGTGTGTGGGTGTGTTTTTTGTAATGTATGTATGTGCGTGCACATGCATATGTTTGCATGCGTACATGTAGGTATGCGTCATCAGTGGTGAGAGTGGTGCTGGCAAGACCGAGACTGCCAAGTTGCTTGTCCGCCAAGTCCTGCACGTCAGCCGCTCTGTACATCCTGATCTACAAGCACAGATTTTAAAGGTAAGACCTGCAGTATAACTGCTTCTTGGGTGGTGTGAGGGGGCAGGTGTGATATCCAAAGTGACCGTATTTGCTGATACCTTGTGCGCACTGTCTTTCAGGTGCAGCCATCCACATTAGAGGGGTTTATTTGAAGCGTTCCGTTAAATTAAAAATTGTATTTTTAGTATTTTTTACGTGAGGTCTGTGTACAGAAAGATAGTGTATTTGCTTTGCAGCTGTTTGGTGCTACATGTACATTGTAGTTCTTAGGTGTGGAAATACCGCAAAGTCCGCTGCAAACGCCCACTTCGCAGCAAACGCCCACCCCAGCGGGTCCATACTATTTTCGTCTTTTTCAGGTCATTATAGTCGTAGAAAACTGGCATGAAGGTCGAATGCGTACGAAAACGACTGTAATGCCCACAAACTGCCTATGTCTTACCAGCAGGCTCTGCAAAAGCGATTGTCATTATCTTGCTGCAAAGAAAAACTTCTGTCAAGATTTCCTTTCTTTCGATAAATGAGTCGTCTTTGTGGTAGTTCGCTCTCCATCTGGTAATGCTGTAGAATCCATCTGGTTTTCATGAATTTTCTGCAACGCCACGATGTGGCGCTTTCAGAACAGAACAGTGATTGTTCTGACGAGGCGTCATTCAATGAGTTGACCGGTCGCAGTATTGCAGTTGCAAGTCGACCAGGGTATGTCACGGAAGCCACACCTACAAATATTAAAAGTCCCTGCTAACTTGTTGAAAACTCTGAAGTGCTCGAGAAAAACCTTTGAGCGCTGCGTGATTTGTAACTGATGGCTTGAAACACCGTCAGAAGTGTATTTGGTTCCTGCTATACTCTGTCCTTCGCTACCTTGCTACTGTATTCGGAAAAAAACTCCCATTTGGATTTGCGAAATAAAACAACCATCATCATAAAATCACTACGAGCTAGCTCGTACCTAGTGCCAAGAGTACATAACCCCCCAGAGTGTGTAACTCGACTATGGGTGCTGTCCCGACAGAATTTCAAGTTGACGTCATTTTGATGATGCAATGCGCACTGTGCACGGATTATCAGACGAATCCGGAACCTGTAGTTGACCGAAGCCGATCGATCCTGTACAAATTATTGCAAAGAAAAATGTGTGATGCGTTGACACCCGTACACATGTTGTAAATCACTGGTGCAAGGAGCATTGCGTCATAAATAATGACGTCAACTTCAAATTCTGTCGGGACAGCAGGGTATGTGGGAGTTGCACACTCTTGGGGGGTTATGTACTCTTGCTAGTGCCCAAAGAGATTTTGAAACCAGGAAAGTGGACATAGTTTACCGTAGCAAAGCGCTCATCGCGCTACGGAGTGAGATGCACTTTCGTACAGTAGGGATCACAGTGCACGGGGTCAGTGTGTACAGGCCAGCAGATCACAGTGCACGGGGTCAGTGTGTACAGGCCAGCAGATCTTGCAAAATGGGGTGGGCGTTTGCTCCTGACTTTACGGTAGTTCAAAATACCTTCTTGATGGTGTTCGCAGAGTTTTGATTATGATTTCCTATTGTTGTTTTTGATATCCTTACTGATTCCTTAGTAGTCTCTCTTACTTCATCACCTTGTCAACGTGTACTAGGTGTTGTCCTCCTGTTCTTATGAACTCTTTACCTTTACAATTGTGGCCAGCTCATGGTTGATTAGTTATAGGTTGAAGTAATTTTCACACAGGGAAACCAAACCTATGCACACAGAAACAGAACACATGGACACTCAGGCTGTTAGGTTGCACATCCACACATTGTTGGTTTGGTTCCTTTGTTGTCTAATGTTGTAGCGGAGAAATTGTTGTTAAAGCACAACTGGTGAAGTGGCGGTTAACACACGTTCATCATCTTTTATTTTGAGTCTAGCCGTATGGTTGACGGGAAGGCGGAAATGCCTGTGTATTTGGTCCAGTAAAATAAAAACAAAACAAACACGTTTGTTCACACAGTGCTCTCTAAGCTGGCAGAGAGCGCTCCTCTCACCACGATCATCTGTTCACGCATGGCGCCTAGTCGATGCATGGCTGGTGATATCCACATAGCTGACTGGCACGTCAGTTAGCGCCTGGCACATAGGCGCACAATGTGTTTCAACCACCACTTGTATTTATATTTATGGATTCTCCACAGGCCTCAGCCTAAATCGAGGGAGTCTCCGTCAACAGCTTATGAAGAAGAAGCTGAGGAGAAAAATAAAAATAGGAAATAGAATGATGCGGGGTTGTAGTAATATAGCACAGTGCTCTATGACATCGCTACTCTACGTGGAATGAAACCAGAGGGCTCATAACGGGTGATAGCAAAGTGTGTGCGGACAAGAGCGGTAAAACATTTTGGGCTGGATACAGTACGAATGGCAGCCGGGAGGGAGTTCCATGTGGCAGTGGTGACAAAGAGAAAGGTGGCACGTGTGTGCGTGCTGGCTCTAGCAGGTGGGAGTAGATGTCGGGGGCGCCTGGCGCTGTTTGACACTGAGTAGCCTAGGTCCTCCAGGGTCGTCATCTGGCTATTGATAAGGTGGTGGAGCTCAAGAAGGCACTGAATGTGTCTTCGCCATGCGAGGCTGGGCCACTGGAGGTGCGCGAAAAGTGAGGCTTTCGGCTCCGTTTGAGGAGGGTACACGCCATACTTCCGCAGGATCACACGTGCCACTCTTGCCTGTAGCCGTTCAAGGGCAGTAGCCTGAGCACTGGAGAGTTGAAATTGCCAGAGGGATGAGGCAACCACAGGTCGAACATATCCAGTGTACAAGCGGCTGGCTACGGCTGGGGTGATACGCTTGGTCATGTGGATCAGCAGGACTGCTCGCTGGCGAAACTTTGTCGTGATGGTGGCGACGTGGCTGGTGAAGTCGAGGTTAGAGTCCAAGATGACCCCAAGGTGTCGGTGAGTCGTTACATCAGACACGTCATCTCCCTGCATTCTCAGGTGCGGAGTCGGATGAGTAGGGTGGGCACGTTCTGCACGACTTCTAGGAGAGAACTGAATGGTGCAAGACTTCGAAGGGTTGAAGCACCCTCCGACTGAATCAGCCCACTGCAGAACGCCATCAGTGGCGGCCTGGAGGGGGCGAACCATTTGTTGTTGGTTAGGTCCTCCGGCTGCTCTCCCAAGAGTAGTGTCATCGGCAGATAAGAGCACATCAGTAGTGACATCAGACGATATGGTTCGGGGAAGGGCATTAATGTAGAGAATGAAAAGAATGGGGCCAAGGTGAGATCCCTGGGGAACGCCTGCAGACTTCCGTGCTATCTTATGAATTTATGATACTGCATTGGAGTCTTCACATCAGTCTATTGTTGTCACAATACAGATCACGCTGATCACGCTCATCATGCTGATCACGCTGATCACGCCTCTTCCGCCGTAGATCACTACAATTGTCGTGCCTGGCTGTAGAATTTGCTGTGTTTCTATGAGCGTGAAAATCATCACTTCGCTCCTCATCCCGTTTTTGTTATCACTAAAGTACATTCTGCTGCTTATATCAGCTATGCTTTGTTGAGGAATATTCTTTCTTCTGCCTGTATCTGCCTAAAGAGAAAAGACAATGAAAGTGTGTGCGGATAATTTTGATTTGTTGGTTGGAAAGAGCCTGAAGCTAGTGTTATTCATTAGTCTGAGTACGGAGTGCATGCATCGATGTATGTTTAAAAGAGATGCTCCCAATCTGTTTCTTTTACAGGTTAATCCACTTTTGGAGGCACTTGGAAATGCCCGTACCATCATGAACAATAACAGCAGTCGCTTTGGCAAGTTTCTGAAGTTGCACTTCAATGCGAATGCTGTTGTGACTGGTGCCAGCATCGCTCACTACCTTCTGGAGAAGTCACGTGTGGTGACGCAGAACGAAGGAGAGCGCAACTTCCACATCTTCTACTTGATGTTCGCTGGTCTGACAAGTGAGGAGAAGGAGAAGTATGAACTACACGAGGCAAGCGATTACAAGTGAGTAGCACGTTCTAAAAGTGTCATGCCAGACGTAGTAGTAATACCATCCTATGGCAACAACATGCGCATGTGTCATGCATTCAACCCCGACCTCTACTCAGCTGATGTAATCAATCCAAGTATCCATCTAGGGTGAATGGCTAAGCGGACAAGATGTGTTTGTACCGATATCCAATTGTACATGTGAACAATCAGTTTGTGACTGTATACACATTGTACCTACATTTTCTGTGCGCTGTAGGTATCTTTTCAATGCCAACTCTGGCAACTCCAAAATCGCAAATCGTGAGCTCGCTCAGATGAAAGTTTTCTTCAAGGAAGTAACGGATGCTATGAAAGTCGTCGGCTTTGATGATGAAGTGAGTGCAATACTTTGGCAAAGTCACGTAACTCATTGCACCGTAATGGTGCTCGTTCAATAGGACGTGGACTAGTGGCTGTGTGCATCATTTTCTGCCATTTGTTTAGCATATTGCACTGGGCAAAGTCCACCGCGACGGCATGGCCATTGCCACCTGAGGCTGCACGGATTGGATGGCGAAAATGTCCATGGGGCCAGAGCCAAACTGCGGAGAATGATGGGTGACGGTGTTGCACACAGGTTTAACCACAGGAAGGTCTGTTTTGCGAGGTGCCCGGATAGGAGAGGTTCTGCTGTGGTCTCTGCGGTATGCCATTGGTTGTGTAGGTGGTGTTTATAACTGTTTGGATATGAGCTGCTTATTATCCACATATAGCCATTGTAGATTTGACCAGGTGGTTTCCATGGCAGTGCTGTGGTTATTATGGTGTGGGTTTTTGGTCGTTCCCGAATCATATCTGCAAGGCATTTGTGTTGTTATGTGTTGGCAGGACTACACAAATATCTTCAATCTCTTAGCAGCCATTTTGCATCTTGGACAGTTGAACTTTACTGGCTCTCGCGGTGGTCAAGCTGAGTTTACAAACAAGGATGTACTGTTACTTGGTAAGAGACTCAACATCATACTGTACGTCTTTCTTTATCCACTGACCTTGTGCAGAACAACGAAACATCTGGGAAAGTGTTGTAAAACATATTCACTTTGTTTCTTTGTACCACTCTTGGTGTAAGAAAAAGCATTATTCGGGAACGATGGCTAATAGTAATACTTGGCTAATGGAGTTACACTTGTTGTATCCATGTTCCTTTGCCTTGAAGCTGGTCTTGTTCAGCTCGCAGTTGTAGGGTTCTTGACCATCACTGGCATTCGACTTGATGTACTGGACGATCTCTCTCTCTCTCTCTCTCTCTCTCTCTCTCTCTCTCTCTCTCTCTCTCTCTCTCTCTCTCTCTCTCTCTCTCTCTCTCTCTCTCTCTCTCTCTCTCTCTCTCTCTCTCTCTCTCTCTCTCTCTCTTTCTCTCTCTTTCTTTCTCTCTCTTTCTTTCTTTTCTTTCTCTCTTCCACTCGCTCACTACTTGCTCCCGTCTTTTTCTTTCAGTGGCACAATTGCTGTGTTTAGAGCCAGCTGAGCTGGCGAAGGCACTGACTATCCAAGTCACCGTAACACGTGGTGAGTGTTAACTGACTTCTTTGGATGTACATATGCTTGTTGCTCTTGCTTTGAGTAGTGCTCTCTGGTGGACATTTTGTACTGTTTGCAAGCGTAACCTATTGTACCATGTCGTGAAACTGCTGTTGTGGCACCGGGTAGTGAAATTGCAGGCAGTTGCACATTCCTGAGGGTTATTTACTCTGCTACTAATTTGCCTCCCTCCCTGTGGAAAATAATATTAGTGCTTATTTGAATCATGATGTCTGTGGCAGAAGCTACGACGTAACATTGATTGCTTTATGCAGATAAACAATATGCTGTTGTGTACACTTCCATGGTACAATGTATGGTGTGTGCTGTATGCTGAGTGCTGTTCACTGTGTGCTGATTTCAATCTGCTCTGTTGTAGGTGAGACAATCCGGAAGCCGAACACGATTGAGCAGGCTTCGGAATTCCGTAACTCATTCGCCAAGTTTCTTTATGGCCATCTCTTCTCTTGGGTGGTGAAGTCTCTCAATCTCATGTTGTCACCATCAGCACTATCTCAAGCTGCCCAGCTATTGCATGAATCGTGAGTTTAACACTGCTTGCAAAGTATCATTATATGAAGTAATATTATGGTAGTAATTGATCGACATTGCTGTAGTTGTTATGGTGTGGTTTGTTTGCAGTTTGAGTGGCAGTTGTCATCTTGTGTCGAAAGAATGGCATCACATGCCCTTGCTCCTGCCCGTTTTGTTTATACCGTAAAGTACCGCCAGAGCGCCCCACCGTCTCATCCTTTCGTGGTCGTATTGTGGAGGTGGTCTGCTGTCTGTAGGTCATACAATATGAACCTTGTACACATATAGCACGTTTTGCAGTCAATCCGTACCTTCGAGCGGACACAAGCTCCACACAAAACCTGCCAAGTGTGACCTTAGTACACTAAGGCTGTGTTTACATGAAGTGTTTCAACCCGGGTTGAGTTCGACCCGGGTCAGATTTCAACCCGCCATGTGCACAAAATGAATGGCGCGTTTACATGACACATTGCGCTTGACCCGGGTTGAAATTTCGCCCCGGGTTGATTTCAACCCTCCCCCCAAGGGGAGGGTTGAAATCAACCCGGGTCAAGAAAATCGTACAAACGTACTTCTGTGCGTATCTTGCGCCAGGTTTGAACGGCACTGCAGATGCAAATTTCGCGCGAACGGATTCACGTGACCATACAGGACTGTAGAAGTGGACTTTTGGCGGCATATCAGTATTTGACCCGGGTCAACTGTCTTCATGTAAACGCTCACCTCTTTTGTCTATCGTACAGACTTTCAACCCGGGCTGAACTCGACCCGGGTTGAAATTTCTCATGTAAACACAGCCTAAGCTTCTTACATCGTACAAACTTCGTTGCACTCTGCCATACGATTTTCCTTTCTCTGGCTGTAAAATCAAGGTGGGGCGCTCTCGCGAGACGGGGCGCTCTGGCGGTACTTTACGGTACTTGGGGTGGTTATGGACCAGAGACCATGTGCTATTCTATCGAGATGTATAGTTGTTTGTATACTTTATATTTATAGTGTTTCCTTGTGCTTGATGGCTGTATTGGTGTCAGCAGACAGTAAGACATTTTACCCTAAACGTATCCTCCTCTTGTTCATATTGTATCTATCTACTTCTCAGCGACACTTTCCGAGGAACGGACATCTGTATACTGGATATCTTTGGATTTGAGAACTTCAAAGTGAATTCCTTTGAGCAGTTCTGCATCAATGTTGCCAATGAGCAACTTCAGTACTATTTCAACCAGCACATTTTCCGCTGGGAACAGGAGGAGTACGCAAAAGAAGGCATTTCACCTCCAGGTACCTTTGTGTTCGCTGACAACAAACCCATCATCGAGCTATTCTTTGCCAAGCCGCTTGGTATGTTCAACCTTCTGGATGATGAGACCAAGTTTCCTCGTGCCAGTGCCAAGACCTTGGTGGAAAAGTTCAATGAGCACTGTGACAAGAACACACACTATGTCAAGTCCAGGCAGTCCAGAGACCCAGCGTTTGGTGTCAAGCACTATGCAGGACTGGTAAGTCTATTCACATGCTTGTACGTAAAATTCATAGAGGGTGGTGGCGTTCCTGCAGATACGGAAAACTCAGCCTCCAGCCGAGTCTCACGTGGACCGTGAATTTTGTGCTCATGCAGTGATGCATGTTCACAAGCTTGTAATGTATGCATTCAGGCATACATGTTCTGTTTGGAAGGGCTCCCACACAACGGTGTATTGGTTTCTGCAAGATTAATATAGAGGTGGTTGAAAGGTTTGCCTGTGTTTTTTTGTACGCCATGCTCTTTGTTGTGCTCTTGAGTACGAGTCTGTCAGTCTGTCAGACTGTCATTGTATGTTATGAATATGTGTAATGGTCCGATGGCACATCTTGGGCTGGGCAAAGACATGCAGCAACACAAGCAAGAGATGCAACCTCTATCTTGCAAGAGCACACCGATTACAACTGCAGACAGAACTCCATGCCTTGACGAAGTCACCTCCTTATGTGGGCATGCCGACAAGTACTTGCTCGCTAATCACAAGGAGGTAACATGGTGCATCTTCAGCCACACTTCAGCACATTCTGGGATGCTGTTGAATTTCCTGTCAACCAGCTGCTTATCACCTTCTCACCCATTGATGGCAACCTCCATTGTCACCAACGTGGTCCCCTGGCTTGGGTCTACACATTAGCTACTGACACGTTCAACCGTTTCAAACTGTTGCCAATTACAGCACCACCGACATCTCATATCTCGAAAAGAATTATAGCTCCCCTAGCTGTAATGTGTATACACCTCAGTTATCTGCTGTACCATGCAAAATAATTTGTGTGTGGGTGCGTGTGTGCATGTGTGTGGGTGTGCGTACGTGCGTGTGTGCGTTGCCACCATCTCCATGCTGCTTGCTGCAGGTGACGTACAACTGTGAATCATTCTTGATCAAGAACCGTGATGCACTGAGTGTTGGCTTACTGGAATGCATCAAGAGTAAGTCGACTTGATTCTTGTAGGTGTATTTGACCTGAATCCATGCCTTGCCCAAGTGTCAGTCAGTTCAGTTTCAGGGCTCAGATCACTGTCGGTCGTTAAAAGAGTTTTTTGAAAAAGTAGGTATAATAACTGTTAGGAAGATGAGAAACTCCTGAGTGCATTTGTATATGCCCTCGTTGCACTGTCTAATTTCCATTCGAGAGAGGGCTGAGATGTATCTCTAAATAGTAAATACAACCCCAGCAATCAATGTTTTGGACTGTGTTTTTCTTGTCCTATATGTAGCGAGTAAGAACGATCTCATCCAGGCCATTGTCACGGAAACGGATGCTGAAGGGTTAGTCAATTGTACTGTGTTGTTGTTCTTGTAAGCAATGCCTTACCATTTGCTGACTTAGGGAAGACATGTGTTATTCGTAACACATGGTCTCAGTCAGTGAAGAATGTTTGCATATGAAATGTACTTTGTCAAAATGTGTGTCGAGCTAAGCAACCGTGTTCACTTGACTCACTTCTACGGCCAGCTTCTTCACACAAGTCAGAGGATGATCAGTCAACATACTGATGAACATTGGTTAAGTTTTCCGACCACGTCTGGGTGAAGGCACCGTACCTAGTGTTGAGGTACAGCAACGAGTTGCAACTAAACCTTGTTCTGCCACTGTCACATTCCTTACACTATGTATTACTATTTATGTTTTGTGTGTGTCTGTTGTGCTGCACAGGGAGAAGACGAACCCGCAGATCTTGCTTGACTGCCAGTCAGCCACACAGGCTATGAGGTTAGCGGCTGGTGATGTCTGAAGCACTACTATGCACTGTACTCACTGGTCATTCTAATTGACTGCCGTCATCATCTGTTTAGAGCTCCTCGATCTGTCTACCATCTGATTCAACAAAATTTGTTGAATCAGTAATGACATTTAATGTCATTACTGTTCAACGGTCTTTCCTGGTTTTGTGTACACTGATCAAGCCCCTCCCCTGTGTTTGGTTTGTCTCTCCTTCAGGAATAGTCGCATCGTGTCCAAAATGCTTCGGAGTACGCGCTCTCGATATGGCAAGCCAAGGTACGTACTACAACTTGAAGTACACGTAGCTGCTGACCTAGCCCTGTTACCTAACCGTGTGATGTTATGGTGTCCGTGTTGATTTCTCCAACGCATGGGAGCATACACCACCTTGCCTAAATACTAGTAACTCAAATTTCTCTCCATGCATGACTTGTGCTAAGCCTGGCCCTAGACGCGCGTACAAACTTACCATCCGGCATCATAATGGTTCAAAGATATCCAGTAAACACTTACCTTTGCCTGGTATCTAGTTTTATCAGTGACCATGGTGACCGAGAGATTCAATTCTTGTTGCCATGACTTGGTACTTTTGAAACAAATCTGAACATGGGCAATCTTGATGGGCACTGACTTGTTTCTGAGTTATTCTTTCGAAAACACACATCAACACGGTACTAGTACTAAGTAGGTGCTAATGAAGCACCAGCGACGTATTACACTTGATTTCACTGTGACGCTTGTTTTAATATTTTGACATTAGAACGAGAGGGCATTCCATTCTGTCTGCACTGTTGTTCTTTCTGCAGCGTACGGAAGAATAGCCCGCCGTAAGTTGTCTTCTTTCATGTCCCTTGGTATCTATGGTTTTTGCATCTGTACACGCTTTCCTCAGGGTGTGTCTATACAATGTGCAGAAACGCTTTTAAAAGCGTTCCTTTAGAGAGAGAGATCTACAAATGGCCCCCAACTTTCATCTTTTTAAACTGAGCGTATTTTATATCAATGTTTTCAAAATGACTAGGTATGTCAGGGTGGATTTATCAGCAGCACTGTACTGTTTAGAACTGTGCAGGTTCTTGGGTAAGGCGACGGCACTGCTATTCCCAAGACCAGTATGATAGGCTGCCGAATTGCTTTGAAGTTGAATGCATGTATGTGGAAAATCAGCCCAAAACGGATTGAGTTTTGTTGGTATCTGGATTACAGCAGATCTACAGCATTCATGAACGTGACTTTGTTGGTGGTTCATTACGCTCATTAACCCACTGCACCTTGAAGAGCTGTTGTTTGCCAGTTTGTCAAAGTGACACTAGATGTGTGTCGATTTTACTGAGCCATTTTCAGAATAGAACAACAAGTTCATGTTCACCAGAAGGGTCATTTATCTTTTTGTCGCCCGTGTTGTCTTGCGATCTTAAGGACGTAACCATGGATACCTTTTCTGCTGCTACTGTTGGTAATCAGTATTTGCAGTATGTGCTGCAGTGTTTGCATGTTGCTTAGTGCAAGACTTCTGTGTCTCTTTCTCCGTTCACGTGTAGTGGCAGTCGGCGCTCTAGTACCACCCCTGGGTTTATTGTTGCATCACCGTAAGCTATTCTATTCCACTGTGCAACGTGTATCATCTGCTGTCGTTCTTCTACACTCCTGCTGGTCGCTGCTACTCGCTATCTTCGATGATGTCCCCTTCCCCCTTCCCCATTGTTGTGCTTTGCTAGTTTCTTATCAGTCTTCTTCGCAGCTGCTGTAGTGAGTAGTAACCATGGTAATTGACGATAGCTCTCCTCCTGGAGAGTCTGTTTTCGCTGCGTACTCGGCACCGTACCTCCACACTGTAGACTCCGTAGGAATGTGATCAGGGACACGCACGTTGACTTATGAAACATGTGACATGTTGAGCATATCATACACGAGAGAACTCCCACACAGTACCACAATAGTACCATGCACACAACGTACGCACGTTTTCTATCGCTGCATCACCACCAGTGAGTAGTTGGTTCTTATCCTTAGACTGATCTGGTGATAAGTGAGTTGTATTATTTGATCTGGTTTGATTTGTCATGTCTGTAGACCTGTCAGTGTGGGAAAGCCTGCACTCAGTCGCAAGAGCAGTCTTTCAAGAACTTCCTCCACTAACTTGATGGAACAACAGTAAGCCATCGCAGACTATCATTAATGCTGCTGCATGTCCTGTGATTGCTGCTTCTGTGGCCCCGACTGTGGACTGTGGTCCTGTTCTAGTGTGACCCCTGGTATTGATTCTGTCATCAGATTTGTACCCATGCTTGGGAGTAAAAGAGAAGTTGACTGCTCCCATATACATGTAATAGTATTAATAGTAGGTACTTCAGTCATGTGAGCCACAGGCAGAATTCCTTCATTGAGATTGTGTACGGTGTAGGGGGTGGTGAGCATGACATACTATTTCTCAGGACATTCTGTTCATGTGCCCGACACCTTTGACGTGTACATGAGCAAGCATATTGTCATAGGGGTGAAATGGTTAGTGCGATTAACGGTTGATCGGTTACTCTCCAGTCTCCACCGCACATGATACTGGTATACGTAAGTTGTTGAGCTGCGTTCAAGTCAGTACACGGGCCAACACTGTGAGTGATGTGCACACTGCATGCATGACACGGTGATATCACAGTCTTTAGCTCACCTTTGTTTATACTTATACCGGGTTTTCGATATCTTTGAATTTTCTGATGGTCCAAATGTGCTTGATGTCACAGGAAGCCGATGTCATTGACGGTGCCTGAGGAGGATGGTAGAAGTAATGTCAAGCTTGAACGCACCCGCTCCAAGTAAGTGATATTTGTGTGGATGCTGTAGTATCAATGTGTGTAGCTTGCTGGATTTCTCATTGCAGCGATTGTCAAGGCCGACGTTTAGTCGGGATATTTTCATGGGTGGTAGCAATCTTGCAATTGACCTCCATCCGCAACACGAAAACAGTCTTTCACGACACCACACGGCTCGATTTCACCCGAAACTGTCACCCAGGAGGACATCATCGGAGTTCTAGGGGCCAGTTGTTTATTGATATGCTTACCACCTCTCATTCATTGGTTCGTCTTGCCACTCACCGCCTGCCTCTCTACTTGTCATAGCATCTTGATTTGTGAACCAAACTGTGATGCAGAATGCTACTATATGTTGTGTGTGTGCATGTGTACGTGTGTGTATGTGCCACCGTGTCACGCTCTTTCTTGCCACTGTTTGTGTATGCAACTGCCACTGGGTACATCCGACACAACCATGGCTGATGCCTGATCATCATCGTCGTCATCATCATCATTATTGCCACTGCACTTATCACTGCCACTGATCTAGACGCAAACTGAGGCTGTCAATGCGCACACTGCGTCGTCGTGAGACTGTCATAAACACATTGAAGAGCAATGTGAGAGTGGCTGAAAACAGTCTGGACGGTGCAGAAGATGATGACCAGGATGAAGGCAAAACACCTACAACATCTGAACGCAGCACTGGAATTGCTTGGGCGACGGATGACGAGGAACAAGAATGTGCAGCCGGTTCATCACCGTGTACCACTGACGCAGCAGTAAGCAATGACAGTGGATCAAATCCTCTACTGCACACCACTGGCACTACCACTGCCAATCCAGTGACCAGCGACCACGCTAGTGCTCACAAGAGCATCGCCAGCCCTAGAAGTCAGCTGCGAAGACATCACAAAGCATTGCTGCGCTCACGGACAATGCCCCACCTCAAACCCACGCCGTTGTCATCTTCTGAAATGCACATGCCATCATCGTCCTCTGCAACACTTAAACGACTTAATCATCGCCGGCCGTCTCTGCCCACTATCAGCACTGTCCAGTATCAGCAGCGCCATCGTCGCCGTAGTGTGAAGAGAAAACAACACTATGGACTGGATCTAACTGTCTACATGGACGATGATGGGTAAATGATAACATCTCATACTAGGGGTGTGATCGGGTAGTAGGGTACCCGTGCTACCCTTAATTGGAACGGGTACTCGGGTAGTAGTTTGCTCCTGAGAACCCGATCAGGTAGTTGGAGTACGGTGTTTTCGCATTGGTGCAGTAAAACGCATGGCCACGTGCTTACTGTACACTTTCTATGTAGCGGCGCAAGTGCACACTCACTGTACAAACTATGTCGAGAAAATACCGGAGCCCGTTTCCCGCCCAAACCCCTACTCGCTGCAGCCCTACAGTGGGGTATGATAGAAAATTAATTTTGTTCCCAATTGCTTCGTCTGACCTCATTCTTTCTGTTGAAAGAGTTCTTTGTGGGTGAGATATTGCATACATCACGAAGGGATGAGCTTGTATTGGAGCAGCTGTGCTACATTCCGCTAAGAAGATGTTGTTTGTGCCGTCGTCGTCATCATTGTTGTTATTGTGGTTGATGTTGTCTTTTTGTCATGCTGTTGTTTCTTGGTACCAGGCGTGCTGCCATCAAGGCGTCTATGAGGTAAGGTTGAACTCCTGGATAACTAGCTGTGCTGACATGTGTATTAGTAGTGAAAATTAAGGACTGTCCGAATTCATGCTGACCAACCCTCCCGGCTTTTCCCGGGATAATCCTGGTAATGTGAGCATCTTGAAGACGATTGCAACAATGAGATGTGTCAAAATAGCCTCTGCGCGAGTTATGTATAGGCAGGGGTTGAACCTCTAAGTGTGATTTACTTATCATTGGCAATGCGAGTGCCGCGAAACTGGGGAAAACCACCAAAAAAGCACCCACTGCGCAGCATCCACGAGCACCAGAACTTGCTGGTCGAAGAAGTTGATATGGACCTTCTTTGCAACAAAAAAGGAGACGTTGATTTACTTGCAGATTGGTACAAGGTGCACCCGACTACACAAGTACCGTGAAGTCGTACATCCTTGTATTGTGCTTTGAGATAAACCATCCGGACAATATCGGTTTTGCCATCTTCTGTGGATAGTATTTATTCACGAGTTTGTACCACTCTTGGACGTCGAATGATACTAAACATGTGAATAGCAGGGTGGCGCATATTTTCGTTGGGTGGCTAATTTCATGAGATACAGGATGCAATTAGTGTTTTCCACGAGGTGTACAATTATTCAATTAATGTTTTGCTTTAGATATAGTATTGCATGTATGCATCTCCCCTGTGTGCTGAGCTCTGTGTCTGTGTGTTTGGACTCTACAGGAAAAGGCCTGCAAAAGTCACAAGGAAAGGAACTCCTACAATCGGTTTCTACTTCAAGGTGAATGTGTGTGTGTGTGTGCGCGTGCGCGCGTGTGTGTGTGTGTGTGTGTGTGTGTATTAATCGTCAGTTCACAAGTCTGACGATCGTGGACATCCTGTCATGTCACTAGTGAGCACAGTTTAGAAAACGCTAGTGGTATGTAGAAGAAAGTTGATATTCGTGATGGCTAAGACTTGCCAAACTGGCTATGCGGAGCAAAGATAATGCGGCAATTTATGTTATTTGCCTGTATTCCGTGTGCTTATGTGTTTGTCTCTGTGTGTCTCTGTGTGTCTGTGCTGCTAAAGTGCTCTCTGGCGAGCTTGATGGAGAAAATGCTGATTTCGGTACCACACTTTGTACGGTAAGTTCCTCTGTGACGCATTTTACTGACGTTTTAGCACGAAATTTGTTTTGCACAGTATGTGCATTAATTTTGTTGATGCTGGTTACTATCTGACTGAAACAAATTCCAGCGCTCCTCATTGCACAGACTCTATGCATCGTGTTGCGCTCGTGTACATGAATGGAACCTTCCCCTCGCAGATGCGTAGAGCTCAATTCTTGGTCATATGCGAGCTGTTCTTCTTACAGTATTATTATTATTATTATGTACTGTACACAGGCAGGCATGCATGTCGTTATATGCTTGCTCTTACATGCTCTGTTGCTGAAAGAGGCTGAAATCCCCCCCCCCCCCCATACACTACTATTAGGGAGTTCAATCGAAAAACCAAATTCGCGAGTTTTGCATAGACCGCTACTTTTTTTGAAGTTTGGAAAATGATCGCCTGAGCAGTCACAGAAAGCAATGCAAGTATGTACAGGGACGGTGTGGTTTTTCCATCCAGCACTGCACTATCTGGTGCTTACGTGCAGGTGCGAACTGTAGTGCATGGCTTGTACAGGATGTGTGCACATGCCGTGCGCGCCTGCTTAGTACTTGCACAACTCACACGTTATCACCGTCACCGCCTCTACAGTGGACCGCCTCTACAGTGGACCGCCTCTACAGTGGACAGCCTCTACAGTGGACGGCCAGTTCACTTAATTTTTCGTCCACCACCAGGAAATCGCCGTGGGCTGGTTTCTGCGATCATTTTCCTTCTACTGCAATAAAGCGCGAGTATAAATGTTCTACAATCATCTTGTTTTAGACTAATTCAAGGCCGCTTAACATGACAATTGGGTGTTCCTCCCTGGGCTGAGTATGCATCTGGTCGAGATCAGTACTTCGCTATGCCTCCGCGCAAAGTGCGGTCCCAGTTTTTTATTCAAGCATGACATGTGTGGCATCAATGGAAAAGTGATGACCTCAGCTACCTAAAAAATAGCATCGACAAGGGACTATTGGCCACGGGATCAGATAGAAGCGGGCTCAAAGTCTGCCAAAGAGCTGTCACGCGGGCCCCATTGCAAATGTACACACGAGTTGTGACTGCAGTTTTCGCCTGACCCTGGCCGGAACTGAACTCCTGACTACTATTCACACCATCACATCGTCAACTAGTACAGATCCTACCTGATCCCCTGACATCTAATATCGCAGCACTTCTAAATACATCTGCTATCGAGACTGGGCGCAATTTCGCTTCTCCCAACCAGCTTGTGTTGCAATGATCATGGCGTTATTATTCTTGGCATTGTCTGTTTGAGGCCGGGGCACTCTGCCCTCATGTATTGACTTTCCTCTTGCACCCCACCATGGGCTCAGGGTCTGCTTGTGGCGTTCTGCGCTCTTACTAACCCTGTCATCAGTTGTTGGACACCATCTAGCCCAACTCAAGTGCTCGTGTTCGCTTGTACCAGTGCATGCCTGTGGGGAAAGTTGTTTAAAATGTTGTTTAACATGTTCCAAGCCATTGAATCGTATTGTACTCATGTCGTGAATATTGTCTGGATTATGTTCTCATACTCCCGTGATAAGTATCCATTTACTTTCGGAGAATCCTTCAAATACGATCTGTAGGTACTGTCTGTGCTCTTTCATCTGTTGGCAGGTGTATCAAACCAAACAGTCTTCTCGTGCCGGATTCGTTTGATGACAAGCTGGTTGTCCAGCAGTTACGCTACACTGGCAAGTAGATACTTGACAAGTACTTCTTCAAACCTTCTTGAAATAGTGTTGGCAAACTGCACTTGGTCAACTCACCTTTCTTCTGATTTTTAAGTGCTCGGATTAGGCTCGACAAGCAGAGCATTGGCAGCCTTTTTTTATTGTTGTTCGCGACAGCTGCCTGTGTTACTGGCATTTTCCTTGTTTCTAACATCTCTCTCTCTCTCTCTCTCTCTCTCTCTCTCTCTCTCTCTCTCTCGCGCGCGCGCGCGTGCGTGTGCGCGCACACACACTTACTGCATGTGCGTACATGCGTGCTTGTGTTCCAAACAACAGGAGTCCTTGAGACGACGAGAATACGACAGCTTGGCTACCCAACCAGACTTGACTTTGGTACTTTTCTGGAGAGGTTAGTCTTCATTCCGATTGCCTTTTTCTTTCTCACTCACTGTCTGCACTGTGTTTGCATTAACCCTTTGAGCAGGACATGGTCATGCTCTCAGTCCACCGAAATGATAGCAAACGGCTCATTTTGCTGAAAACACCCCTTGCTCAAAGACTGATAACTGTAGCTTCCCGTGGGCAATGAAATCACGTGTTCTCCTTGCTCGTATCGAGCTCCATTTTTGGCAGCCTTGCTGAGCACCCGGATCATATACCCTCCCCCTAGACACAAGCCCACATTCTTACCGTTCGTGTTTGGGGTGTATTTGAATACAGGTATAGCTGCCTTCAGCCTTTCTCTCAGTACAAGGCATCTCGGCATAGCTGCCCCGAGGACAACCAGCGCTGCTGTGTACTTCTGGACAGCCTTGGTATCAAGGACTACGCGATCGGGGAGACAAAGGTACTGGCACACACACACACACACACACACTCTCTCTCTCTCTCTCTCTCTCTCTCTCTCTCTCTTCTGTGCAGTACTAGTACAAGCATATCTTGTGCGTGTTCTTCGTGTGATTTTGTCCGTGGCTAACAGGTGTTTCTACGTTATCATCACAACGAGACGTTGTTCAACCTTCTGGAGCGCCGGGAACAAAGTGCAACAGTCTTGCAGAAAGGTAAGTGCATGTACTGTGTAACTACATGTACTTCCTCCGCAAACAAAAAACTCTCTTGTTTACATTTTAGGAGACAAAACAGTTGGTCCAGTGGAACAAAAGCACTTCAAGACAATGCATGGTTATACTCCTTTTTATGTACACGATTATAGAAAAGGAATTGGCACCGTGGGAGTTCACAGAGCTCGATTCCTCTGAGCTCTATTCACCAGACAAGTGATTCACGAATTGTTTTGTTTCCTGAGGAAGTACAGGAAGTCACCAAGCTTGGTAATTGCGACATTTGTGTTTGTGGTTCTTACGTTCTTGCTCTGTGCTCTCGCACTCATAAGACAGTTTCTCTAAAGCACACCAGACTACATGCTTGTCCGTTGCTTGATGACTTTTGCGGGGGTTCTACCAGTCAGGACTTGACTGGATTTTAGTGCAGCAGTGTGCTATGTGAGCATGGCATGTGGGAAGTGTTGTGGTATGGAGTATATTAGATCAACCCAGTGTTTCTGTTCTGTATGTATACCTCCTGTACAGTTGTGCGTGGATTCCTGGCACGCTGCTACTTCCAGCAAGCTTTGGTGGACATGTTCTGTCAAGAGGTATGTTAGTTTTGATGTCTTGCGATTGCGCTCTGGGTACTAGTAAGTGGTCACTTTGGTTCACCTGTTGATTCATGTACGACAGGTACAGTGTACTGCTGCCAAGGCCCGATGCAGAGTACACTTTTTGCTTCAACCCTTGCTGGAGACTGGAGAGTCTCTGCAGGTCATCCACCCGGTTTGTTGCCAGCATCCACTGGAATGGATTAGCAGGCATGCCGGCAGTGTCCGGTCCACTGTAGAAACTACAGATTTCGAAAATTCCCTCGTGCAAGACGACACAACATTGCTACAATATGGTGTTGGTGATCGCAGGTTTTCGCTCTCTCTTGTTTGTTCAAGGCAGGCAGGCATAGTGGGACGGTCTAAGACTATGATTGAGGAACAGAGGGTTCCAGATACAAGGGATTTCAGTCTTTGACCACTTTGCGGTGGGTCTGATCTATTCACCTCCCGCCGCTTTAGAAGCTGCATCCGCACCTTAATCCATAGAGGGTGGTGGCGTTCCTGCGGACGCGGAAAACTCGGTTTCCAGCCGAGTCTCACGCGAACCGTGATTTTTTGTGCCATGCAAGCTGAAAATTCTGTTAATCACGATGTACATGGCGTGAATATTTAGTCTTGTGCTCATGTGTTTGTTTCGGTCTTTGACCACTTTGTGGCGGGTCTGATCTACACACCTCCCGCCGCTTAGGAGCTGCATCTGCACCTTAATCCTAGAGGGTGGTGGCGTTCCTACGGATGCGGAAAACTCGGCTTCCAGCCGAGTCTCACACGAAGCGTGAATTTTGTTTTTGTTTGTTCAGGTGAAAGAAACGTCTGCGGACTTATCTGCCAAGCTGTCAATGTTAATGAGAATTGATGAGGACCGCCATCAGGTGAGAGACACAGAGAGAGAGAGAGAGACACACACACACACACACACACACACACACACACACACACACACACACACACACACACAGAGAGTGTGTGTGCTTGTGCTAGTGCTCTTGGTTGGCTATGTAGAAATTCTATCATTTATTTTGCGATGACTTAGCTCAGTTAGCTGCAGTGTACGCTTGGTGTTGATGGAGGTTTCCTCAACACATGTGTGCTACCCAGTATATAATATATACAATCTCTGCTTAACCCTTTGTTATGTCTATATAGCGCCGCTTGGAAGAGGAACGGCTTGAGCGTGAGCGTCAAGAGCAGATTCGGCTGCAGAGGGAGAAAGAAGAGCAAGAGCGACTGCAGAGAGAAAAGGAAGAAGCAGAGAGAATCGAGCGTGTGCGACGGGAGAAAGAAAAGTTCGTGCGGATGGAACAAGAGCGATTGCAACGCCAGAAAGAAGAGAAAGAGTTCCAAGAACAACTTCAACTGAAGCGTCAAAAGGACCAAGAGGAAAGAGCAAAGGCAGCAGCATTGAAGAAGCAGCAACAGCAGCAACAGCAGCTGCTGCAGAAAGAGAAGGAAGCACAGCGCATCGAAAAAGAAAGATCTGATCAGGAGATCACTAAGGTAGAACAATCAGATAGATCCATGCCTGGCGCTGCTGCTGTATATCGTCGTCGCAGCAAAGTTAACCCATTGGAAAGGGATGGTGGTGATATGCCCAGAACTCATCAGCAGCAGCTAGATCAGATGAGGGACTCTACAGGCCTACATGTGAGCTGCTAACTTATGGGTCACATATAGATCCACCCCTAAATTCCGCACCAGTAACGTATGAGAAAGTAAAGTAAGATGATAGTCTGTGATGACCAAGATCAAATCTTGACTCGATTGAGCATAGTTAGGAGGACTCGTAGCAAGACATTGACCCTTAAACAGATCGTGTACTTTTTCCATTGGTTGGGTCACTTGCTAGGACTTTTTGTCACGTGCATTATCATCTAGGCAAATCAGAGTAGGGTGTGCCACTTAGGCATTGATCTACACTGTGACTACCCTCTTCCTCCCTCCCCTCCAGGCGCGTACGCAGGGGGGGGGGGGGGGTTCCCGTTGCCCGGAAACCCCCCAAATGTTCCAAACGAGCAACGTTTTTGGGCATATTTTGGTAGGGCGCACGATCGATCTAGCAAGAATGCAAAACTTCAATAGATCGTAACTCAGTCACATCCTGCTCAAATCCAACAATCCAAATATCCAGGTCGAATAGAAAACTCTCAGCTGTCGGTTGAAACAATTTGCAATGCGCTGCGAGCAATATCTCTTGAGATAAATCGTTCGTAAGTTGAGCCGCGATCTCGCAATTTCAAAAGCACACAGCGCGACTCGAGTATCGAGAATTATTTGAGACTTTTCGTCACGCTGACTTGCTCAAATTTGCAGGGGCTTCACTTGTGATATTTTCAAGAGTACATAGCAAAAAATCGAAACTCTGCGATCAAGAAAAACGAAATCGCTGGAGCAGGACGCGTTTGGGCCAGCCTTTGGGCCAGTTTGGAGCATTTTTTCGCACCGTCGCTGCACTCTACCGCTATAGCATTATAGCGTTGGATATGTACATGACTGTACTGTGTCCTGGTTATCATGATCGACCTCATTCTCTCCCTGGCCCTGGTACCTTTCCAATTCCAGGATTGGAAGGCTAAGATAATGAAGATTGAGTGAGTAGAACTGACGTTATGATCCAAAGAACACGAAAAAATTGCATAATTTTGAAAATTTCCTAGGGCTCTTTAGAAAGGGTTAAAATGAGTCACTGTTTGCGATTCGGTTGGAAACCCCCCTAGAGGTGACCCTGCGTGCGCGCCTGCCCTCCCCCCCCCCCCCCCCTCTCCCGGTAACCTCAACCATGCATGGACTTGAAGTAGGCTCCAAATTCAGCTAGTACTAAAGTCTGCATATCATTTGAACATCATTACCCACACTAAAAAAAGATATTCCCTGTTTGTGGTGGTGCTTCTGCTGCTTCTGTTGTTGTTGCCGCCTCTGCTCCTATTGTACTTACTATTTTTATAGGACGAGGTTGAAAAAGTAAAGAAAGAGATTGCAGTCGTCGAGTTTGAAACGGAAGAGACCTGTCTTGCTCACCAGAATATTCTTTCGCAAACTGAGGATATTCTGAAGGAGGCAAACACCATCAGAAGGTTAGTTTTGCTGTATTCATGCATGTGGAAAGCGAAAGAAAGATAGGCAGATGAAAATGGGTACACACAGGTATGCAGAGAGAGAGAGAGAGAGAGAGAGAGAGAGAGAGAGAGAGAGAGAGAGAGAGAGAGAGAGAGAGAGAGAGAGAGAGAGAGAGAGAGAGAGAGAGAGAGAGAGAGAGAGAGAGAGAGAAGAGAGAGAAAGAGAGAGAAAGAGAGAGAGAGAGAGAGAGAGAGAGAGAGAGCTGATGAGATAAAACAGCGGAGACCTTCCCTTTCCCGTTCCAATTCCATGCTCTATGACTGTATCTTCACAGATGTCTGTGTGCGTGTGTATGTGCGTGTGTGTATGTGTGTGTGCGCGTGCGTGTGTGTGTGTGCGACGCGCACTATACTGTTTTCAAATTGGTAATGAGCACTATGAATTTATGATATGTGACAACTTCACACTCAGGTCATGATCGTCCACTTCTGCCACTAATTTGATAGCACATTGTTGCACTCCAGTAGGCATGCTTACAGTCTCACCGGTATGTCAATGCTTCACATCGTAGCACCAGAGTGTTATTCACTGTCATCCAGCCAAAGATGGTCCATGTACTGTTCCCCAAGATGGTCCATGTACCGTTTGCCACTTACCATCCGTATGTCACTGTCACGGTCGCATCCATCAGCCTTCTTTGAGACTGTCTTTAATCAAGCTGTTCCTGTCACCACACTATTACCTTCCATTCTGCCAGTGCTTGCTTTGCCGTTCCCTGCATGTAGCACAGTCATAGACAACTCACAGTGTTACTCATCTCTCCACTGCCTCCCTCAGTATGGTTCAGCCAGCTGTTCACGTCACTTATGCTATGGTCCTCTCCACACTACGTCTGCCAAGCACTCGTTTCTCCACACAGCGTTTGTCCAGCACACAACTCTCCTCACTACGCCTGTCGCATATGCTGCTCACCGTTAGCGTGAAATACTCGCAACTAGCTGCGACTACTCTGCAAGGAATGAAATCCTGGCTGGAATTGTGTCGTCTCTTGCTGAGCGCATTAGCTTTGTCCGTTTCTTTGCTTTGCAGCCTAGCTCTGCAGGAATGGGCAGAGTATTGTGCAAGCTGTAGCGTCTCCAGCTCAAACGACAGTCCCTCCAAGAGCAGCAATCATAGCCCCCAACGTGGACGCAAGCCAAGGAAATCTAGTGCTATACTTGATAAGCAATCTTCGGCTGAGAGCGAGAATGAGACGTCCGCGAGCAGCAGCTCTGCGAGCGTCTCTACAGCCGGTAATAAGAAGCGAGAGTCTGATTCTTCGACAATTAGCAGCCATCTGTATGAGGAGAGTAAACGCTCATCTATTTTTTCAATAGGACTAGTGCCAATTATTGATGAAGTTGGTGACGCAATTGACCTCCCTGATGTTGAACCTACTAATGCAGCAGCTGCCATTGCCGCACAGAATGGTCTCTCAGGTGTTCCTGTTATGTATCTACATCGCTCAGCCGTTGCTGCTGCTGCTGACATGCAGCAACCGCCCACTACACATCCGCCAGTCAACAGTGTTTCACCTTGTCCACAGTATGTAGCATTCATCGCTGCTTTGCCTCAACTTCTGGTGCTGCTGCTGCTGTTGCTGTTGCTGCTGTTCTCTCGTTGTTCTTGCTGTTCTTTATCGTGTTGTTCTTGTTGTTCCTCTTGCTCCTGTTGTTCTTGCGTTCTCATTGTTCTTGTCGTCGTCCCCATTCTTGTTGTCATCATCACCGCCATTGTTGTTCCTGTTCCTGTCCCTGCTGCTGCTGCTGCTGCTGCTGCTGCTGCTGGTCTTGATCTTGATCTTGGTCTTTATTGTTGTTCTTGTTGTTGATGTTGTTGTTCTTTAATGGACCTAAAAGGGCGTCTAATGGAGATCATAATGGAGGTGCCACTTTTCTGTACGACGTGTATGCCAAAACCTGGCCATAACCGGCCAAATAGTTGAGTTTTCCACATAATTATGTCAAAAATTCATAGAATCGCTCCAAACTTTTTTTACAATCTCCAATCCAAATCCGAGCAAAAGCAGATTGTGCCCGAATTTCTGGATTTTCGAGTGGGAAAACTGCCTTGCTCATTGTGGATGCTTCTTTTCTCTTTGTTGTTGTTGTTTTCTGCAAATTCAGATCGCCTGTCTCTGGACGCTCAGCCACCACAAGTAAGATCTATGTGTTCCCGCATTAAATCTTGAGCTCTTGTATCAACCCCACTTGACCTGCTCTTCCCTGGCCTACACAAGACGGGACCTTGTCCGTAGCGGAGAATTGTCCCTATCTCAGAACAAGCTTCTTAATTTAAATACTGTAGTTTGAACTAGTTTCCCAAATTTTCGGTGTACTTTTATTTTCGGTACTTTCGGTGCATCTGCTTCATACCTAAAATTTCAATACACCGAACAAACACTAACACGCATAATCCAATAGGGAACAGCTTCCCTGTACCGAAAATTTCTGTTCACCTAACCTGGCCTTTTGCCCTCATACCGAAATATTGAGCACCGAAAATTTCTGAAATTAGAGTACACTAACATCAGATGTTATTTGAAATCGCGGCTAGAAAATCACCAAACTTGGAACAGAGTAGTTCTGGTCAGGGGGAGAAGGGAGTCCTGTAAATGTTGTCAAGCCGGCAGCGGCAGTAATATCTCTATGTTGTGCTGCACATCTTGTGTGTGCACTTGTGTTCACAGAGTCTCCAGCTGTGGTATCGGCATCGTCACCGTCATCAAGAGTGAAAACGAAGCGGGTCAGTGCTATAGTGGGCCCATGATTGCATGAGGGTAGAAATAAATACAGTCAAATCTGCCGTTAGCGACCTCTGCTGTAGGCGACCATCTACCGTTAGCGACCGATTTTCCGTGCACCGACGGTTTCACATACAAACTGATCTGTCCAGAGCGACCATCTGCTGTGCGCGACCAGCGACCGCGATTTCATGCACGGTGGCTGCATTCAAATCTGCTGTAAGCGACCGCGACCCAGGTTCAGTAAGGTGCGAAAATGTACTTGCCAGTGCAGTGCGCTGTCAACTGCAAAGTGTGAAAATGCGCTGTCTTGCAAGTGCGATCGACTGGCGCCTGGCCTGTACTCAGGCTGTGCTGTAGCTCTCAAGTCCAGGCAGTGTCGATCTACTGCCGTGTCGCATACGCGTACTATACGGGTATGGTCGTCGTTGAATATCCAATAAAATGATATTAAAAATCACATTATTCTCGTCGATTTGAGTACATGGAAGCATATACCTGGTATGCCGGATTTACCATACATCTGTCGTAAGAGACCATCTGCCGTAAGCGACCGCTTTTTCTTGCACCAAGGGGCGGTCGCTTACGACAGATTTGACTGTATAATGAAAAAGTGAAAATATTCACAGGTTTGAGGAAAAAGTGAAAAAATAGTATATCGTGTTCTCCCACTTCTACATATCCAGTATTATAGACTGAGGACATGAAGCATTGCTCACTCAGGTCTCCCCTGGATATTTCATGTGTAGGTTGTACACTGTGTGTATATCAAACTCTGTAACATGGTCCTCTGTTGTGAGATTGTGCAAGTCCCAGCACGACTAGGGAGTGTGTTGGTCAGCTAAGAGTTTATGTTGGCTGAAGAAGAAATTGAATTGTGCATGTGTGTGGGTGCGTGCGTGCATGCGTATGTGTGCGTGCGTGTTTGTGTATTCTGCTTGTAAATGCAATTGTTGCGTTCCACCAGCCTTGGTGTGTGGTAACAGTCATGGAGCGAGACATTGTCTGCGGTACCTACTCACTGTATCCCCGTTCCTTCACTATCGATGGTTCTGAGAACATGTCTGCCAGTGTGTAAGTACCAGAATTACCTTTGTCAGCTGTACCACCAGCTGTGCCAGCACATCGTGCATGCCGGCTTCATCACTTTCTGCAGCTTTGACCGCACGCTGTGCAAAATCCAAAACCACGCCTTCCCTACGGTTGGAAGTTAACATTTGGACTGAATTGAACTGAAGTTGATGCAGCCAGAATTTATGAATCACACCGCGCAACTGGAATGAACCAAGCACAAACTGGTGTGCTGGAATGAGAGATTGTGGTCTTTGCGTGTGCGAGTACAGAGCGTGATCCAGATAAGTTACGTAATAAAGGCAGCATGCCCACAATGGCTCTTAATCACAAGCGTGTACTCTTGTACACTTGTAAACTCTTGGTTTGGACAAGTCTTGGTTATAGTAATAGTGTTGAAAATGCTCAATTCTTGAGTTCCATTCTATGCATCTCTCCAAGAAGTTGTATACTTTGTGCCATTTCAACACATTCACCACACACATATTTACGAATGTGTATGAATTGTACAGTTTGAAGTCATCATTATTATTATTAAAAAGCTTACGTGGAGATAAAAATGTAATTAACGCAATAAATAGAACAAGGAACAAGGTACTATACATGAAAACAAGTGTTGCTAATGGTGTTTGTACTGAGTGCGCAGCTTACTCTATTTATTGCGTTAATTATTATTATTATTATTAGTGAGTTTCTGCTGCACGGAACTACGTACCAAACTCTGTGTCAACTGCAGTGAAGTTTGACACGGATTTTTCGTACGTTGCGCCGGTTGTGCTGTGCATAGCATGCTCGTAGAATGCTCGAACTTCGTGCCACGTGTACTCTGTGCGCTCAGTTTTCACACGGAAACCAGTCCGTGTGAAGCGCGCTTCACGCACTTCACACGGAAAACGGTATGAAAAATCCGTGTGAAAATTGATCCCGTACCGCGGCGAGGTTTCCATACGTACTTTAGTACGTTTTACCGTGTGGCAGAAACTCACTAAATATCAGCTTTTCGCGTTGACATCACGAAGCAAGCTTGGCTAGTCTTCGCTCAAGCCAAATGGAATGAAGAATGGGGAACGAGCGGGGTCAATGAGGTGCTCATATGCATGCAGCTGCAGAATAGGCAACACAGAAAATATCAAAACTGTCCTAAAAGAGACGAAATGCCAACACGAAATGTCAACTATTTGCTTCAACAAATAAAACCCGAAAATTGCTGAGTACTGCACTGTAGTCATGATACAGATAGCTGACGTGCAGAGTGTCAAAAGCGACATAATACATACATACATGTATAAGGATAGTGAGTGTGACGAAGTCATGATTCTTCAAATACTTCTTGCCGGAGAAACTGTTTAGTTGAGGCTGCTGGCTTATAGAGTGCTGGATTAACGAGGGACGACTGTAGTCTGAGCAGATGTGTGGGAGTGCGTGTAGCATACAGCTGTTCATGGCGGGTGTGGAGCGTAGTCGTAATGCGTAAAAATGAAATGAACAAACATGCAAAAGCAACTTACTTGCACAGAAGCATAGCCTACATCTATTCGTTTTGGGGCACTGTGTGTGTGTGTGCGTGTGTGTGTGTGTTTGTGTGTGTGTGTGTGTGTGTGTGTGTGTGTGCGTGCGTGCGTGTGTGTGTGTGTGTGTGTGTGTAAAAAAATGAAAAATGAAAAATAGGGATTCACTGGCCAGAAAAAGCCACTTCAATCAGCTGCGTGGTGGATACCAGGCTAGAAAATAGTGGCGGTCGATTCATCAGCCTTGCAAGCTGTTGAATGGTGTAATCCCAGCACAAGTTGCTATGTCTAACATAGCTGTTCACTATCATCGCTTCCGCGATGGGCATGTCTGAGGTGTGTGTGTGTGTGTGTGTGTGTGTGTGTGTGTGTGTGTGTGTGCATGTGCGTGTGCGCGTGTGTGTGTACCTATAATTATGTGTGTTCTTTCAGGATTGGTATCAATGGCAATCCGCCAGTTAGTGGCCATGACTCTGTGAATAAAGTTCGGCCGTTTGTTGGAAAGGTGAGAAGATTACTCATGCCCAACAGATTTTTCCTTTCCTTGCCTGCTGCCTTTAGCCACTCCTGTACCCTGTAGCTACTCCTGTACCCTGTAGCCACTCTTTGTACCCTGTAGCCACTCCTGCACCCTGTAGCCACTCCTGTACCCTGTAGCCACTCCTGTACCCTGTAGCCACTCTTTGTACCCTATAGCCACTCTTTGTACCCTGTAGCCACTGTTGTACCCTGTAGACACTCCTGTACCCTGTAGCCACGCCTGTACCCTGTAGCCACTCCTGTACGCTGTAGCCACTCTTTGTACCCTGTAGCCACTCCTGTACCCTGTAGCCACTCGTTGTACCCTGTAGCCACTGTTGTACCCTGTAGCCACTCCTGTACCCTGTAGCCACTCATGTACCCTGTAGCCACTCATGTACCCTGTAGCCACTCCTGTACCCTGTAGCCACTCTTTGTACCCTGTAGCCACTGTTGTACCCTGTAGCCACTCATGTACCCTGTAGCCACTCCTGTACCCTGTAGCCACTCTTTGTACCCTGTAGCCACTCCTGTACCCTGTAGCCACTCATGTACCCTGTAGCCACTCCTGTACCCTGTAGCCACTCTTTGTACCCTGTAGCCACTCCTGTACCCTGTAGCCACTCCTGTACCCTATAGTGAGTTTGAAGTAATGTCAATATTTAGATGGATGAACAAAGGATGCAAGAGTACCTCTTTCTCTTTCATCTGTTCAGCTTGTCAGCTGACCAACAAGCCTTTCTTTTCATGATTCTCCCTACATGGAAGCCAACCAATTCGCAGCTTTTTTTAGTCTGAGTATGTGTGCAAGTTTTTAGGTCATTCTATTGTAGGCACTGGATTGTTGGTTCTGGAACAATGTACAGGAAATTTGTTGAGTTTGATGCTTCCCTGTTGTATGAGTATGTAAGCTGAGCCTGACATTGCTGGGCACGGTGCACCCTGGGCTACTTGGCGTGTGTTACATGCTGTAATACATATTGGCCCCTGCTGTCATATTGGCGCCTGCTGTCTTGTGTTCTGTGCTTAGGGTGTGGAGATTGAAATCACCGCTGATGGCTCAGTTCGCGCCATCCGGCGCAGCAAGAACCCTGTCATTCTCAAGGTCAGTTGCACAACACGTGTGTATGGAGCGTGGTGTACGTGCATAACTGTGTCGGGTGCCGACTGGGAGCAGTCTAACATGCTGAATGAAACGTCAAAAGAATCGTCTCGTCTAAGGGGCCGTCAGTAATTATTGGTGGTTTAGCGTGTGCGCTAAGCCCTGTTAACGAACGTGGAACACCTACCACTCATACTTAGTCTGATGATCATGCATCTGATTATGATGTCATTGCTATACATGCGCATGCGCAGCGCGCGCCACTCTCCCACGCGTGCTTTCCAAATCTTGCTTTAGAGAGAGAGCAAGAGAAAAGAGAGACTCCTTTGTCACATTTGCTTTCCGACGACTTGACTGTTCACTGGTTTGTCAACTCTCGTTCGCGTCCAGAGCTGTACCAGCTGGTCGCACATTCCTGAGACGCCTGCACGACCTGGACAGAGCAACTCGATCAACACCATTGCACCAATGGCTACGCATTTCGGCATTGGCAATGGCAGACCTGTTGTGGTGGGCAGAGGCCTTGACCATATGGAATGGGAAGTCATTCTTCCTGGTGGATGAGTGGACGCCAGCCCCCGACATGCAACTACAGACTGATGCCAGCGGCACTCACGGTTATGGTGCCTTCTACAACGGTCGACGGCTGAGAGGAGAGAGCAGCAGCCGAGCCAGATCAGCCAGTCTTGCCAACTCTCCGTTGACAGACTCCGTGCTACAGCTAGCAGCACTGGCAATAGCACCATCCTCCCGCCGGACGTTTTCTACCGCCGAGACCCGCTACTTCCAGTTCTGCCAAGTGCATGCCTGCAACCCATTGCCGGGCGACGACTTTACTTTGTGCTATTTTGCTGCCGAGTTGTTCAGGACTCTTCAGCCTCGATCTGTCCGTGTCTACATGTCGGCAATCCGCAACCTTCATGTGGAACTTGGCTTTGCTTACCCGTCGGGCCCAACAACTCTCCTCGCTAGTGTCCTGCGGGGCATCGACACAGCGTCATCGTCTGCCGATAACCACTCCACTTCTCAGGGAGATCTGCCGGCATGTTGCCGTTCAACGCATGCGGCACCCTCACGACAAGGCCATGCTAAGGGCAGCTTTTCCCTTGGCGTTTCATGGGTTCTTCCGTTGTGGAGAACTGACTGCTGGCCTGAGGCGATGTGATGTGACGATCAGTACTGACCAGCGGTCGTTATCGGTAAACGTGCGCTCATCTAAGACGGACTCCAACAGCACGGGCCACACAGTATTGGTTGGAGCCAGCACGGACGCACTGATCTGCCCAGTGCAGGCCATGGCAACTACCTGGCGTTTCGCCCCGGCGGCGACCATCTGTTCACTTACGCTAATGGCCAGCCGCTTACAAGAAATGCAGTGTCCTCTGAACTGCGCAACCTGCTGCCACTCTGTGGGGTCACGGACCCGAGTGCATATGCCAGTCACCCGGATTGGCGCCGCAACATCAGCGGCCATGGCAGGTGTCCCCGAACACATCATCCGCATCATGGGTAGATGGCGCAGTGATGCGGTCCACCGCTACATCCGGGCTGCTACAGCTGACACCCTGCGAGTGTAACGTCAATTAGCTGCAGTTCAAAGTCATCAATGGTAGCTGCGGGTTAGTGACCACATTGCGCCTGAACTGCTTAGCTTTAGCTTTACATTGCTGCTGTCAGTACAGCACAATACACCAATCGTATTTCATTATTACTCTCATGCCATATTGGGGATATTGGGAACGGGCAGTCTATCTCCGCAGCTGGCTCATTTCAATCACTACCGGTCGCAGCTCCTGCCCACGGCAGGCCGACCGTCTCTCGTTCACACTCTGTGTGCTCCAGGTCACAGCTCCTGCGCAGAGCAGGCCGACCTGTCTGTCTCTCTCTCTCACACACACTCTGTGTGCTCCAGGTCACAGCTCCTGCGCAGAGCAGGCCGACCTGTCTGTCTCTCTCTCTCACACACACTATGTGTGCACCGGGTCACAGCTCCTGCGCAGAGCAGGCCGACCTGTCTTTCTCATGCACGCCAGCTGCTCCGCCCAATATCCCTGATGTGCCAACCAGAAAACAATGTGTTCTGAGCCGGGTGCATGCCTGTATGTGGAGAGTGCGTTAATGGTGGTTTAGCGTGTGCGCTAAGCCCTGTTAACGAACGTGGAACACCTACCACTCATACTTAGTCTGACGATCATGCATCTGATTATGATGTCATTGCTATACATGCGCATGCGCAGCGCGCGCCACTCTCCCACGCGTGCTTTCCAAATCTTGCTTTAGAGAGAGAGCAAGAGAAAAGAGAGACTCCTTTGTCACATTTGCTTTCCGACGACTTGACTGTTCACTGGTTTGTCCGTCAGTTGTCAATTTTCCCCTTCCCTCCCAACCCCATTCGACTGGGGATCACTATCTCTCCGTCACTGTCACCATAATTTCCTCAATAACAGTGTCAGTATAACTCTTGTCAATATACTTATATCGGGTGAGGGCAGTCTATCTCCGCAGCTGGCTCATTTCAATCACTACCGGTCGCAGCTCCTGCCCACGGCAGGCCGACCGTCTCTCGTTCACACTCTGTGTGCTCCAGGTCACAGCTCCTGCGCAGAGCAGGCCAACCTGTCTGTCTCTCTCTCTCACACACACTCTGTGTGCTCCAGGTCACAGCTCCTGCGCAGAGCAGGCCGACCTGTCTGTCTCTCTCTCTCACACACACTATGTGTGCACCGGGTCACAGCTCCTGCGCAGAGCAGGCCGACCTGTCTTTCTCATGCACGCCAGCTGCTCCGCCCAATATCCCTGATGTGCCAACCAGAAAACAATGTGTTCTGAGCCGGGTGCATGCCTGTATGTGGAGAGTGCGTTAACAATCTTTTGCATGAAACTAAGAACTTTTGTTTGTCTTCGAAGCCAGTTTCATTTTGAAAGAAAAACATTGATCAATACATTTCTTGCTGTCTAATCAGTGTATTTTTTTTGTTCTGGGTGAGTGGGTGGGGGACTTCCACAACTAATTTTTTTTTCATTCCGTGAAAATTATCAATTATACCGGATGGCCCCTATTGTTATGATTTCAATCTTATAGTACTCTTCGTTGTCGGTAAAAGCGAGTGCTAGTATGACACACCCCTCCCTCCCCCCCCCCCCCCCTCCACACACACACACACACACACACTGATCCTGGCAATGTTTTACTCAAGAGTTGAAAATCTTTTGCTGTATTTATTTTAGGGCCGGAGTTCCACTCTTCTTCATTGCCATCCTAATACTGAGCTTGAAGGAGATGTCATGCCCAGGAATATACCACAGGAGGTAGGTGCATGTATGTAGGTCAAAGCATCACAGGCCCGATTCAACATCATTCTACTGTAACTGTGTATGTTCTCAACCTAACGTTAGTCGCAGAATATAAGTTTGATATCCTGGGAGGTGTTTGCTGCTTTGCGTGCCTGCTTTTCAGCTGCCCTGGGACAAGATTCGTATTGTGGTCTGTTTTTGTTCTTTTGCATTGCTCTACTCGGGCACAGATCTTCTCGGCATCAACGTTCAAGCAGCATGTCAAGGACGTGATGGCTAAGACCAAGCTAGACTTGACAGTGCTGTTTTGTTTGTGTCGCGTAAGTGGGGCACTGCTGATGCTGTATCACGTACATTCTGCACTCCACAGCATGCTGTATCACGTACATTCTGCACTCCACAGCAAGCTGTGTGATTTGCATTCTACACTCCACAGAATGCCGTGTCCTCTCTAGACGTGTGCCGAACATGAACGTGGCGGAACTCGATTCACGCCAATCATGCACCAGGTCTCTTTCCCTCTTTCCACTCCGAACTAATGCAGGTCTGGTGCGAGTCGCTTTGTGTTGGAATATGTTTGGCAAGCTGATTCTTTTGTAAAATCAGTGCTTACCACTGATGCAAGCAAAGGTGTGTTTCATTTGCAGCGGTGATTTTTTTGTCTGTTCGGATCCCGAAGGGCTAGCCAAGATACTGCCGAGTTAGAATGAGCAGCAGTTGGCACAGTACGAACGGATTGTACTGGCATTCAGTGACCGGGCATTAGTTCTATCACGCTTAGATGCGCTTCCAACTTGGAAGGTTGTTGGATATTAAATAAAAAGGAGAGGCACACATTCAAGCCAAAGGCGCACACTCAAGTCAAAAACAAGCTAAGCCTTACAGCAAAACAAACTATTGGCTATATCAGAATGTTGATGGTACGAGGAAGACCATATCAGATTCTGAGTGTTCAGCATGTTGGCTCATGGAGTGGTGGATAACTACGCATAGCTAGTAAAATTAGTAATCCATTGGTCCTTTCCTTCCTGTAATTCTCCCTTCATTCGTACAGGCACTTGTGAATGAAACCTCTTTCTCTTGCCTTGCCCTCTCATCCTGCGTGGTCTAGGTTGGAATAGGGTTTGTGCGTAACACATCCAACCCACACTCAACTCCGTGCTGGGCTATTGTGGACTTTGTCGTACCTCATCTCAAAGTCAACGGTGAGTGGGTCCAGGGAATCATTAGCACATTGACAAGTGCAACTGGATTGTGTGGTATGCCGTGGATACTGATAACGAAATCTGTGTAATCAAACGATGTAAGGGAGTTCTAGAATGGACGAACTTGTCTGTGATCACACAAATTCACTGTATAATACTATTTGTGTACATTTCCAGTATCTGCATTCTACACACCCTCTCCTACAGGCAGCAAACAGTACAATAATACTGTATGTCACTTTTTCTATGTCACATTTGGCTATCTGGTTCGAATATGTGCGGTTATCAATAGTGCTCGTTTATTGCGATCTCTCTTTGTATATGTGTACATGTGCCTGTCTGTGTGTGTGTGTGCGTGCGTGCGTGCGTGCGTGCGTGTGTGTGTGTGTGTGTGTGTATACTACACTGCAGAGTATTTACAACGCCGTGCTGTGAAAAGCAAGAGGTCTGCATCACCTTGGAGCCAGGCAGACATCTTTGATCCCAGAATGCTATGTTTCACAGCACCAATGCCTGTTAGTAGCCGCTCTAACTACACACTCCTGCAAAAGGATTCTGATGAGTCGGCGTTTACCACCACTTCTCCTACTGCTAATGGTAGCAGCAGCGCCAGTGCGCAGGACAAAACTTGCGGCGCGGATGCACTGTCTCCCCAGTACTCGATTGTTAATCGTGATCACAGCACGCGTGCACACGCATCAGAGTCTGATGCAATGTCACACACTGCTGCAAGCCGCACTCAAACCACTGGTGTTGCAAGTGGCAGGACCTTGTCCTCTGGTAGCTCATTGCATTCTACTACATCATTGGCACCATCGTCTTCGGGACAGGTCCTTAGTAATGCTGCTGCTACTGGTGTTGCTTCAAATGACTCGTCTCCCTTTGCTGCCTCTCGTGCTCGAATGTGGGCAAAGAGGAGCAAGGTGACGGGCTCCAAAGACAAGGCCTAATGTGAGCAAAGTGTATCAAGGTGGCGGGTTTGAAGGCAATTTGTGGTGCCCACAGCTATGTAAGTTATCCTCCGCCCTACTACCTACAGCTATGTTATTTATTCTCAAAAATCCTGGACATGTGTGACTATTCTTCTCTCATGATGTTTTCAAATATATGCAACTAGGTTCATTCAAAATTCATACGTTCTTATGTGTTTGTTAGCCGGGGCGTCTGCGTGTGCTGTGCACATGCGTGGCCTTAATTAGTCTCAATTCACTTGTTATTCCTCTTGAGTAGGACATTACAATAATGGTCTTTGGTTCACACTTCATGTCAAGGAGCCCCCGGTGTGGAACCAATGGAAACGGATATACATGTATTTGAATTCTTCTGTTATTTTCAACCTTCCCACAGATATCTAGATGAACAGAGAAATGATTTTTTTAACGCACCATTATTGTTGAGACCTCTTCCCTTGATCCCTTTCCTAACACCTGCATGCAAAACGACTGACCCTTCCTCCTATTCTTTCTGTTCGTATCCGAACGGAACACTGAAATTGAATCAGATGTCACTTCAATCCATGCGCAATGCAATCTTTCTTACTACATTGCTTTTTAGCCTGTTTTTATCAGTATGAATTCTCATTTCTACGGAATGATGCACCCAGTGCAACAACCTAGCCTTACGCCACTGCCGTACTGTGCAGTATGAATCTCTATAGTGTGACATTGTTTTGGTATATGTACATGTATTAAATGATGGCAAACACTCCTCTGCAGGGTGGTTTAGTTTTTAGGACATGCTGGAAGATTTCTATCACTATTGGTAACATGCACTATTTTCGCTACCGATCTTGTTAAATCTCACTCTTACCCTTATGGGGAGGGCATGCACTCTTCTCTTGTATTTACACTGTACATGATTCTTTTCAACAGACCGTACTTCAAGTATTTTCGACGATCTACTCACTAACTCTTTCCAACTCATATACACGCTGAGTACGTTAGTTGAGGGAAATAGTACACGGGTTGCGTTGTGCATGGTATTCAACCAGGATCTGCAAGTAGCAGTGGTTTCATTGGGTACTGACTGTGGTGTTCTGTGCAAGCAATGGTTAGTGTGTGGAGTTATTCTCTCCCTTTCCACCTCTACACTGTCACGAGTACTACCGTAAAAGCCCGTGTATAGGCACCGGGCGTATAGATTAGCAGCCTCGATTTCCTGGGCGTATACAAGGGCATGGGCGTTATTTTGGAACCGGGCGTATACTTGGAATAGGGATAGCAGTAAGTATTGGGTATCGGTGCCTGTACATCTACTGATGTTGCCGGTATACCTGGGCGTATACACGTGCATGGGCGCTATTTTGAAACAAAAGTGTTGACTTCCCCTGACTGGGCGTGTACACGGAGGGTGGGCGTATACAGGGGCTTTTACGGTATTATGTATTATAGTTATACCGATGTCGGCGCTCCGGGACCTTATGTTCGAAACACCGCTGCTTTCCTAGCTATTTTAGATGCAAAATGAGTAAATGACTCACTCACCCCGCATGCCATAAGTCAAAGTTCACACAGACATTTCAATCTAAATCCACTTGTTCACCCTTCCTGCTGGGCTGTAAGTTTGTTAGTACTATAGTACCGGTACTTTTACTTCATTTGTACAAAACATCCTTCAAATGTCATTTCTTTTATGAAGCCCATGGCTTTATAACTGGGACTGGCTTTATAATCGAATATACATCCATACTAAAAAGCATTTTCAAGGATTCCGGTTTTGTGCATACGGTATGTACATTGATTTGAATCGCAGCAAAAGAGACTGCTATTGGAATTGAGAAGTGAAGTTTCTTTAAAAATCTGCCAATTGCCGGTGCCATATTGTATGGCATTCACAAATTAACGGAAAACAGTCATGCAGAGAGGGAGAGGGAGAGAGAGACGGGAGAGACGAGAGGAGGGAGAAAAGCGAGGGACTCACATGCAGCACACACAATGGACACAAACATGTGCACGCACGCACGCGCGCGCGCGCGCACACACACGCACACACACACACACACACACACACGTTGCAGGACAAGCACAGAAGGCTGTGAATGTGACAATCCTAAGTTATATTGAACGAGACATAGATGCTGACGGTGTACGAATTGACTGGATAAAAAAACGACAATGGCAAACAACATGGGCAGGAAACCAGACTGAGGTTAAGAAATTTAAAAGAAATGAAGGAGTCAATCGCAGCTCTAGAAATCCACCCATGAAAAAACCCAAACAAGAGACAGCACCTATGCACACAGTGTACAATGTACAATGTACCTGCATGTTAGATTCAGTTACAAGCTGACTTTGACTGTGACTCAAGAGTACTTAAAAATACAGGCACAACACAGCATGTATAGTTTCAATTCAACAAAACAGAATGGGACTGCAATGAGGTAGACAGGGCAACCTCGACTCTTTCCAAGTTGAAGGAAGTACATAGTACACACAGAAGGCTAATGACACCATAAGATCTTCTGTGATGTGCCATGCTATACACAATCAGTACGTAGACACACAGACAAACACAATCAAGACAAGATAAGGTACGCGTAGTAATGATGAGAACTTGGCACGGTGAGAATTGCTAGACGCATGTCAACAGGCTCTCTCAATAAAATAAAAATTCGGTTTATATAACTCACTCGAAATGCACCACACAAAGGATTTGTGACTGTTGACATTATCCTTACGTTAACCTCGGACAAGGGTTGGTTGGTTGCATAGTGGGGGAAGACTAGCTACAAGCTACGCTGAACAATAGTAGGAATAGCTGGTACCTACGGTGGCCGATACACAAGGACGGTACAGTTTAAGAACTTGATGCAAGGAACTCGCCGGGGTCTTTGTTGTACGTGAAGCCTACAAACGCATCATCTGCGGGTACTTCATCAACAGGTACACCTTCGGACAGGGATGCTGCAGAAGACAACAACAAAAACAACAAAAACAACAACAACAACAACAACAACAACAACATACAATCATCATTGTTTCAACTCCACACTTGTATCTTTCAGCACTGTCACTAGGTGTTACTTCTCTTCAGTTGTTCTGTAAAAGTTCATTTGTGTTGAATTGTTCATTAGTACAAAGATGATTATTGATGAGTGTTGTACGGAAACTTGTTTCACCCTTTCTTCATGGTTATTTTCACTATTGCATCTACTTTCAAGTACGCAATTACATGTACATGTATGTACTAAGTGAACTGTTTCAGGGCAATGGCACTTTCTTTCTTTGTCCCCTATTCACTGTTCCCATGGTGAGTTTTACATGCTTCCTTGATCATCGAATGTCATTCATTTTGTCTGCTGGCGTGGTGTGCACATGTCATTCATGTTTATCACTTCCCTTGACAGTTCATGCTCCATTTTGAGTGTAAAAAATTCACATCATTCTGTTCCAGATAAGAGTGTTCAATTATGCTTCGATCCTAGTGCTATGAACGTTCTCTCTCTCTCTCTCTCTCTCTCTCTCTCTCTCTCTCTCTCTCTCTCTCTCTCTCTCTCTCTCTCTCTCTCTCTCTCTCTCTCTCTCTCTCTCTCTCTCTCTCTCTCTCTCTCTCTCTCTCTCTCTCTCTCTCTCTCTCTCTCTCTCTCTCTCTAATCTTCGTTTATAATACTGCACTGCAATCGTGCATCACATTATAAAGAATACGTACCGCACAGTTTGTCCTCCTGGTTGCGATATTGTTAATCGAAATTTTTCGTACAAGAGCACATGACAGCGGGGAAGGAACAAAATCTACACAATTGGAACATGCTATATTAAAGAGTGGTAATAAAGACACCACTCCCTCAACTCAGCTACTTCCGAGCAGCAGCAGCATCAGCCAGACGGAGGCAACAGTACAAATTACCTGTAAGCGGTTCGCTGGTGAACTCTGGATCAACATGGGATGTATCGTCAGTGCCAGACTATTGGGCACACAAACAGAGCAGATAGCATAGATTAGAGACAATTATGATAAACACACAGTTTACAATTGTGTGCAAGCAGCATGGCGCAAGAGGCTACATTAGCACGCATGTTGAAATTCCCACAACACATGGCACTGCAGTGTAAAATAGACACAGTGAATTTAGAAATTTAGAATACTGAATACTAATACATGAATAATTTACGAGGAGATAAGAAGCAAATGATCGCAATGAAAAGAGCAAGAGGCGTACCAATGGCAAGGACCAGGGCAATAGTCTAATTCCTGAACACTTTCATAGCCTCCTTCTCAGCAGAAGAGCTACAGGCCCTAAACAAGGAGAACGTCCAAGCTGTGCAGCATGCATGCCCAAGCCACAGTTCTAACTAAACAAGCTAAGACCTAAGTCCACATCATCATCATCATCCTCATCCTCATCATCACTGCACATGTCCACAAAGCAGCACTCACCACGCGGGGATTCCATGGAGGCAAGATCTTGCGGTCGTACAAATCCACCCAGGAGATATTGTGGAAGAAGTTGTGCGTCATGATGTCGTTCTGTGGCAACACAATGCAGCAAATAGATCAGCACCAGCACAGGCCTCTGCGTTAGCATCAGTAGCATCAACACAGGGAAGCAGAGATGAGTCGTGCAGGACATCAAACATTCACCATCAAATAGAGTATTGCATGCCGTATTACTTGATCCTAGAGGGTGGTGGCGTTCCCACGGCGTATGTGGAAAACTCGGCTTCCAGCCGAGTCTCACGCGAACCATGAAATGTATTTATATTTATGCCGTATTACGAAAAGTTGAACTGAAGCGACACGGCGGCTAGTTACCATTTTATTCCCTAGAAATGGCACGGAATGATTCTGGAAACTTTGGAGAGCAGGAAAATACCACTAGCGAGGTGAAAGCAGTTAATGGCAGCATTTCATTCAACTTGAAGCAGTATAAGTTCACTCACAGCATCATGGTTGGAACCGAGACGCTTCTTGGGGTCCTTCTGAAGCAGCTGGTCCAGGATCAAGCGTCCCTCATTGCCCATACCGGCCTGGCGCAGCTTGAGTGGTTTGTGCAAAATACCGTCATACATCTCTGCAACATTGCGACTGTAGAACGGCGGCTATTGACAGCACAGAAATATACATGCGCGCGCACACACACACACACACACACACACACACACACACACACACACACACACACACACACACACACACACACACACACACACACACACACAACGCCCATCAGCAACAGTACACAACCCCAGAATGCAACTCTGATCTCTAAGCTATGAGTGTTGTGCATGGCGCATGGTCTTCACTACGCAGTTACTAGTAACATGACGCTCAAGCAGATTAGATTGGAATTTTCCAATGGATAATATGCTATGATTTCATACATCATACAGCAAAGGCAGTTCCTGCAGGCCGTACATCACACACAAAACCTTTCAAGTCTCCAAGAAAACACATTTGGAAGCTGGAAACTGTAGCAGACATGCAGTATTGCTTTGCTCTGTTTTCAGTACTCACCAGACCATAGATCATTTCGTGCAACACACAGCCCAAACACCACCAGTCAACACTTTTCGAGTATTTGGACTTGCGAAGTACTTCTGGAGCGAGATACTACACCAAAACCGGAAGAGTGCACAGAAAACAGAAGAGTATAAACACACCCCAAACAAACCCAGAAGCACTAAGTTACGACGCGTGTAGCAATGAGTGAACGGGATCGAAGTTTGTATGCACAGGACAATTGCATTACAAGCACATAGCCTGCACTGTACCGTGAACTTACCTCAGGTGTGCCACAGAATGTAGCTGTGGTACCTCCATCCATGATGCCCTCCTTACACAAGCCAAAGTCAGTCAACATTATGTGACCCTGGACATAAAGAAACAACACACGCATACATATATTTGAGGGGACATGTTAGGAAAATAGGTCCCCCCCCCCCCCCCCCCCCCCCCCAGTAAATTGAGGTTTGTACTATCAGGATTCCAGCAGGATTGCAATGACAGTGATGGACTGGTAATGGTAGACCAGTGTGTACTGATCAGGCAGTGGATGTCAGTACATGTATTACAGTGGTCTACTGTGATGTGAATAACGCATACATAGGTTGGCAGCATACAAAGCCATGCGGTGTCAATTCCCTGCACAGTATTGGCTGCATTGCTACATGGAACACAGCAAGCACCGCACTAACCTGGTCATCCAGGAGAATATTTTCTGGCTTCAAATCTCTGCAGAAAACAGGGGAAAAGACAGTTCCACATCAGCACACCAACACGAACACTTCTCGTCTTGGATGTATGCACATGAAAAGCTACTTGCTCACCAGCAAACAGGACTGAACTAAGTAATCCAAGGCAAGCATAAATCCGTGCTTGCGGCCAGACAGAGCATGTGTTGACAGCGACTATACAAATGATATAGTGCGGCCACGGTACGAGAGAAAAAAAGGAGATAAAGAAAGCGAGAGAGGAACATACCTGTAAATAATACCCATGGAATGTAAGTATCCAAGGGACGATGTGATCTCTGCTGCGTAGAATTGGGCTCTGCACACACAGACACACACACGAGAGAAAGGCAAGATACAACATGAAAGTTGACATACGACAGGAAAAGGTCATTTGTGAATTAACCCAAATCTGCCGCAATAGCACACTTCTGTACATGCTCGTATGGGAGGGGGGGGGGGGGGAGGAGGGGGAAATCAGTGTTATGAAATCTGTACGCAATGACCAGCAGGTTCACATCTTATCCATGCCAAATAATTGCCACTGTACTGATTGGTGATAAAGCAGTCGCAGGGTTGCAGGGTACAAAAGTGAGTGGGTTCTAGAGATGCAAAGAACGGTGTTTCTTTGAACGAATATTCTAATATTTGCTTAGACGAACGAACATTCTACAAGTATATTCTTCTGATGTGCCTCGATCACTTCACTCAATTAGACCCAACATTCATGATGCATACAGAATATGTTGATAGTACATACCCACTGGTTGAAGAGCACATTTTACCTAAGAACAAGCTTCACAGTTCTCAGAACATAATTTCTACACTATCATCCTCAACACTGTTCAGGAGGTCAAGGTTGGAGCTAAATACCACAACCAAAAAGTGCGATTTTTTTCTTCGAATATCAAATGTTGCTGCCTGCATTCGAATATTCTTTCTGGTGTCGGTAATCTAGAATACTCGAATACCGTATTTCCCCGATTATAAGTCGCACCTTCTTACCCTAAGATTCAGGGTTAAAAAGGGGGTGCGACTTACAATCGAGCATGACTTACTACTGAAGTGAATATATCGCAACTATTGCTCAAACCTGAAAATGGGGGTGCGACTTATAATCGAGTGCGACTTATAATCGGGGAAATACGGTAATTCAAATAATCCTCGCATCACTACTCACAACCACACTTCAAATTTGTACATGCTGTCACAAGTCCAATCTGCACCATTATTATGTTGGTGACACATGCAGCATGCGAAATCTGATACAACCGAGGAGTATCAATGACCCGGATCAATACCTTGCTTCGCTGAAACACTTCTCTCGCTGGAGATGATAAAACAGCTGCACGGGAAGACAGAAAACACAAACAAAGTAAACATGAATATCTCAGGCTTCACTTATGTACCTCAGGTCTTGGGTTAGCCAATACATGTAGTTGGTTAGCACCAGAAACACACGCACTCACGCACGCATGCATGCACACACAGACACACACATATACGTACACACAACTGTCCTTGCATCGCGACAGACATGGTTCGATAATGTGAGGCAAACGTTTGTCACAAGTTGACAAACATTGTTGCCTGGTAATTTGCACGATCGGCTTACTGCCATGATACGCTGAGCTATGTCACAACCAAAACAGCCATGTTGCTATTGTCAATTTGTCTTGCACACAATCCTGCCATGCAAGCATGCAAGTCAACACTGCAATGTAGATGGACTACCCTTTCCCCGTCCCGCACACATCTTCCCTACACAGGGGGACTACCCTCTCCCCGTCCCGCACACATGTCCCCTACACACGGGGACTACCCCCTCCCCAGTACAATCGTCATGTACACAGGCGGAAAATCATGCTTCACAAAGTGTGCTGACCTCTCCACCATTGACATAATCCAGGACAAAGTAGAGACGATCACTGGTTTGAAACGAGTAGTGCAGACCCTGAGCGTGCGGACAAAACAGCAGAGCAGAAGAAGAATAAAGCGAAGCAGTCGTTAGCAACAGTCATCATCCAAACACATGCACCTTTGCGACTCCACTTCAAATACCACTTGGCAGCACAGCCCGCAATGACCAGTATGTGCACCACACTACGCAGTTTATACATGTACATGAAAAGTAGGGGCAAAATCCAGACAGGGATACATGTACAGGATTGTACATCAAAGGGAAATTCATTAGCAGCATTCTGAAGTACAGAGACCATGGCACTACGGATGACTGTGATGCTAAATCATGTGGGTTTCGACCCTGGGCTGCCCTTTACAGTCACCCCAGACCTAGGGGCAAGGCCGTTTATTACACGCTCGTACACTGCATATGGCATCGCTTGTCGCGCCGCGCTGGGGGGGGGGGGGGGCAGGTCAAGGCTGCAACCGTGAGTTGCATAGACCACGGACCACGTAGACCTTGCAAATCAGGGATAGAAAGAACACCATTCTGGGTACGTGTACTATGATCTTGTGTTGTCTCCCCGTATGCTACGACTACTTGGTGCTACAGTAGAGTTCCAGTGCTGATATGCTGATGGCTAACATAATAAATATCAACACGGGCTGCTACACAGTAGATACCGGTATGGGTACATTGACTCACCACAAGGAAGGGATGCTTTGCGTTTTTGAGCAGGACATTGCGTTCCGCCATGATGTGCCGTGACTAGAGAGGGGAAACAGGCACAGCAGATACTAAATTTATTTAATTTATTTATTGATATACTAAATGCACACACACCAAGGAGAAATGGACGGTCAAAAGGAAGAAACAAGCTTTCAGCCTTCTTTAATTCCAGTATTCCTGCATGCACATGCTAACAAGGCAATGATGGAATGAAACTTACCTCGTTGCGCTTTAGGATACTATCTTTCCGTAATACTTTGATGGCGTAGTGTTTGTCTGTGGCTTTGTGCTCGGCAAGCAGAACCTGGAGTAAGAATGGATATAGTCAAGCATGCAAAAATCAATGCACTGGAACATTATGAATACAAGTACTTCCGCATCATCCATCAGTACTACACTCCCTGATCACCCATCAGCACTATACTCCCTGATCATCCATCAGCACTATACTCCCTGATCATCTATCAGTACTATACTCCCTGATCATCTATCAGTACTATACTCCCTGATCATCCATCAGTACTATACTCCCTGATCATCCATCAGTACTACACTCCCTGATCATCCATCAGCACTATACTCCCTGATCATCCATCAGTGCTATACTCCCTGATCATCCATCAGTACTACACTCCCTGATCATCCATCAGCACTATACTCCCTGATCATCTATCAGTGCTATACTCCCTGATCATCCATCAGTACTACACTCCCTGATCATCCATCAGCACTATACTCCCTGATCATCCATCAGCACTATACTCCCTGATCATCCATCAGTACTATACTCCCTGATCATCCATCAGTACTACACTCCCTGATCATCCATCAGTACTACACTCCCTGATCATCCATCAGCACTATACTCCCTGATCATCCATCAGTACTACACTCCCTGATCATCCATCAGTACTATACTCCCTGATCATCCATCAGCACTATACTCCCTGATCATCCATCAGTACTATACTCCCTGATCATCCATCAGCACTATATTCCCTGATCATCCATCAGTACTATTCCCTGATCATCCATCAGTACTATACTCCCTGATCATCCATCAGCACTATACTCCCTGATCATCCATCAGTACTATCAAGAGTAGATAAACAAGAGTGTGCAACTCCGGATCTCTCCTGCACAATCTGCAGATACCCCGCGCCCACGGCGGAATTTTTTGTTTACGTCACCTTTTTTCAGAGAAACGCGGCTTTGCCGCAGAGCAGTGTGAGAGCACGTGCTGGGCACCGACCTTGTAGTGTAAAGCCCAGCCAAGTGCACGAGGGAAAACTCTCCAAAAGGCTCGCAGCGCGTGCGTCGTCGAAAAGATTACGTCAACAAAAAATTCCGCCGTGGGCCAACCCATCCGCGAGTTGCACACTCTTGTTTATCTACTCTTGGTACTATACTCCCTGATCATCCATCAGCACTATACTCCCTGATCATCCATCAGTACTATACTCCCTCATCCATCAGTACTATACCCCCTGATCATCCATCAGTACTATACTCCCTGATCATCCATCAGTACTATACTCCCGGATCATCCATCAGTACCATACTCCCTGATCATCCATCAGTACTATACTCCCTGATCATCCATCAGCACTATACTCCCTGATCATCCATCAGTACTATACTCCCTGATCATCCATCAGTACTATACTCCCTGATCATCCATCAGTACTATACCCCCTGATCATCCATCAGTACTATACTCCCGGATCATCCATCAGTACTATACTCCCTGATCATCCATCAGTACTATACTCCCTGATCATCCATCAGCACTATTCCCTGATCATCCATCAGCACTATACTCCCTGATCATCTATTAGTACTATACTCCCTGATCATCCATCAGTACTACACTCCCTGATCATCCATCAGTACTACACTCCCTGATCATCCATCAGCACTATACTCCCTGATCATCCATCAGTACTACACTCCCTGATCATCCATCAGCACTATACTCCCTGATCATCCATCAGTACTATACTCCCTGATCATCCATCAGTACTACACTCCCTGATCATCCATCAGCACTATACTCCCTGATCATCCATCAGCACTATACTCCCTGATCATCCATCAGTACTACACTCCCTGATCATCCATCAGCACTATACTCCCTGATCATCCATCAGTACTATACTCCCTGATCATCCATCAGTACTATACTCCCTGATCATCCATCAGTACTATACTCCCTGATCATCCATCAGTACTATACTCCCTGATCATCCATCAGTACTACACTCCCTGATCATCCATCAGCACTATACTCCCTGATCATCTATCAGCACTATACTCCCTGATCATCCATCAGTACTATACTCCCTGATCATCCATCAGTACTATACTCCCTGATCATCCATCAGTACTACACTCCCTGATCATCCATCAGCACTATACTCCCTGATCATCCATCAGTACTACACTCCCTGATCATCCATCAGCACTATACTCCCTGATCATCCATCAGTACTATACTCCCTGATCATCCATCAGCACTATACTCCCTGATCATCCATCAGTACAGGTCGTCCCCCGTTAATACGAGTCCGGTTAGTACATAAACCCCGTTAGTACATAAGAAATCTCAAGTCCCGGAGGAAATGTGGTCACTTCCATACAAATTTTGTCGGTTAGTACATAATTCGTTAGTACATAAACCCCGTTAGTACATAACATTTCTCCGTACCCGCATGCCACCCACCTCAATAGTACATAATTTGTTGGTCTTTTGGCCTTCCAGTGGAGGCACGTCGTGTTCTAGTTTCTACTTGTGGATGCAATTAGCTCAGAAATCAGAGCGCACATCACAAACCGACAAAGCTCTGTTTTTTTTCGAGTGACTGTCTACAGGAACGGCTGGACATGTATCATGTAAACTGTAGAATCTTCGCTGACTGTGACCGTTATAACATAATTTTTATGTTATATCGAGGGAATCAAGAATATCTCGCTCCCTAGTCATGGCAGCAAGAAACACTCAGAAAAGTTGAAAAAAGTGAAAAATTCTAGTATGCAAGCAAGTTATGTACACTTTCGTTTAGTACATAAACCCCGTTAATACATAACATTTGTCAAGTCCCAGAGATTATGTATTAACGAGGGACGACCTGTACTACACTCCCTGATCATCCATCAGCACTATACTCCCTGATCATCCATCAGTACTATACTCCCTGATCATCCATCAGTACTATACTCCCTGATCATCCATCAGTACTATACCCCCTGATCATCCATCAGTACTATACTCCCTGATCATCCATCAGTACTATACTCCCTGATCATCCATCAGTACTATTATGCAGAGCATGTCACATGCCCCACCGCTACACAGCCGTCTTTGTTTGCAAAACTAACCACCTCATAAGCACTGTGCAGAGGTACTAAAAATGGGATACCTGACCGGAAATGAACATTGTAGTGACGAAAACCCCCGTTTTGCATGAATTATTAAAGATGAGGGAGTGTAGAGTTAGTGTACCTACCTTTCCAAAACTACCTTTGCCGATGACCTTGAGCAATTTGAAGTCGTTGATTGTTACGCTACACGACAAGGGGTAGACCAGAGTAAGATAGACAAGCGTGTTAGGGTACCTGACGTGCTATCTGAGTGTTACACTTCCAGTACTCTACAAGATGATGTCAGTACAATGTTAGTAATACAAAACACCCTACTGAATTTCCAGTGTTAGCGCACAGGAACACAAGACACACGGCCAAGACTTAAGAAACTGATCTGATCTCTACAAGGAGATAAGTTTGCTGAAGCAGAACAATTCCACAGAGACCATGAGTGAGCGTCTTGTAACGATAGATAGCTAGCTAGATAGATAGAGAGAGGTGACCCAAGAAGGGCAGGAAAGTACTTACTCTGACGAACCAAGGTCAATCTTGTCCTCCTCTCGAAGTGGCGTAGACTAAAAATACAATCAAAAGTTCAAGAAATGGTCCAATTGAGACATCCAGTGGAAGCATAACGTGATCAATGTACGTGTGGGCACCGTTTGTGCGTGTGCATGTATGCATGTGCATGTGTACGCACACACGTGTGTATGTATATTGTACATGTAAGTGGGTGAGAGATTGCTAGTGCATTGTGGTGAACGAGGCAGGAAGTAAAGTGGTAATGACATGACTTACACCTTCTCCTCGATCCTCCCGGTCAATAGGGATGTTGTCGTGGATGGGCACAGCATTTCGCTGATTTTCTAGTGCCAGGAAGTCACGCACGCGAACACTACAAAACAACACAACAAATGTCCACACATGTGTGGGGAATGAAAGGGAAATCACTAATAAAACTACATTGCTGCAACACCGGCACATGCCTTAAAGTGTACATGCTCCTCTGCAGCCACTGAATCATTAAAGGGGAAGTATACCCTAAAATCAAATTTTCACCAGTTGTAGTCTTCTGGGTGCTGAGTCGAATGGTCTTGGTCCGAGGAAGCTGCGACGCTCCCTTCCTACTTGAATCCCAATCGAACTCGCGCACTTCCACCGAAACTGGGTGACTGCGCCCTACTAGATGGGGATTTGTATGCAAAATGTCACTAAAAGCGCCATTTCGTTCTTATAAAAGCACGGATGACCGCGATTGGCCCATATGTTGTAGTCTTTTGGACGCTGAGTCGACTGGTTTTGGTCCGAAAAGGCTGCGATGCAGCGTTCCTCCTTTATTCCCAATCGAACATGGTTGAACAAGCGGTCACGTGCTCCTGCGTACACCAGTCAGCTGGTCACCGTGCCTGCAGGGTACAACTTACTAGCCTGTTTGACCTTTTTTGGGTGCAGTCCTGTCACTCGAGTTGAACCTTGGTGTGAAAGTTGTCGCCTGCTGGCGCGGTGACCAGGTGATTTGGGCACCCAGGAGCACGTGACCGCTTGTTCAACCATGTTCGATTGGGAATAAAGGAGGAACGCTGCATCGCAGCCTTTTCGGACCAAAACCAGTCGACTCAGCGTCCAAAAGACTACAACATATGGGCCAATCGCGGTCATCCGTGCTTTTATAAGAACGAAATGGCGCTTTTAGTGACATTTTGCATACAAATCCCCATCTAGTAGGGCGCAGTCACCCAGTTTCGGTGGAAGTGCGCGAGTTCGATTGGGATTCAAGTAGGAAGGGAGCGTCGCAGCTTCCTCGGACCAAGACCATTCGACTCAGCACCCAGAAGACTACAACTGGTGAAAATTTGATTTTAGGGTATACTTCCCCTTTAAGACCACCTAGACCAGCACACAACGCAACTGGTCTCTCTGCTGAAAATCTGTACAATTTCAATCTAAATATTCGGCCACAGGCCAGCATCATTCAGGATTGATGAAAAACTGGAGACGTGGGCCTAACTATACAACACAAGGTGACATGAACTATGACATACGTGATAAAGTACACCATCATCATCATCATGATACACTTATCACACATGCGGGCACTCACACTCACACATTCGGACGCTCACACTCACACATAAGTTACTCTACACACATATCCACTGAGGTACACAGGAAAACCAAAAACGAAAACAACATGCCTGGAAACAAGGTGTGAGGAGTGATGGAACCATGACAAAATATGAGATTCTTCACTGAACTCATTGTAATTACGCTACAAAATTACGCTGAACAGCATAACAATGGCGTGAACAAGCACTTGATGACAACAGGACAGGACAGCGGCAACATGTAAAAATTACGATCATCCGAGTTTCACATTGTCACTTGTCAAGCAGCCTCCATCCTATCATGTGGTTCGCACCGGCTTACTTTTGCAATTTCACACCCATGGTAAAAGTCAAGACGGATTCCAGATGGCAAAGGCTTCCCGGTTTACAGGATGGGAGTAAATGTTCAGATTAGTAGTTAACCGTGTGTTGTACTTCTAAGTATGAAATAGGCCCACCTCACCAGTTTCCCCTCAATCCTGACAATAGGGAGGTTTCGCTCTACGGAATTACGTATGAAAATAACGCATGAACTGCACGGAATTTTCATACGTAAAAATCAGGGCTGTAGGGTTTCGCTCTACGTAATTTCTCCACGACTGATCAACATACGTTGTTGCTTTGGAGACGCGTTGGATGCATGCGCCCACCGCATGCACCATGAACCGAAACCGCGTTTTCCATGATATTTTGCACGTGGTGTACGGTGTGTGTACCTTGTGTTTGGCGCGGCTTGAATGTTGCCATGGACAAATGCGGAAAATGAGAAAAAAATATTTCGAAAAGTCCTACGGAGGACCCAACGTAGGAAAGAGCTTTCCTACGGAAATCCGTAGAGAGATTTACGTATGAAAGTTGCCCTCGCTCCCCGGCGCGTACGACATACGGATTTTCATACGTAATTACGTAGAGCGAAACCTCCCTAATGGCTCTTGACTGAAAATTTGATGGAGATTGAAATCGTATGGATTGCAGCAAAGAGACCACTTGTGTAGGGTTTTCCATGACATGCACAAAAACACATGCTTCAAAAGTTGAGTATTTCGCTCCTGCTCTTGTAGTAGTTGAGCACTCTCATGTGGGGTAGTGCCTTTGCTGTTTGCATTACGCAGAGCTCACCAACTTGTCAGTTCGAGCACTCTGGCAAGGTAGGTTCGGGCCTGGTTTAAATCTGGCTTTGGAAATCTTATTTTCATTGCTATCAGGTTCGGCCTCATTTTCTCTGTGCTGCGCTGATGAGTTCACAAAGAACGAAACAGCATGCTGTCCGCAGATTGAGTGCTTCAAAAGTAAAAAAATCCAACAAGTGACAGTTCAATGCAATTGCAGCAAACTTACTCCTCCATAAGACTCTTGTTCTGAAACATACTTTGCAGGAACTCATCAAGTCGACTCATGCGATGACTGATAAAGCCTGTCGTGTTGTCACACACCAGAACAAGAAACAGAGATATAGATTATGGGCCTTATAGCCGAACTGCAATCCGACAAGCTAACTGCACTACGTGAGAAAGAAATAGAGGGAGGACAACTTTGGAAAAGAACGTACGAGGATCGAAGTTATTTCCAAAAATCCGTTTTCCCGGCAGTTTAGATATCTGGTCAGGGTGCGACTTCTTGAGCTGCAAAAAGACAAGACATGCATATGCACATACACAGATACACACACGTGCACGTACGCAGACAACACACACACACACACACACACACACGCACACTTTAATTTCCATGGGTCGCAGCACCGGTGATCACCAATGTGCACGGTTTGCGTACCACTTTTGTTCAAAAGACCACAGGTTCAGTGCCAGGGCAGCAGGCCAGGAGAGTTGAACATCAAGCAACAATGCGGATGCCAGCAGTGTGCACCGACAATATGTGAACACCGTCTATCGCTGCACACTGCAAACTGTACACAGTCATAGTGATAGGGATATCAGCGAACGCACTGCGCAGGTGATCACATGCACACCTAGACGCGGGCAACGAGCCGTGACCATCCACCACCGAAAAAATTCGCAAAGTAACTCAGGATGGAAAAGAAGGACGGAATGGCGAAGAAGTGTCTGAGGAAGAAGACCAGCTAGAGTCGAGCTACTTCGTAGCTTCCCTCTACGACGCTGGGCGATGGCTACAAAGGTTACTAAAAAAAATCACGGTTCGCGTGAGACTCGGCTGGAAGCCAATTTTTCCGCATTCGCCGTGGGAACGCCACCACCCTCTAGGATCAAAGGCGCAGATGCAGCGCCTAAACGGTGGGAGGTGAGTAGATCAGACCCACCACCAAGTGGTCAAAGACCGAAATCCCATTAGCTGAACAAAGGTTACTAGTACTACGAATATTCATCGCTTATTACACTGTTCTCTAAGCCGTCCACAAATTTTGGGAGGCACTTTCTTCCAGCTCAAAAATGGACAACCGTCAGCCGGATTTCGTATTACATTGGCTGGTACCTGGCAAGATCTAACCAGGGAAATCCCCTTTTGAAGCTGTCATTGAATTGGCCAGACCATGTGGACTACACGTGCCAAGATTGGAGGAAATCCAACGCGGTGTTCGCGCGAAAAATAATTGAAGAAAAACTTGGGCACCATGTACCACGTGTGGCGCTTTCGTAGTTAGTTGTACGACAGTGACAATACTGCTTGCTCTCGCGTTGAGGACCTTTGCCCATTCTTAGTAGTTTCTGGCTATGGCTGTCTAGACTAGGAAGCAGGGGCCCAAGTCTTGGAAACTTGCTTGGCAAGGCTAGAGCAAAATCAACAAGTTTCAGATGCAACCAAAGGTCACCAGGTGGCCTGTTCGCAGGGAAGTACAAGTACTCCTGCCCGGCCTGCGCTAAGCCTGACCCGCGGCCCGATTTCTGCGAGGCCATTTTTCTTGTCGGTCGCACCTCATAGATTTTTGTGTGCCGTATTAAAGATATGCGCGAACACGCGGCGCAATGCGTTCACTGATATCCCTAGTCATATGTGGCAGGGAGAAGAACACTGTTTTTCAACCAGGACAAAGTAATATCTGGGCTAAGAGTACACCTTGAAACAAGCACGCACCTCCTGGATTGGACATTATCAACACAAACAGCACAGCATAAGCATACGTATTGCAGATGTGCACCAGCCCACACTGCGCTACATGTATTGTATCTACAGAGTATAGAGGTTATGCGAATGATTTCATCGAGATTTTCAAATGGACACGAGTGTGAGTCACCAGATTTTCGAATATGTATGCAGCACGAGTCGCTAGTGCAAGTGCAGCGCCGTGTCACGAGTTTGCAACTTCGCTGAAGCATCTCAACTGATGATGTAATCGCACAACCTCTATACATACAGTGTCAACAACAGTGCCGTCCTTACCTCGCCATGCAACGTGTAGAACTCATTGTAGCGCCGGAATACGAGCCATTTCCTATTGGGAATGCTAACAACGACTTTGTAAACCTGTGTTAGACACATGCAGCATACCGAATACATAGACACATGAACACACATGGACACACGTGCCTCAAGCACACATGTACACTGGTGTGTAGGACAGTAACACCATTGCACAAAGTATGAAAGCACCCCTGAAACTCCTATGAATAGACCTTCACAGCTCCGGACACAAATTTTAGTTTCAAATCCAACTGTTTACAGAGCAGTGTGACTGCTGGACTCTCTCGATTAGAGCCGTTTCTTGAATAGCGTCCCGTCTTGAATAGTGCCCCAGGTTCTGAGAGCCAATGCAAAAAGGAAGCCCTCTTTTTTTTTAAATAGTACCCCTCCCCAGCCTGTAATCAAGCACATGTGCAAGCTTGGTGTTGTTGTTCTGCCAATGTTCTTATCCATGTCATTGCACTGGTGGTTTCAGGGCCAGGGCCGGCGGAACCAGTCAGGCTGGTCCGGCCATGGCCGGACCACTTTCCCAGCTGGATGGTCGATGTGATTAGTGCAAAACCGGTGTAAAAAAATCCAGAGGTACATGACTCGACTGTACTGCCGACGTGTGATGTGCTTCAAAGTAGCTCAGGACTCCGTGACCGGCACTGTATGGCTTTAAGGCCATCATTTTTTATATCTATGTTTCGCGTCAGTTCAACTTCCAGAATCATATGCGAGAGGTGGAAAAAAATAAAAAGTAGCAAAATAATAAAAAAGGCTCATCAGAGGTGTATGCACTGTACATAGCACAATAGCTCGTGCATGGTGTACATTCGAAAGAAAAATCGTACATCGAAGCACAACATCTGGGTTATCAGAATGAGTAAATATTCACTTTGGACAGAGGAGGCAACCGTTGGTCATGGTGCCTATGCTTCGCTGGAATATTGTACTCAGACTTCAGCAGCGGTGCAAAGAGCTTTGGAACGACGCATCCTCTCAGCATAGGCGATCAATGCGGTCTGGTGTAAGCTCATAGAATATTGCTCCCATATGCCGAACAAACGATTTACCAACGCTGGCCTAGGCTAGAGGCCATTTCTGAATCCCAGCTTCGCCGTATGCAACCTGTCCACACTGATGACTCGCACGATCGTACCCTCACTGTGCATGTTTGATTTTTTATTTTTTTTCGAAAAAAATCAAAACGTATGCGTGCGGACGACGCGAAACATAGCTATAAAAAATGATGGCCTAATGATATGGATAAAAAAAAGTTGTGCTTGTGTTGATTTACTATAATTTTCTGGATTTTCTGGAGCCTTAAGAGATGCCCAAATTCGCCCTATTTCACGTAAATTTTAAATA